TTGGCTAAACCTATTATATTAGTGGATTGTGGAAACTGGAAAGTTGTGTACACTTGTGTGTTCTTTGTAGTTTTATAGACATTTTTCTTTGGGGTTGAGAAAAAGACTTTTATAGGAACACTAACATCATGCATAGACCTGCATATGAAATAAAAATAAAGAATCCCAGACGACCAGCAAATGAGTTAATCAAAACCATTGCCTTTGGGTAATTTTTTCCAGGAAATATTTATATATTGTTTTAATTTGATATATTTTCAACATGTTTTCATTTTCATTGTGTGTCTACACAACTTATTTAATATATCAAATACGCTTATCAACAACGGTAGGTAGGTCGACTAGTTCCAGAAAAGTAAGGAAATAACCGAAATGCACCGTCATAGTAAAGTAAAGAAATAATCGAAGTGCCGTAGCAGGTAGCATTATATATATCTACAGTGATTGCTAGTCCAAATATATATACACATTCATGTATATTCTTTTATTTTGGACTGGATATTGGCAACCACGAATATTCTTTGAAATTAATCATTGTTAAATATATTACCATCATTATGTGATGATATACACTTTTCTGAACTTTAAATTAAGATGAATGTAGCAGTCCACTATATCCATTCACCACAAAACAGAAACTAGAAATACCAAAGACTAAGTATTACATCTCAAGTCTTATTATTTTTGATAATCTGTTCATGCTAGACAATGTAGCTGTGCAGTTTATTTAGCCAATACAGTTTATTATCCACCTTTCTTCATTTTTGTATATACTATTTTGTCTTACTATATATACTTTTAACTAAAAGCGTATACACTTTGCATGATCCAAACGGATTTTACGAGGTGTTGCTGAGGAATTATATGAGTATGACATTCTCAGTAAACATTTTAATAGTGGTTCTTTAGAGAAAAAAAATGATATAGTTTAATAGAGATGGTGGAGCATAACAAAATATCTTCAAAATTAAAATGTCCAACCACTAACAAAATCTTCAACAGTATTGCTCAAATTGGGGAAGTCTCATATTCTCATCCTATAATGCTGGTTTCAAAGTTACAAGAAGTTAGTGGTTGCATTTCCCAAATTTGTGTTGCTCATTCAATTGAAACTTTACCCATCTGGAGGACTAATAGTGGTTCACTTTCGGATCTGAAGAAGATACCTTATGTGTATATATAACCTTTTAAGGGCATAGTTCTATTTAAGTTTATTTAATATAAATATAAACTTAAACACAAAATTCAATCAACATTTATTGATGAAGGCTTGTTTTTATTTAATGATTTAGAGTCATTTCTGTCTGTTTTATAACTTAGAAAACTATATTATTTAAATTTTACTAATATTAATATGATTGAGCAACATTCTCTAACATAATATGCATATCTTATGAATTTCGAAAAAAAAATAATAATAATAATGTTATAGGAAATTCGAACTATTTTACGTTGGGTCCGGTCTCTTATATATATAACCTTCTCCGTTCATACAACAATAATAATAATCCAATTTTATTTTTCCTCCCCCAAAAAACCGCCATGCCAACTACTCTCTCCACCATCGGTTTCCTTCTCCTATTTCTCCTTCTCAGCCACGAAGGTGGTTTCACTGGAGCCGCTGATGCCGAAGAAAACCTGAGAGCCACCGATTTACATACTCATCGCCATCGTCGCCACCACGGCCATCGTCGCCCTCGCGGAGAAGAGTTTGAGTACTCGGCCGTGTCGTGTAGAGCTTACTCAGCGTCTCTTGACGAGTTTGGAGCCGTCGGAGATGGTGTGACCTCAAATACGGCGGCGTTTCGCGACGCAGTGTCACAGCTTAGCCGTTTCGCGGACTACGGCGGCTCATTGCTATTTGTTCCCGCCGGACGTTGGCTCACCGGAAGCTTTAACCTCACCAGCCATTTCACGCTTTTTCTCCACCGTGATGCTGTTATCCTCGCCTCCCAAGTAAGTGTTTTTCTCTTCACTAAGTTAACTATTTAATTTCTTTTCATTTTTTTACGAATAAAATTATTAATTAGGCTTTAGGAATATACCCCGTGACACAAAACTCCATAAACGTCTTCAATGAATTTTTTAGTCTTTTCTTGTTGCAAATTTTTATTTGTTGCAATTCATACATACACATACACGTGACATTTGCTGGCCAGCTTTTGATGATATTTGGTTGGGCCATTCAATTTATGTTTATGTTTATGTTTACATTCGGTGAACACTGAAATTATGATTAAGAAAATAGTTCTACGGTGTTTTTGACAAAAAAAAAAAAGATAGAAGAAAAATCGTGGTTCATTATCACTAGTTGACCTATATATAAAGACTTCATTATTTTTGGTTTTATAACTTTCTACTAAAGGCAAACTATTAATTAGGTTTAGAATGGGTTACTCTAAAAGTAGAGGGTAAGTAGAGTAATGAGGGAGTTACGCAAAGACAACAAAATAGGCAATGACGCAAAGTTAGTGGGGATCGTTATCGGACGATTTGAAGAGTGTGAGACCCATTCTTGTTAGGGAGATCTCAGCCGTCCATTTCTATTCCACATCTCAGCCACATATTACTTTTGGGCCTTAGCGTAAAATAGCTCTCTCATTTCTTGGGCCCACAAACCCACCAAAATATGACACCCTTTTTAAAAATTTCGATGGAAAAGCTTCTGAAGTTCTTGTAAAATGTAACATTATACTGGTAAATACACTGTAGTTTTGTAATCATAGATTTAGAAATGTAAAATCAAGGACGTAGATGTGTTACTACATTTTTATTTTCCTTACTATACAATATTTAATTTTCTCGATAACGGTTTTAGAATAAACAAAAACTTTAAAAAAGTAGACTGTGCGCTGTGAATTATTTGTAGAGTTATCTCCCAAATTGCTAAGAATATTTGGTTGTAATAAAAAGAGAATCAGGACCGTCCAAACACCCATGGCTCTGGCTCTAAACAACCACAAAGGAAACCGACTTAAATTTTTTGTTCTTTTATTAAGTCAAATGAAGATTTAATAGTCTATAATAAATACAATGAGTTTCTAATTAATGGAGTTTGTCTAATACTAAGCTAATTATGAAAATTGTTTGTCCTAACGTTATTGGCAGGAAGAGAGTGACTATGAAGTGATAGAGCCACTGCCTTCTTACGGACGAGGTAGAGACACGGATGGGGGAAGATTCATCAGTCTACTTTTCGGTTCAAACTTAACCGACGTGGTTATCACCGGTTAGTACTTCAATTTCTATATATGGAATCAACCAAAATATACGAATTTTGTCGTAACTCAATTTGCGAGTTTTTTTTTATATTGAAAGGTGAGAATGGGACTATTGATGGACAAGGAGAACCATGGTGGGGAAAATTCAAGAGAGGAGAGTTAAAATACACAAGACCGTATTTGGTTGAGATTATGCATTCCGATAGCATCCAAATCTCCAATCTCACTTTCTTGAATTCTCCTTCTTGGCATATTCACCCGGTTTACAGCAGGTAAAAACACTCACACCCGGTTTGACCCTTTATCAAAATTTGAAGCTTCTAAACCGATTTTGTTTATTCATGTCAAAATGCAGCAATATTGTTATCCAAGGTTTGACGATATTAGCACCTGTCACGGTACCAAACACCGACGGAATCAACCCAGGTACCACATCATACCGATAATTTTGAAATTCCGAGAACCGGCTTTTTTAAAGATCCGGTTAAAATTCTTTCCGGTTTATCTTAGATTCTTGCACGAACACGAAGATCGAGGACTGCTACATCGTTTCCGGCGACGATTGTATAGCTGTGAAGAGTGGATGGGATCAGTACGGAATCAACTACGGCATGCCCACGAAACAGCTCTTGATCCGACGGCTCACATGCATTTCCCCTGACAGTGCCGTGATCGCTCTCGGCAGCGAGATGTCCGGTGGAATTGAGGATGTTCGAGCTGAAGATATCGTCGCCATTAACTCTGAATCTGGAATCAGGTATGTAATCAAATTACCCGGTTTCGCAAAATTAACCGGCTTAGTTTGGTTCGGTTTAATCAAACCGAACTATATATAATCTGACAGGATCAAAACAGCGATTGGTCGAGGAGGATTCGTGAAGGATGTGTATGTCAGAGGAATGACGATGAGCACGATGAAATACGTTTTTTGGATGACCGGAAGTTACGGTTCGCATCCCGACGACCATTACGACCCGAATGCTTTACCGGTGATTCAGAACATTAACTACCAAGACATGGTCGCCGAGAACGTGACGATGCCGGCTCAATTGGCCGGAATATCGGGAGACCAGTTTACTGGGATCTGTATCTCTAACGTGACGATCACGCTATCGAAGAAACCTAAGAAAGTGCTTTGGAACTGTACGGACGTCTCGGGTTATACTAGCGGGGTGACTCCAGAGCCGTGTCAGCTGTTGCCGGAGAAGCAGCCGGGGACGATTGTGCCGTGTAATTTCCCGGAAGCTCCGATTCCTATTGAAGAAGTGAAGCTTCAACGTTGCTACTCTAGAAGAAGGAATATGTGAAGATGAAAACGTTTTCTTTTTTTTTACAAATACATTTCTTGTTCTATAAGTAAACTTGTTATCAAATGGGATGGATTTGATTGAATAACAGAAAACCCTTTGAAGGGAAAGGACAACAAAAAGCTTTCTGAAGCAATTTATAATCACACCAAATAAATTTCATAAAACCACACAATCACAAAAATAGGTCTAAACTCAAACGCGAGGTCCACACAAGAGATACAACTTCTTGAGTCGGAATGCTACAATAGTACTTCTCTTGATTATTTGAAGTAAAACAAGAGATATGCTTAACGTCACAGCCAAGTAACCAAAGAAGAAATACTTTTTTTAGCGTCTTGTCTCCAATTCAACCCATCTCAAAACATGTTTTGCTTCTAAGCTTCTATCATCTGTAAATTTCAGTTTAAGATCTATATTAAGTTTCCTCTACATATTAGTTTAGAAGCGTAAAAGAAAACAGAGTAATTGTTTAAGACCGGGAAATGGATAATGTGATGTATGAGACAAGACATACCACCATTAATGTTGGGGTTGATTGGATTCTAAAGCTAAGACCGGAGAAGGCTCTTGAAAACTTATGACACCAGAGCGATTCAAAGCAAAACCCTGCAGAGTAACAGTACCTAAAGAATATCACGAGAAGCCACCAAAAGTTTATTGAGATTAAGAGAAGAAAAATAGGGTTGGGGGGAGAGACCTCTCTAATGAATTTAAATGAGATAGAACGCTGAAATCTGACCAGATTATGAAGAGAATTAAAGTTGAGGAACACTAGATTAGCGTATCCTTTCAGTCTCATAGATACGAGGCCTTTGGGGATGTCCGTGAATCCTTCAAGGTCTTCAATTTCAAGATTCCTAGCTTGTAAGAAGGAAGTCATGGAGTAGAATAAGTCATCATCATCGAGGGACTTGACTGTTGTTATTGCTGCTACTGTCTCTTGGTGATGCATCAGAGGCTTTTCTTCATTCAGTTGTCCAGTAATTTTATAGGAACTGGACTTCTTATGTCTCTTCCTGAATGCAAACAGCTCCTTGACCTTGGTCACGACATCAGTGACGAACACAGGAACAGAGCTGCAAAAAAGAAAGCTCAGTAGTTCAGAAATAATGTTGACATAGAAGCAAAAACACACACACATATGCATTTGGTTATATACCTTCCATCTTCATAGCTCAAGCCTGATCTTGAAGAAATGGACAAGATAGCTTCTCTCCACCCCCAGATTCTAGCTTCGGTATCAAGTATAGACTTCTCATTGCTCCTATTGACTTTTTTACGCACGATTTCCTCTATCTTGAGAAGCCTATTACAGAACCATCCCTCCATTTTCCGAACTGATTCAGCCTTCAGATTGTAGAAAATGGGCAAGGGATCGATCTCTCCTGCGTCCATAAGCTTCTTGATCTCAACGAGGTCATCAAGAAACCGTTGCGACTCAGGGTACTTGATTTTGAGTGAGAAGAAAACTATTGCGACCCTTGACTCTTTGATCCTCTCCTTCGTCTCATCTTCTACATACACTGAGATCCCGTTCGATTCCAATTCTGTTTCCAGAGAGCTCACTGGGTTTCCTCCGAGCTGCTTCTCGCCGAAACTGATGAACACTCTACGCGGTGGAGAGTTTATTATCATGGCACAACGCTTCATAATGTTACATAAGAATGCAAAGCAGGTCAAAGGGTCATCGGTGTTGTTATCTTCACCAAGACGGTTCTGAAGATTGTCATTACTCTCTGCGGTTACTACCACATCTGCGCAATCTGTCAGATTTGAATCCAGAGGGGGATTAAAGTTATATGAAAGAGAGTGATGTGTTGCGTAATATGCAAGAAACTTACTAGTGACTTGAACTGGTAAAGTGTAGCTTTGATCTTGGATTTTTTGAGAGGAGACAATAAGCTTGTTACCAGGAAATAGTTGAGGTTTATTGTACAACAAGAGATGCTTGAAATCAAAATCCTACAAAGTGATAATAAAATTAGTTTACTATATAACAATTCAAAGCAGAAAAAAGTTGAGAGGCTGAGAAAACAAACCCCATCGTTGATTTCTAGAGAACCTAACAACACCAAATAAATCTTTCCTGCAACTTGACCATGCTCGATTAATCGCTGACCGAGGACAGGTTTCTTGAGAGAGATCAGGTCAAGTAACACCAGATGATCAGTTCTCAAGGAAACGGCACCATTGCTATGAATGGACGGCCTTGTAATGAGATCTACAAGATCTGATTTCTCAAGGTTTAGAGCTTGTAGTAACGACGTTACTGGCTTCTGAGGATGCATCAGAGGCTTCTCTATGATAATAAAAGCACTTCTTCGAGAAGAAATGTCGTCTAACATTTCCTTAAGTTTGACCACAACATCTCTAGCCAAATCCGGATCAGGGCCATGTTTATGAGAAATCCCCAGTATTCCTCCAACAGAGACTAAAGCTTGCCTCCATCCCCAAATCATATCCTCTGTTTCAAGTTTCGACTTGTCGCTTCCCCGATCAACTTTCTTGCGAACACTCTCCTCAGTAGCGAGGAGAGTGTTCCGGAAGCAACCAGACTGTCTCTTGACGGAGTGAGCTTTCACTTTGTAGAATATTGGAAAACCGTCGAGAGAACCTATCTCCATTTGCTTCTTGATCTCAACAAGCTCGTCTAAGCACCAGCAGGACTCGGGAAACTTTTTAGAGAAGAAGACGAGTGCAACACTCGACTCTCTGATTCGTTCGAAGAGATCTGTGATCGGCCTCCCTTTGGTCTCACACGTGTCCATGAAATAGTTGATATTTCTCCTCTGTAATTCGTCAGTTAGACTGCTCACTATATTGTCTCTCAGACTTATACCTCTGAAACTGATGAACACTTGATCATGTTTCCACGATCCAGAGAAATTCGTCATTTGCGTTATGTTTCAATTGTGAATGTTGAAGAGTTAGTACTAATGCTTGCTTGCAGATGAAAATGAAGAAGGAGGATATTGTATTGTGTAATGTTTTTTTTTTTGGGGGGGGGGTTAACAATTGAAGTCAACGCAACAAAGTTGTTCTATATGTTATTATTATAGTTTCTTACCACATGTGCAGACGCGGTTAGCAACTGTACATGGGTCCATTTGTGTGGTAATAATGAAGTTGATAGACCAATGTAACTCCGTTACGGTTAAAATATGAATGCTGAAATGTCATTTCAATAAAAATGATAAACAAACGGTATTGGTTTGAATCTCTATGTTACTGCTACGAACGACTACATGCCTCAGTTTATACACCTGGTCCGTACAACATAATCTTCTGTAGAGATTCTTATTTACATGATGCAAAATCTAGCCAAATAAATGAGAGTTGCATCTAAAAGACAGTATCTCCGACAATGGATGTATATATGATTGGTTTGAAGAGTCTCAGTCTTCTTTTTGTATTGCAATATATATTTCTCCAACTTGCAATCTTCAACTGCTACATTAAACAAATTAGGTCTTATACCTTTGATGTGCAGTTTTTATATCTTGAAAAAAAGAATTTTGTCGTTATACAGGAAATTGTTTATATAGATTTTTATTATGGAGTCTTTGGTCTCTTGGTCATAAACAAATAGTATTGCACCCAAACCGAGCCGAACATTATCTTATATTTTTTTTGTCGACCAATAATATAAGATATTGTCAGACTTATTAATAATATATTAGTGAAACAAGCTCATCTATTTATTACCAGTTAGTTTTGAGTTAAAATCTTATTAAAACTAATATTTAATGGTATCACCGATCTCAAAACGTTTCCTTCATAAGTCACACCTTATACACCCATTTGGACCGCGTTATCATATATCGAAGTTGTGGAAACGCTTTCATTAAAACCTCCTCATCAAAATATTCGTATAAAAACATCATTATGTCTATTTACTTAGTGTAAATTCCAATTTTGTGCGGAGACCACCCAAAATAGTTTCGTACAATAGTCATTTTACCTAAATTTGATAACATCCTGGAGTAGTTTATCCTCTCAGTTTGTCGATTTCCAAGGCGCTACAAGTGGAATCATATAGTGTATTCTATTTGATGCAGACAACCAATAGTGTTCTTATTCTTACAACGTTGAAGTTTCTCACTAAACAAATTAGGTTCCATATACTACTGTTGATGTGTGGAAAATGACAAAAACAAACAAAAAAGTCGTCGTTAATTACATTGAGAATTGTTTTTTTTTTTGCTTAATTATATGGAGAATTGTTTATTAGAAGAGTGTGCTGTAATGTTTGTTGGATGTTAATCATTAAAGTCTTTGGTGTTTTGGTCATAAATAAATAGTTTCTCAACGCACCGAATTTTTCTTTATCTTATACGATAACGCGGTCCAAGTGAACACCAGGTTTTGATTTGTATTGGCCAACATAATGATTTTAACTCAGATCGACGATGTTCATGTTTTGTTAGCCTCCAAATAGCAGTGGTCCTTTAAGTAAGGGGCCAATATGTTCCTTAAACAGTAAAGAAAATAAACCTTTCTATGTACAAGAAAACATGCAATGTGAAGATGTTACATACAAATCACATGTTTGGTCGCGGTTGATTATATATTTGGGCATCTCTTTTATTTACACAATTTTAAGAAGGTAACAAATGGCTTTTGCTTCAGACACAAGTAAAAAGAAAGAAGCTCAGTTGCTTGCAATGTAAGGTTCATTTCTGTGAATCCTTAGGATCATCTTTTGCGCCGCATGTAAGACACAAACAACACTTGAAACGGTAACACAGAGACGAAATGCAATTTGGACGGTAATGTCGTTTCTTACTCTTATGTTTTCTCTCGCCAATAAATCCATTGGTCCCTTGACTTGCGACAGGGGTTTTAACCAAGGGAAAGGGCTCTGTTTCATCTGCGATTCAAAAGTCAAATCGTTAGTCACAAGTCAGGCGACAAATTTTCAGGTCTATGTCATGACATCAACTTACAAGGCAAGAGGTAAGCATGATCTCTAATGTCATGATATGAGATGGCTCGTTTATGACCACGCTGAGGCCAATCTTGAGGCACCTTAGGTTGTAACGTCTTGTCCCATGCTGGTAGTTCGGAGAAAGGAGTAATATTACGAGACAAAAAAGGCTTCAAATCAACACCCTGTGTAGTCACACTCATAAGCATCGGTATCAAAAACTGAGAAGATTTATAGAGGAATAATAAAAAACAGAGAGGCAGAGACACAGACCTCATCGTAGACCTTGAGTATCTGGCTTTTCTTTGCTGCAGAGTAGAGGATATTGTTCTTGGTGTCATGATCAAGTTTGTCCCAATTACTGAATATCAATGCAGGATGTGTCTGCTCAGACATCATGTGAAAGGCAAGCAAGTTTATAGCTTTCTCTACTGACTCATTCACTTGTACATCTAAGCTCTGAAGATTCATAGGAGACTGAAGAGAGTTTGCAGGAGGAGTAATCTCGAAACTGTTGCCAATCTGCATCGAGGAGATAAGATCTTGGCATGCAAAACCAAACATGAATCCTCTAACAAAAGATCTTTCCAGATTCAGCGCTTCCGATGTCTTTGACAAGTGGAGCAGCTTGTTTAAGTGATTAACATCGACCACAATCAGATTTGATGCTTGTCCCTGTACTGTCTGCAATAAAGATTAGCACCATGTATAGTTTAACACACACAACAAGGTAACTAATATATCAGAACTAAGATCACACCGTAGATGCTTCTGGGGTATTGTTTGTTTCATTATTTTTTTCCTTCAATGCAATTCTGTTTAAAATTATGGTAACAACTTCGACAATATTCTTGATGAAATCCAACTCTGAAATGGAACTGTAAAACACAAAAATAAAACATTAATGATAAAGATAATAAAGACACCCGTTTAAATCATGTAAGATGTAACTTCTTGATAACTCCCTCAAACCATACCTCTCGTTTGCATAAGCCAGACCAATTTGTTTAGCAACGAATCTCAAAGCTCGCTTCCACCTCATGATCCTGAGATGGGGATGCTTCTTCTGCAAATCTAGAAACTTGTTGCCGAAATCTCCGGTCTGGTCCTTAACGTGTGAAGCCCGCACCTTATAGAAAATGGGTATTACAAAGTCAAGCTTCTTGCTCTTTAAGCATTTCCTGATCTCAACCAGCTCGTTCAAACACCACTTTGACTCCAAGTAGCTAATGGAGAAGATGACGATCACGATCTTTGAGTTTCTGATATGGTTTAAGAGATTCTTCAACGGCTCTCCAAGCGCGTCTGCGTCCGTGAAAACATTCACGTTGCTTTGTTTCAAATGATGTTTGAGATAAGGCACAAATGTCAGTCGAAGGTCTTTTCCCCGGAAATTGATGAACACTTGAGGTCTATTGTCCATCTCAAAGAACAGTTTTAGATCTATTTGGTTGATAGTGATAGAGAGAAAGTCAACCAAATAATCAAGGCTCTAGGACGACTTTGCTAAAGCTTTGTTACTAGAAAAAAATATATATACATGAGACGTTGACCCTTTTCACCAGGTCCCATATTGCGCTTCTGAGTTCACCTCTTACGAAACACCATTTATATCATTTTTTTTAATAGATAATTTTGTTATCCAGCTGTACATAATACCTGTTATATTCCTTAATTAAACCAACCTAAATATATATAAAAAAAAATGTGAGACACTGTACTGTATATGAATTATGAAATAAGCTTCCAGATGGTTTTGCTATTGACTCGTTATGTACGTGACAGTATTTACGAAACCAAGAAAAATTTAGGTATTTGAAGAAACTAAAATCGTAGTCAATTTGAATCCAGTTGCGCAACTGACTAGGTTTTGAGCTAATTAATAAATTGATGAACCGATTATATGTATATCTGCCTTTCCTAGCAACACCGCTAACTCTAACACCATATGGTGGTGGTGACGTGAGTTTCGCAAGCCTCACATAGAGACCTACTAGGCCTTATCTAAATGAGAAGTGAGAACAGTATGGCCCGAAAATAATCTCAAATTTAAAGTAAACGATACATTTTCTTTTAACATAAAATTCTCAAAGACCGAAAGTTAAACATCATTTCAATAACAAACATGGCTAAAAACAACTAAGAAAAGTCTAGAAATTATTCGTTACAATTTGCAATGAAAGTACTAGAAATAGATTCGTGCTCTCATGCATGGTTCTTGATAGGGTATGAAGCCAACATCGTGATCCCACAGATACCTGTTGGATTTTGAAAGTTACGAGCCATCTTAGCGTAGCCAGCATCTCCCCACATCGTGCCCCATGAGTTTCTCACGATCCAGTAGTCCTGACCATTCTCGCTACCGTACCCGATGATGGTAACCGCATGGTCTAGATTTGTCCCGCAAGGTCCAGTAAATATACCCTTAATGACATCAAACAAGTAAACATAAACGACCATGCAAGTTTATTGATTGTTTAATTATGAAGAAAAAAAAAGTTGATTTGTAAGGTAGGATTTGATATATACCGATTTATAGAGCATAAATTCTTGGGATTTTTTGTCGATGCCAACACTCACGGGCTGGCGAGCAACCGCATTCATTAAGGAAATTTCATCATTCTGTGGCACATCCTGGTAGCCATCAATTGTAACGAGCTTGTGTGACATCTGCCACAAACGTACCCAAAAAAGCAAAAATTGAATCACAATAAGCACTTATATATGGGTATTATAAGTTACGGATCCACTAGTAGACTGTAGACGAACCTGTTTACTGCTACAGTAGCCTTGAGAACCCGAGTATGGATAATCAATCTGGGAATAAAGACCATTGTTATTGGTCAAGAAGGTGAAAGCCTTGTCCATGAAGCCTCCTCCATAACAACCGTTGTTCGCCGTGTTGCAGTCGACCAATTCTTGCTCGGACAATGAGACTAACTCTCCTGTCACGATCTTGTGTAGTCCCTCCACAGCTGCCACCGTGGAGAATGCCCAGCAGCTATCTTTCAATTCAAACATGAAAAAAAGAAGAACGTTATAAATATTAATATTTGATCATAATTATCTTTCGATTGCTTCAAACGCAAGTAATTGCATATAGTTGTTAGAATATTTTGCTAAAGTATAAATCAATTTAGTATCAGTAATAGTCACTAGCATATATTATTTGTAGAGGTTTTAGAACATATAATTGTATTACTCTCTACTACTGTTCTCATTAATTAGTATATCAGAACGGTTCTGAAATAAACCCCTTAATTCTTTTTATACGTTCTAGAAACCCTACAGATACCTACGTATGTAACGTTCTTAATTGTAAATGCAAACAAATTTACTTTGAGTTTGCGTTTCTATATCTACAATCTCAAAATGGTGTTTCCTAAAAAAATTACTAAAATATGATAATCAAATAACTTAACTTATAATCAGCATTCAGCACATAGAGAAAACAATCAGACCATCCAACATCGATCTATATCTCTACGTGTGTAGTAATAGGTCTTCAAAATAGAGCGAGGTTTTATGTGAAAAGAAAAAACTAATTCAAATGTTCTAATCCCTAGACTAAAGAGATTATGGACCAAATGTGGAAGACAAGTAATATAAAAGTACTTACTACAAACGCCTTGGTCTTTAATCCCCGTCACCGCACCTTTATTTCTCCAATCAACTGACTCGAGGAGCTGACCTACGTCAAGTGGTACGTAATTACGACTGATATTGAGAGCCCTTTGTCTCGGTTCAAGGGGATGAGAGAGGAAGTCCCGGTACTCTTGGACGGTTAGGTCAGCAAACCGGGTCAAACCGAGCTGGTAACTTAGGTTCTTGGCGTTGTGCTGTTCGATGAAACGGAGATTGTCCTTAAAGATCTGAAAACGCTGTTCAGTCTCTCCAAGAGCATTCTCATAGATCTTCCCGTGCTGGGACATCCACTTTTGGAAGATGAGGCCAACATCCTCGTCGACGGGAAGGTCCCTGGCCGAGGACGGCGAAAGAAGGAATATTATCAAAAGATAGCAGATTGTCATGCAAGCTGATCGGCTAACAAATCCCATTTTGTATATTCTTTGTTAACGATTATGGGATGTGTATATATATTGCTAGAATGGAAGAAACAAATCAATGAATTTTCACCTAATCTTTGAACTAAATCTGTTTTGCAAAAAATAGAAACGTTTACTCATAAAGAAAAGTACAACTAATTTCTTTTATCTTTGTTTTTAGGAAACAGTAATAAAAAATATCTTCAGTAATAATTTCATAAAATATACTACTTTATAGAGGTTTCATTATTCTTTTTATAAAGTGTGTAATTAATTCAATCATATTTTATAAAGAACTTAAATCCACATATTTATTGTCAATTGACTTTGCATTACTAGGAAGAAGATTACGAGGGATGTATTAAAAATAAAATTTTAGAGAATTTCATAAGATTTCAGTTTTAATAAAATTTTATATGATATTACGTGGATTTTGGAAGTTGATATGATTTTATATTAAAATTATATGAAATCCTATTTAAAATAATGGGATTTGGTTTTCTATATTTTTAATTATCAAACTTAACCAAATCGTTTAAAAGTACTCAATATTTTTTAAAATCCACTATTTAAAATATTTTCAATAACAGTGAATTTGATTTAGTTTTTATAAATTGTTGATTAAATAACATGAATTTTTAAATGACTTTAGTTAGTTTTACATAAATTTCATGTTCAATAACATCAGTTTTGGTAAGATAGATAGAAATCACTAATTCAATAACAAGAATTTTTAAAATAACCACCAAATCTTCTGAAATTTCTAATCCAATACATCCTCCTACTTATTTTACTGAATTTGATAATTTATACATATTAAGATTTTAAAAAATTCATTGTAGTCAAGTAATATTTTCAGTCAAATCTGTTTTTATTCAAAATAGTTTTTAAAAAGATTTAGTATATGGAAACATTTAAAATGGATATAAGAGAATCAAATGCGTGACAAAAAGGAAGATAGAAATTGGATTGCACAGACACACCATAACATACAGCAGTTCAATTCAAAAGAAGAAATATACAGCAGTAGTTTTGACTGAAGTACGTTCATGAAAATTGCCAATTGGCAAATGCTGGAGCCTTTGAGGCCTTATAATGATTTAGCCCGGCCCATTAATTAAAAAAATGTAATCCAAATAAGTTCATCCTTTCGGGCGTCATTATCCAAATAACATCTTTGAAAATGAAAACCTCTCCCTAATCAAACTGAATAATCTCGCTTCATCATAAATCTAATCTGTTTAATTATTCTAAATTTCTACTAACACTTTTAGATTTACATTTGTTTGATTCTTTTCCAGATGAAATTATTCCGATTATGGTTGAGGATGCTAGTGGATCTACACAACCGGGTCAAATTCGGTTGTATTTTGTTGATTTTCTGATAAAATTTTGGGAGATTTCGTCTTTCCATTCTTGACAAAAAAAAAAGGTGATAGCGGATATTACCCAAAGGCGAAAAGGCCTAGCTAAAAACTAGTCTCTTACTATTAAACTTGCTGTATTAATGAAAATCATATGCATTAGAAATTTAAATGCACATTAAACCCTAATCAATCCGCCGTTAATTCGGTGCATTTGTCTTTGACAACATCTCAAGTGGATAACACTGTTAGTCTGTCAATTAACAAAGTGTATCTGATTATTATTAGTTCTGCTGTTTTCTTTTAAAAAATTATCCATCAAATTCCTCCAAAAGAACGCGTTTAAATTCGTTATTTTTTTGTTTGGTAACGTTGAGCGCGTTTGAAATTCATTTTTCGTGGTTGCCATGTGACGGCAAAACAAAATAACAATATTTATAAATTTATAATAAATCTTATTTGTCGCTTTTGATTATTGAAAATACTTATGTTATGTGACAATATAAAAAAATTGGTCCAAAAAAAAAAAAAACTTGTGTGACAGTGATACGATGTTATTGATTTGTGAATTATGCAATTACGCTTGTATTCATGTATTTAAGACTTAAGATATGATATCGATTTAGCGCGTTAGCTATGGGAACTATAAGAATATGATATAAAGTATAAAAGTAAATTAATTTCCTTAAAAAAAAGCTAATGATCACGTCATATTGCGACGTGGCTTTCTGATGATTGCTCTCTCGTGTTAATTCAGTATTAAAGGTAAAAAAACATATAAAAAGCGATGCAATTGCAAACAAGCTTTTGAAATAACAACAATATAATATATAAATAGGACAAAGTTGGACCGACAATGTAATAAACCTGTTTATTGTTCTTTTCTAACCGTCATTAACGGTTAATTTAACCGACCATAGAATATTACTTCAAAATTATTGTAAAGGACCTCTTGATGCCCGTGATTGCCGCTTCCATTAACCTGACCGCACGCATGTTCGCATAATAAAGTTCTATAGTTAAAGTTAAACCTGTGGATAACGCTGTTAGTCTGTTAAACTTCCTTGATTATTCATAAAAACAAATAAATTAAATAGTATAGATTTAAAAGTAAATATGTGAAGTCGGGATGTAATTGTCTGTCTATATTCTAAATTTGAGATTTTATTTTATTTTCAGACACCGTGATCGAGCTCTCAAGTTGTCTCGCAATCTTGATCTAATACACTAATTGATGAACCATCTTAGAAATCACAAAAAGGGAAAAACTGAGAAGAAACAAAAAGTTGAGAAGAGAAGCACACAGTAATTGGTTTTAAGGTCTGGGAACGAGACATTTAATCTTGGCCTAGTGTCTTCTTAGCAAATCCATAGCTAAAACAAAATATCAGAAACAATTAAACAAACTTTCTCATCCATTTAAGCTCTTGACTATGACCGTTGCTATGTTTGTTTTGCCACACGGCTAAGCCACATGCCAAATCGAAACAGCATTTAAGTTTAGTTGAACTGACTGCAATTTCCTTAAATCGTTGATAAGATCGACACGATACCGGTTCTAGTCTTGAGCTGATTTGTTGTCCTCACAATATAAATTTCACAAATATAGAATTTTTCTAGATCACATGATTACTCGATCTATGATGACTTACAACTTTATGCGTAATGAAATGGTGCAAATCTTTAAGTGAAAATTTATTCTCGTATTTCTTCAATGGTAGGGAAACTTGAAAAAAGAAAAACAGAAATAAACAAACTATACAAGTACAACTAACTCCATTGTCTAGAAACGAGAAGGGACCTGCTCACGTAGTCAAATCAGGCTTCCTTTTTTTCGTTTGTTCTCATTGCTTTTACTCTGTCTGCATCCATAAAGTTTAAGTTCCCCCAAAAGACGTTTATCGTTAACCTTTACAAAAACAAAAAGAATTGCTCTTTTTACAGAATATGTCATTATCTTGTCATATTTAGTCTCATTGCTAACGCGAGATTCTTCAACCTGATGGACAGTTTCTGCTAGCATAGCTTTAAGAGCAGCAAAGAAAAATTATCAGCGATCGTATCGTTGGCTTCTAAAGAGATAGCATTACACGCATTCATTCCAAAACAAAAAAAAAAAATCTTGTTTTGACATCAAGCATGCATTCAATTCTGTCACATCTATGTACATTTCAACTCCAAGTAATAGGTGACCGACAGAAATGTAAAAGCTATTTGCATAAACAATGTGACCCTATGGTAGAATGTAAGTGTGTAATTATATGTATTTTGTGCATGTTAACAGTACTTCTCATGTTTTATTAGGACTAGACTTTTAGGGGTTTTTAGTTTTCGTTTTTTTTTTCTTATAATTTGTTTATGCTTAGAGTTTTCAAAAATATTTGTTTCTGACAATTAATAAAAGAGTAAGAGAAGCGTTTAATTTGTTTCCTTGTTTTTAATAGATTTATCAAAAATTTGTAATACAAAATTTAGGTTATTCGAAGATTTTTAAACTAAACTCATAGATTTGCAATTTATCTTAGTTTTTAGTATTTTTAGAATCAACAATTCACTAATTTATTTGTAAACACTTCAGCTGTCATCTAAAATCTTAAACGAGACTACGAATTCCTTCTATATATATAAGAGATGATTAATTTTCTTTTAACAAGCATTCAGATAAATTATCTTAATATTCAGTACTTTTTTTTTTACTAAAACAATATAATATTTAGTACTTTTAGAATCAACGAAACATTAATTTACATGTGATACTTATCTCTGTCACCATACTACGTGAGAGCTAGTAGGAAGTAGGAACTGTGACTTCTTTATGTCACCATATCACCTTTATCTTTATAAATTCTTGATACGCTTCCACTTAAAAACACATCATATTTTTTTTCTAAATTTGATAGTAAAAGCTCTATTAGATCGTCCGCCGTGTAGCCCTAAACATAACGAAAGCGGTAGAATGCTTTTTTACTGTATTATTCTTTTTAAGTTTGATCAGGCTTCTTCTACCTCCCGACTGTATTTTTATAAACATGATTATACAATATAAATTAAACTATTTTTATATAATCATATTTATATATTACGCTCCATCCATAAGAAAACACACAAATATATATATATATGTTCATTTTGTCCATAACCTATACGGTTATACCTAGTCAGTAGTCACTAAACACTAAAAAAATGAATATTGTGACAAATTATTTTGTTATAATATTGTGATGATTTACCTACGAAATTGTGATAAAATTATTAAGTAATAAAAGTGTTACTATTTTATCATAATATTGTGATTTGTTATAAAAATTCTTTCAATATTTTTGTAGTGAAAATTCTTTCAATATTTTTGTTTCTTCGACAAGTTTTCATGGTCATGTTAGTGACTCCGCAATTCCGCATCAAAGAATCTTTGGAATACACCACTACACAACAGTACTGAGATTAACCCATTTTCCCTATATCTTGTCATGTTCATGGTCATGGTCATGGCTAAGTTTGCCAGATGAGAATTCAAATAAAAACATATGACATAAAGATATATCTGCCGGTTTAGTGAAAAATACGTTAGAAAAAGAAACATTAATAAACAACATATCTTTGAGAAGAGAGACGGATAGATGTCATAAATTCTGACCCAGAATATTTCTTTCTTTGCATATCTTTCACACGCTAGCATCCTGTTTAGTCATCATCTTGAAAAAGCTGAATATTTTTTGATAATTCGATAATGAAACTACTCCGAAATTTTTATACTTGGTGTTTTATGAACTAAACAGTATTTCCTTTATTTTTAATTCATAGATTTTGTTAAGAGTTTATACATATAAAAAGAAGTTAATGTTTGATTATAAATACATATTTTTATTATTAAAAAATTAATATTATTTTAAATCAATAGTAATTTAATAAATTCAATTAATATTCACAAAATGAAATTGATTTAGCAAAAACAGAATTATCATTAATTGATCAAAATGCATAGAAAAGTTATAAAATTTCTTTACGAAACATGAAATATTGTTCTTTTAAAACATGAGGAATATCATATACTGTAATATTTTATCGTGACATCACGAGTTTAAAACAAAACAAAAACTATCTAAATTTAATAATTTTCCGGATAAAAATAACTTCAAATTATCGTTAAATCACATGTAGATAGACACTTCAAGATATAACTTTCTTAGACCTTCCTTTTTTAAATAACTCAACTTATGGATATAAATAGTAGAAAATGACAAGTTTCTTTTCATTTTGAGTATAAATGACGCGAAGGGAGTGATGAAATTATAAAAGAAAAAGTTGTCAACAAAACCTACCAAAGACGAATATTCTTCACTCGTCAGTCCGAAAGAGAGAAAATATAAAATCAAAACTTCCTTAAACATTAGAAAAAGAAAAAAAAAAAAAAAAAAAAAACTCTCTCTCCGACAAGACATGTCTTCCACCATTTCGGTTCCTTCTCTCATCTAAAATCCCAAAACCCATTTCTCTGGTTTTTCTTTTTCTTTTCCCCTTTAAAAATCTCTCCTTTATTCCCGGGGAAAAAGATAAACATTCACTGCCGCATCGATTTCATCACAGTACACTAATGGCGCCGGCGACGGAATTTCAGGGCTCGTTCCTGAGCCGAATCAGTATCCGCCGCAACCAGATCGTCTCCATGGATGTCAATCACGAGCAAGAGCTCGAAGAACTCGAGTATTTCCAGAAACACGTAGCCGAGAGTTTCTCGGAGTTAATATCTCCGTTGCCGCCTTCTTCTTCCTCCTCCTCCGACGCCGCCTGTTCTCTGACATCTGATCAGATTCTCTCGATCCCTTGGCTACAGAATGTCCTCCATGTTTTTATGTCCTGCGAAACGGAATTCAAAGGGGTCCTGTCCACGATTCAGATCTCGAAATCGCCGTCTTTAGAGAGGGTTTTGCAAGAAATGCTTGATCGGATTCTAAAGGCGCTTGATATCTGTAACGCCGTCGTTAACGGCATTGAATCCGTTAGACAGAGCCGACGTCTGGCGGAAATAGCAGTCACGGCGCTTAAACAACGGCCGTTATGCGACGGAAGCGTTCGTAGAGCCAAGCGTGCGTTGACAAGCCTCCTCGTCGGCTTAAACGCCGACGGGAAATATAGAAGCAGCGGAAGTGGTGGCTGCAGCCGAAGGACAACGTCACGGTCGTGGTCGTTTGGACAGCGCAGCAGCGTCGCCGTAGGAGGAAGTGGATCATCTGGCCACGTCAGCAAGAATTGGTCTGCGACGAAGCAGATTCAGGCGATGGTGGCTAATATGGTGCTGCCACGTGGAGCAGAAGCTTCGGGACCGGCGATGCCGGTATATATATTGAGCAGTGCTATGGTTCTGGTTATGTGGGTGCTAGTTGCGGCGGTTCCTTGTCAGACAAGCAGCGTTCTTGTGGCGCCATTGTCGCTTCCGAAACACCAGAGTTGGGCTAGCGCCGCCGTGAATATTCAGGAGAGGATTGGTGAAGAGGTGAAACGGAAGGAGAAGCGTTGTGGTGGTGGGTTTACAGGGGGATTGATGGAGGAGATGCAGAGGATGGAGGGAATTGGGTTATCTTTGATGGTATTCACCGAGAAGTTTAGGTTTCCGGCGGAGGAAGAGGAGGAGAAAGTCGCGGAGAACGTGGATGAGATGGAGGAGATTTGCCGGAGAATGGAAGTTGGACTGGAGGATTTGCAGAGACAAGTGAGAGAAGTGTTCCACAGATTGGTGAGAAGCAGGATAGAGATTGTTTCAGTGCTTGAACAAGTTCCTGCAATCTAATCTGTAGATCTTCAAATAACAAAACTTTTTATCTTTTCTTCTTTTTTGGAGAGTTTTTACTTTAAAAACACTAATCTGTGAAAATTTCTGGATGTGTATAATCTATTATGAGTTATACACACACCATGTTCAGTTTCTGGTATATGAAAACTACAAAAAAACTCTATTGACTGAGATTAGGTTCATGGTGCTTTCCTGAACCTGTTCTTCTGTGGCTTCCGTGTCTCTTTTCCTGACTTGTGATTGTTTCCAGAATCTTCCCTTTGTTTCCCGAAGCTTTTGTTACCGAAGCGCTTTGGTCCTGTTCTGCTTCCATTAATGTCGGAAGCAGGTGTGTGTTGATGTGTGCTCTTCTGTCGTTTGAATTTGTTGTGTTCTTTGCCACCATCTTGTTTGGATGTTGTTTCTGATGAAGCTTCTCTGTAATTTCTTTTCCTCGGCCTGAAAAAAAACGAATCAAAAACCATTTATGCATATAATAAGCAAGCAATGATTCCATTGGATATGTGTTCTTGATATCGAATCAAAGTGCTGATCTAAAGGATTCTTACTCTCTTGATGGCTCGATGGATGTAGTCTGTGAATCATTTGTCTCTTCTTTGTCTTTTGATTTCCCCGTACGGTTCTGCACATTGAGATGAAAGTTCCAAGATTGTGAAGCCATTTCTTAAAATTTATGCAATTAGAGAGATCTTCAAGAAAATGTACAGAGAGATAGAAGAAACCTCTAAAACTGTCTGGAGGAAACTCTTGTGCTTGTCCGGTGTGGCTAATTGGACTGCGCGGGTGCCACACTTCCTTATCATAATCTCAACGATGATCGTTACCTAAATGCACATTTTTCGTTAGGCCATCATCTTAGAACTACACGTTTTGAGCAAGGAGAAGAACTGAAATCACAAAGAAACTTGAAGTTTAAGCACTGTTTTCACCATTACCTTTGACTTAAAATAATGTCTCGAAACAGACGACCAGGGGAGAATTTCATATAAGAGGTTCTTCAGTAGATACTGCAAGTCCTGGGCTTGCGATGTCGAGACTAAAACTTTCACAAACCCCAAAACAGCCTGGAGATGCACAAAAACGCATGAGAAACTTGAGGAGAAAACAGAGGAAAGAAAATCTGGTTAAAGAGGATTAAGGTAGAGACTTACTTTTATAATCTCAATGGATTTGGTGTGAAGCAATGATAAAACAGAGGAAAGAAGCTCTGGTGACGATTGGCAGATCTCAGGGTCTTTGTATATCAAGACAGATAAAGCAGACACTGCTCCACTCCTTATGTGCGGTGATGATCCAGAAATATAACCCGCTATCTGAAGAATCATGGATGCTGATTGGTCATTTGAGAGACAACGAGAGTAAAGAAAAATTGTTATTGGGAGCTCCTCTCATGCACTTACCATGTTAATCAATTTGGGACAAAGTTCATCACCGGTGATAGATGATGAATTTTTCAGGGTTGTATATACCAAAACCAGTGCATCACAAGCTACTTTCCTATGTTCTTCTTTCCCCTGTATATGCAAAGGCAAGATAACGCACAAAGAAAAAGTTGAGACTTGTTTAGCGTATTGTTTCTTTATGCACCAACAAAATGAAGTAGCGATGAGGCAAATAGTATGTTTACATCTTTAAGTGTCAGGATCATCTCGTTCAGGATAAGGAAAGCCTTCTCATTCTCTTCTTCGGAACTTGACTGCAGATAAAAAGAACAGTAAAACATTAAGAATATTAGTCACTGTCTTCACAAGGCAACATTGAATTGTACATTTTAGAAAACAAAGCATGGTTATACTGAAGCTATAGTTCAATTTTGATGGATAATCAAAGTGTTAATTGATACAAAAGGATATATTTTTGCACCTGAATTCCATGCGCCATTAGAACGTGGAAACATGCAAATCGACTTTTCGAAGATGCTGCATCGTCCGGAGTTTTATGGCTGAGTAACATCTCTATCACCTCTGCAAAATGAGATGAACAAAACCAACCATGTTCCTGCATCAAAGAGACAAAGCCACATTAATAAGCATGAAGTATCACCCAATGGTAAGAGTAAGAGCTACTACAACAGTCAACAAGGTCAGATGAGGTAAGCAACCTCTAGAACTCTGCTCAGAGTATCATACGCCCCACGAAGAACAGCCTCGTCGGTGGCCTAAAACCAAAACAATTCATGGATCAGAGCCTCTACATAGGAAAAGTCTAGTGCATAGCTAAGCTGAAGTTTAGTAAGATACCTGAAAACTTTGGCGAGCAAGATTATATATTAATTCAATAAGATCTTCTTTGGCTCCTTCAACAAATGAAGATGCAAGATCCAGTACAGCACTCCTGGTAAATGAGAATAAGCGAAAAACTTGAAATAATATTCAATAAATTTATCAAGTTATGGAAGTGCTTTTAAGAGGATCTATACCTCTTTAACTGCGTCTTTGTAGCACTGCAGTTGTCTTTTTCTTCATCCATTGAATCATTAGGCTCATTGACCTGCCCTTCTTTTTCTTCATCCATTGAATCATTAGGCTCATTGACCTGCCCTTTTTTTTCTTCATCCATTGTATCATTAGGCTCATTGACCTGCCCTTCAATCTCACTTTCACCAGCAGGATCAAACTTATTTAGCAAGGAAATTAGAATTTTTTTCCTCACAGAAGAATCCAGAGTAGAAGCTAAGCATCCAATTGCAGCCTGACATTACAAGAGCATAAACGATGTAAGAAAAAAATTGGCTATTATGAAATAAAACCACTTAGATCAAAAGAACACACTGACATATGCTGAAGAAGTTGACGCATAGAAGGAAAAATATATTATGACAAAGAAATAAAAACCTTAGATAAGTAATTATCGACCAAATACCATTAGTTCGAGAAACTTAAGTATTGAACGTTTTTCGTGCTTATATGTATAATTTTGGTTTAAAAGAAACTACGGTCTAACAGACTATAGGAGTCAATCTAAGTTTGATATCTATGATATAGTCCCTATCATGTTTAGGCATTTTACTCCAAGTATGGAGACAATGGAAGACCTTAAATCAATTAGCTATAAGTTTAAAATGCAGAGAATAAGAAGAGAATTTGTAAACCTTAAAGTCCGCACTGATGCCTGAGACAGTGAACACATCGACAAGAGTTTGAAGCAACTCTGCAGAGCTTGATGCCAAAGCTTTCATGTTTTTAGTTGAAGCTTTCTTCGAATAGTGGAATCTACTTTCAAGCTCTGGTTTAGCATCTTCACTTACACAGGCTTTTCTTTTATTCTGATTTACAAGCATCTAAACAAGGAAAATTTCAATGAGACTGAACTTTGGAAAACAAAAGAATATTGCATAAGTGAAAAGCAAAGGAACTCACCTGTAGAGAAACGGCCACGGCTTCATGCATGAAAGACTTTTTCTTGATAAATTTAACCATCAGTTTGGCTAACGATCCAAATTTCTGGGGCACATCAACTGGGTAGTTACAAAAGGCAGGTAACAGTCTCAGCAGCTCATGACTACATGCCCGCAACTTTTTGCCGTGAGCTGACTTTTTAGCTAACGAACAAGCATAAAAAAAAATGTTAGTGAAAAAAATTGCCAGACACCTAAAGAAATCATCAAGGGATTGTGCCCTGATATGCAAACAGAAGCCAAATCACTAGAAGATAGGAAAAGTCCACACAGAAGAATACCTTCTTTAGAAGCAAGCATCAATGATTTTGCAAGGGGAACAATGTGGTCGACATAATACTCAAGAGATGCTCCAACGATATATCTTCTTAAGATAGGAATTAGCCAAACATTTGCGCATGAGTGACTCTCAGCATGTAGGGTGATAGAAAGAAGTGTTAGTAGCCTCACTGGCCCCATGGCAACCACTGCAGACCCAATGCATTGCTGAACCTGCAGATAACTCCAACTTAGTATAAATCAAGTAATATAGATAGATTCTTTATATCGTAAAAAACTATGATGAGTATCAAGAAGTCTTATTTTCTTAATTATGAAAAATTTATTGAATGCATCTTTGAGTACTAAATTCACTACTATGCACTGGGACATTCAGAAAAATAACCTGCAACCTTCTGAACTGACCTTATTCCTAAAGTAGGAAACTAATAACATAATTGTAACAAAATAGTCACTTTCGTAAAAATAATTTACAAATCCAGAAAGTTATGGAAGATTAGTCATATGGTAGAATTATTGAAAACTTACATATTCTGGAATAGAAATATCTCCAGTTGCATTGTTAATTTTTTCGGCAAGCTGAAAAATGATATCCTTTGCAAGAATATACGAAAGCTCTCCTGAAACAGTGGGAGATATAATTAAATACTTCTCTTAAGGCTTAAGCGATGTGTTATTCACGCCAATCTTAATTAACATTTGGAAAAGCAAATTGGTTGCTTGTAACAAATTGTTCTGTATCTAACATGTTCAGGATGACAAAACATAGCAACACAGAGAAAGTACACCTACCAAGTTTCTCGATCAAAAGAGTTGTGACAGTTAAAATGTGCTCGTTTGGAATTCCATCACATGACTTCAAGGTACCCTCAAAGACAGTGCATACACATCTTGCTGCGTTTATATTGTCTCCACCGGTTAAGTTATCCTCATCTTCACAAGACAAGCTCCTCTCGGTCAGAAGATTATTGGTATCGATGTGGCTACTGATCAAATCTCTTAATATAACTGAGGCTTGGGATGCAACATCGTCCGTGGAAGTAAGAAGGCCTAAAGCATACGAAATGAAAAGTTAAAATTCATCACAATGTATATATATATATATATATATATATCCTGAAAATCCAAGCTCGCAATGAAGAACAAAAGAGCTAGATGCTGACAAGTTCGGGAGGGAAAAAAACACCTGCCAATGACCCACAAACTAGTGGAAGTTTCCTTAGACATAATGTCGGTTCGACTGAGTAGGCTTTCTCCAATGCACTTTTTAAAAGGGTGCTTACATGCACGATGGTGTCAGCAGGATTCTTATCATGTAGAGATAAATAACTAGTCAAAGAAGTTATCACTCCTTCTATCTCAGGAACAATAACTGTATCTTCTGAATTCTTGAAAATAGAATCGATCGCTTTGAGAATTTGCCTCGTCAGCGGCGAAAACTGAGAAGCCATAAGCTTGCAAAGTTCTGAGAAAACACTAGTGCTAACTTTGGCAGAGAGAAATGGAATTGTAGCACTGAGCACATTTAGCACATGGGCAGCCTCTGCGTTCTCGGATTTCAGTGTTGACTCGACCTTGGAACCTTCCTCGATCTTTGTGGAGCTTAACTCAGATAGGACAGGCTTATGTTCTTCAAGCAAACCATATACTGTATTACTTGCTTCCTTTATAACAGTGGATGACCGGAGAGAGCCAAACAGTTTCTCCAGACACTCTTGAGCGCATCTTCTAACCTAACAGAGCAGACACACGAACCAAGATTTCTTGTCACCACAATATGAAATTTCATAACTTTGAAAAATGGTCATTCTTTAGACAGTAGTGATTCAATTTGAAGTAACATTTGCTAACTATAGTCAAGAAGTGGGAAACTCAAAAGTGATACCTTGGGACGTTTATCAATGGAGAACTTGAGAAGTGAAGCAAATCCTATTTGAATAGATTCCCAATCATCCAAATCGCAGAAGCCAATGAGTAAAGTCCCGATACACTTCACACCAGCTCTCAAACTAGCAACCCCAAGCTTATCTCCTTCTCCATCAATTGGTTTTACGAGCACACCCACTGCCTCACGAGCCATAGTAGCTGAAATTTCTCCGGTGGGAACCAGAGGAACGACTATGGACAGGAATGTAAGCAAAGCAGAAACCGCCATTGGATCAGCCGTAGAAGAATCCAACGAGGATATAGCAGCTGCGAAGAAAGCAGGGGGAGATGGCGGAAGAGACTCCGAGGTGAGAATGGAGCGCATCGCGGCGGCGGTGGCGACGAGATGACGGTGCTGAGAGGCGGAGGACTTGGCATAACGGTCCATAAGCTGTTGGCAGATATCAGTGTCGCCATCTTTGAACGCAATTTCATCGTTTTCATCTGCTCTGTCTTGCTGCCCTGCTTCAGAGGCCGCCATAGCTCCGAGAGATTTTGTCTAGGGTTTAAGGAAGAAGAGAGTGACGTCGACGAAGAAAAAAACACGAAGAGTAAATAAAAACCAGAGGGCACAATAGACCGGGAAATCACCCGGTTTGATTTACAATGTCTAATTTTCCGTTTTACCGGTTTGATTCGTTGGTTCGGCTTCGTTTGATTTGATTGTAAATTTATAACTTACAAAGGGTTCGGTCAGCTACAGTTTTATTAAACGATTTATTTATATGATTAGTATAGCAGTTATTAAAACACATTTATGCGTTAGAAGTTAAACTAAAAATTATCAAAACATACATAACTATATAATTTTTACAAAGAAACCAAAACTATATCATTATTAAAAGGTCAAGGTGCTTATTTCAACTAAATTCATAGCACGCTATTAAATCATCAATTTTATAATAAAAATTCAAAGTATAGCGTGATTATATTTGTTTTTTTTGGGGTCAAATTTGTGATTATATTTGTTTAAAAGTCAATTTAATAATATAGGTTTACTCTTTTTTGAACAAAGGTTAATATAGGTTTATTCTTATATTTAAGATTAGTTTAAGTTGATTCATATACTCAATATCGGTTGGTACGTACACGAATTCTCGATTACATTTCTTCTCTCTTTTTCTCCGTGGGTTGAATTATGTAACCGGAGGTCCGGAGCTAACCGTTGCACCTTTTTTATCAAATGCCAAGTTGAATGTTCCTGAAGATTTATAACCCAATTACAGAATTTGGGTGGAAATGTATTTAGGCAGATGGAAGTTCATAGTTTTTAGGTATAAAATACAAAACGAAATAGTTTTTCCTTCTTTGTTCGATGATGGAATTGGTGATTTTGGGTCACATAGCTCATATATATGATTAGCTCTAGACAAATGAACTGTTAGGTTTTCAAGACGAAATGTCAAATTACAATTACACATCCATAATCAAGAAATTGATAATGAGAGATTTCTGTTGACAAAATAGAATCGATGAACAAAATAACTTCAAGCATGTTTTAAACGGTGTTACCTGTTTACATGACATATAATTTCCTTTTATAACATGATGTTATTTGTTCGTTGTGGATATATATCAATTGGAGGTTTTTGGTGCAGTTTTACTCTTGTTATTTTAAATAAATTACGCAATAGACTTCATATCAAAATTTTATTGCTATAATTTTTTTGTTATTTCATTATAGCAATCTGTAAAACTGTCATTTTCTGGAAATAAAATCTTCCTTTTCTGAATAGTTACATTTATTGATGATCATTTGGCTTTTGTTCCTTCTCAAAAGGGAGCTTATATACAACAATAACAATGAAGCAAATGCCTACTGCAAATACCACTAGCTTTTATAATTCAAATAAGCAACAACAACACGACCTACTGATATAAAGCACAGAGAATAAAATCGATTAAAAGTACTATTAAAAAAAGGAGTCACCAACGGATGACCATCCAGATAAATCTATTAAGTGAAGGAATACATCAAGTTCTGCAGTTGCAGATATTACAAACAACAAAGTAACAAATGACGAATAAGTTTCAAATCCTACAAGTTCTTTCAAATGACGAAGAACATTAGATTGCCTAGTGCCTACGGAGATGGAGTCGTAGCTCCTTGAAACAAGGGAAATGGGAAAAGTGGGAAGCACAAATAATTAAAAGAAACATCATGAGTGAACTTGTTTGGGATAACGGTCAGACTTGATGTCCTTCGGTTTGGTACTGTGACTTCATCACTTTCGGCCACAGTCACTGGAGCTTCTCTGCGCTTTCTATTTCTCAAGTCTTCGTTACTACGCTTTGATTTGCTGCTCAAAATTCTGCAGGTGGGATTCCTGCCGATTAGACCGAAGTTTGATTCTCTTGAGACGAGCCACCTCTTCCTTCCAAAAAGCCACTGAGTCTTCGGCTGATGGGTTTGGTGGCGGCCCAAATTTTCGAGTGAAATTGGCGGCGATGTAGTAGGAGTTCTCCTTGCAAGGATTTTTAGGCAGATGACAATTCATATAGTTTTTAGGTATAAAATACAAAACCATATAGTCTTTTCCTTCTTCGTTCCATGATAGAATTGTTGATTTTTGGTCACATAGCTCAGATTTATGATTAGCTCTAGACAAATGAACGGTTAGGTTTTCAAGATGAATTGGCAAATAAAAATTACACATTCATAATTAAGAAATTGATAATGAAAGATTTCTGTTAACAAAATAGAATCGATGAACAAAATAACTTCAAACATGTTTTAAACGGTGTTACCTGTTTACATGACATTTAATTTCCTTTGATAACATGATGTTATTTGTTTGTTGTGGACATATATCAATCGGAGGTTTTTAGTGCAGTTTTACTCTTGTTATTTTAAAAAATTACGCCATAGACTTCATGTCAAACATTTATTGCTATAATTTTTTGTTATTTCATCATAGTAATCTGTGAAACTGTCATTTTCTTGAAATAAAATCTTCTTTTTCTGAAGATGATTATTTGGCTTTTCTCCCTTCTCAAAAGATAGCTTATATACAACAATTATAATCAATATCAATGAAGCAAATGCCAAACGCAAATGCCACTAGCATCTATAATTCGAATAAGCAACAACAACACAACCTACGGATAGAAAGCAGAGAGAAGAAGATCGATTAAAAATACTATTAGAGCTAAAAGAGTTAAAACCAAGTGGTTATAAAAAGGAGTCGCCAACAAATGGCCGTCCATTTTGCACCCTAGATGCATGGCTTGTCCCATCCAATTATACAAGCTTGATTCGAATAATAACTTGAATCTGGTTGCTTGGATCCAGCTTGATGTCTGATCCATTTCGCACCCTAGATGCATGGCTTGTCCAATCCAACTATTTGAGCTGGTTGCTTGGATCCAGCTTGATATAGCTGAGCATTCTTCTATTTCCCCAATTCGTAAATAGAAGCTTGAAGTAGTAACTTCCGAATAACATTCAACTTCGAAATAGGGGACACCGATCTCACCCAAACGACATGCATTATTATCATAATGTAAAATATTTTTTTCATTATTGTTTACCAAATTAAATAATAATTTATGCGTTTAAACACGGTTGTTAGAAAAGAGTGGAGACAAGCTATGTTTTCGTTAGGGGCACAACCTATATGTATTTAGATAATGAAATTTAGTAGAGTTGCTTAGAAGATGAGATTATGGACCAGGTTTTAAAAGCTTTTTGTGATTGCTCGATATTATATATATACCCATATTAATAACAACTTGTAGTGCTCATGGTGATCACTTTCCGATATCGACCCTAAGCCAAATCTAAATCAGTATAGTATAGGTCCCAAAAGTGCCAGCGATTTATAGATTTTACTCGTTTAAAACTCAATTAGTGGGTTTATATATTCTTGGTCATTTCATTATTTTCTTAAACCACGTTGTCTTCTTAGAGTCCATGTGTTTTTAGTAACAAGGAAAACATATTTCTATAATTTGTTTCTTTTTACTCTCAATAATGTAGTTTACAACTATATAATTCAATCAGTAATTCAGTGATGACACGAAAACGCGTACGGAGACATATCACATCAAATCCAAAGTAATTTAACAGAAAATGAATAACAATAATTTAATGGGCTTTTTAATATTGATAATCAATGAAGACCATTGAAAAAAAAAAATATTGATCAATCAATCAACAATAAAGAAAAGCTCTAGTCGACCAAAAAATGTTGAGTGACAAAGTCATCTTATCACCACGCTATACAAATATGAATTCGTGTTTCGAGACGTACGTCTCAGCATTCTTGTACGGAACCAACTTTTTATAATATGTACGGAACTAACTTTATTAATGTTTAATTTACATAAAGCTACTCACAATAATCAAGTGATTAGTGCATGGGTTAACTTTTTGAGTTGATTTTCATTTGGTAAACCACTCAACGTTGCGGATCGAATGACGAAAAGAAAACAATATATTTATTTATTACAAGAGACATAGTTCTGGAATTAATGTTTACCTAAATAAAACACACAGATGACACGAATGACTATAGTTTTATAGAAATTTTGAAGCTCAATTGTTTGTGCCTCCGGTACAATCCTGTATCCAATTTTTTTTTTTCATTTTTGTAAAAGGTAATGTCACTAATTGGTGAAACTGACGGCAATGTCTATTTTGGCAAACTTGTTTGATGACATATGCTAAACAACAACTGCAAAAATTTATCACGGTTTATTTTCATATTTTTATATTTGGTGTATGTATAAGTTCATTGCAACTTTTTTACTGTAGATGTCGTATGTTTCAATTTTGTTCTTCTTTTTAATTTTTAATTAATCAATAATTAGAAAGGTAAAACTGAAATGGTCAATAGTGATCCCATGCTGAACGAAACATATACATGTATATTATAGAGTTGTTTGTTGTATACGTATATGCACCATGTATACAAATTAAGTAGTGCAACTGGAACCCTACGCATGATGTCACGAATAAAATTCGTAAGTAGCTTGTAGAAATTAAATTCATTTAAAAAAAAAATCGGCAATCAGATGACAATTGCTACCATAATTTATTTAAAAATTGCTAATCACAAAAAATAATATATTTATCAATCATCACATTATTATACATTATATTGTTATTATATAAGATCATGAGATTTCATTGCACCAAAAATACATGGGGCTTGTAATAGAAACATAGATAGATAAATTTTACAGTATAACCTCTATAAATTAATACTCAATAAATTAATAATCACTATAAATTAATAATTTTTAGTGGTTTCAAGTCGGACCAGTGTAAAAATAGACAAAATTTGATAAGATAATAAAATAATTTTTTAAAAAAATTCTATATAAAAATATGGTCCCAATAATAATATAAATTAATAATTATACATTTTGGTATATATTAATAATATAATATAGTAAACTATGATAATAATATTGCTTCAAGTTTTAAAAATTTGTTTGATTATCTTTTAAATTCATCATTATGACATTTTTTGAATGAATTTTATATTATTGAAAATATTAATCTTGTTTTTTGATAAATATTAAAAAAATCAAACTAAAATATCTCTATAAATTAATAAAATATTAATTTATCGATAAATTTATTGATTAATTAATAACTCTATAAATTAATAAAATTTGAGAGTCCCAACAGTATTAATTTATAGAGGTTTTACTGTATATGATTTTTAATTTGGTATTTAGAGTTATAGAAGCGTAAGAGTTATTTCGTATGGTATGCCACTCTTATCTGTTTCAATATTTTGAATCTTTAATTGATATTATCATTTGGATATGTTTTACGTAACAATTAACATCTCGTTACATTTGAATATCTCGTTACGTAAAAATGCGTTATAATTTATAACAATGGCCAACCCACACGATATACGACACAAATCTTATACTTAACTGTAATTATCGAAGAATATATATCGATCTTTTCCATGTGGATCTTGTGCACACACAAAAAAAAAGGAACATGAATCTAGCCATGATGTACACATTTTTTGGTTGTTGTGCAAATTGGACTGATGGACACATAGGTGATTGTATTTACACAATAACTCTGCACGTATGCTTAATTCACACGTTAAACAAAGAATTCAAAGAAATCGGTTTTATTTGTATTCTTGTGAGATCATCAATATCATTATATTATATCGTATGTTGTCATGGTTTCACATACTGTACCAGGTCGACAAACACAAACGCAAATAGTATGGATCTATATTCACAAGTAAATTTGGTAAAACTTTGTTGTACATGTATTTAAGTGATACTAACTAAAATCAGCAGTGTTGTCATGACTTTTTTTTTACAGAGTTTGATCGGTAAGATATATAATCACTAAGCAAATAAAATTTAATTTTAACGTAAAGTAAAATTATACGACTGTTAAAAAAACTTACGGAAAAATCAGTGTACCTTTTAATTACTATTAACTTTTTGCATTATCGCTAGTGTCACTTGATAGATAATGCTTAATTTAACTTACCATGTAAAATCGTATGTTTCATATATTTCATTTGCTGATATGCACTTTATAATAATGCCATCAATATACACTAATTACAAATCAGGCATGACATAGTACTATGGAAGTGGAAAGCTTTATATGTCTAACCATATCTAATTATACTAGTAAATTCACATTCTGAAAATACTGTTTTCTTGCTCTATAACTAATTTAACCAAACCAGATTAGTTTACTATTTTGATATTAGAATAGTACATTAATATGCACTTTAATACTAGTTCACATTCTGAAAAGCACGATCTGTCAGCTAGTTTTGTTTGGATCATTTAAATGTTGAAATGGTTTTAAAATAATATTGCGATTTATAAATTATTCCGAAACGAACCGTGTATTGTGTATTGATAGCATGTGTATTATATAAATATATATATATATATGTATTATTTATGTTTTGCGATATTTTTATACATAGACCGTCAAGTTGGTGCAAGAGGGGATGAAATTTTCTTCCTATAGTTGCAACTTGCAAGAGCAAGCTGACTAATATGCTTTTTTAATGATTTTTTTTTCTCAATATGCTTTGTATTTATTATTTTGTTGACTTTGAGTTATAATTTGCCTTTTTCTTATTGCCTTTTATGGGACTGCAATCACCCGTGCCAACTTCCATTCTTCCTCGCCTAAAAGAGAAGGCTATCAGAAATTCTTCATAGACCAAAATTATTAAGAGCTAGTAGTAATAACTCCACAAACAAAATGGATTTATAAACAAACAGAAGCTGATAATAAGTTTGGGAATATAAAAATAATAATCAAATTGCTGTTGTGAAAGCATTTTGGTTGCAGGATATCAAGTACTTAAGACACTGAGTATATAAGGCTACCTAGCTTAAACATTATGTTTTTACCTAACTAGTTAAAATATTTTGTCAATATAATCTACATAACCGCTTTTTTTTTTTTTTTTTGCTAAGAACCGCTTTTTTTTCTCTGCTTTGCGTATGCATGCGTTTATTAAATTCGAAATTATATATGATCAAAACATTAGAATGAAATTTAATATATATATATCTACATAATTAATAGTTTAGCATGTAAATATAAACACAACAAAACAAATCATAAATATAATAAAAAGATAGAACAAGCGAAAGAAGAAGATTTTATTGGAGAATCTTTCTTCACTCTTAGTTGGGAAGATTTTGTGCTATGGGCGCACAACGGCACAAAAGGGATCCCTATTCTATGATAGAGGCGTGGGGTTACTGGACCAAACTAACGCTTAAGATAAAGTGATAATACCCTCTCAAATAATTTTTAGCATTTTTAATATTTTACTAAAAGAAGCTTACTACTATGTAGATCATACTTGCATCACTATTCTATATATACATTTTTTTTTTTGGGCAAACTATTCTATATATACATATCTTTAATTATATTTATACCCAATGGCTCGTTACGTGAAAACAAGGTAATCTAGACTTACGTGCTACATTAAACACACACATAATTTTACACTAGTGACATCTTTATATATAAAAAATAGTGGTGTACGTCATACATATGCATGTACAAATGCCGCTTTCAATATTTAATTTTGTTAAATCAACTATATTTAAATTCTCTTGAACTCATATATATGTTCTAAAAGACATGGTGCCAATATACGTAACATATACATATATATTATCAGATTTTCATAGTCAATATCAATAAAGATAAAAAAATACAATTAATATGGATTATTCTGAATTTGGTGTATATATGTATGAATTTCATTCGAGATATTTTGTCGGAGATGGATATTTGACAAGTTAACGCAATTATATTAAATTCTAAGTTTAGGTACGAATTGACTTTTTCAAAAGTCTACTCAATAATAAATTTTAAAAGTTAAATGGCTAACGGGTTTATATGGGAAACGAACAAAAAAAAACCCTAAACCACAAACGATATAATCGTTCTTTTACTTCTTATATAAACCGATGTTGCCCAAATAGCTTTTCCTCGCCATATACTTCTGAAAGACAAAAAAGGGATAAAAGAGGAAACAAAATCTTGAATATATAGAGAGATGGGTGAGGTGGCCTATATGGACGAAGGAGACTTAGAATTAATAGTCAGAGGCTACTCCGGCTCTGGAGATGCGTTTTCCGGCGAAAGCTCCGGTGGATTCTCACCTTCGTTTTGCCTCCCTACTGAGACGGCTAGTTTCTACGAACCGGAAATGGAGACAACCGGTTTAGACGAACTCGGTGAACTCTACAAACCCTTTTACCCTTTCTCCACACAACCGATCCTCACGAGCTCCGTCTCTGCTCCCGAAGATTCTAACAATTTCCGAGATGAGAAGAAACAACGAACACATGCTTGTCTTTTATCCAACGAATCAAGAGTTGATCATATCCGAATCCCAGAATCCAAATCCAAGAAGAGGTCAGTATTCTTGAAGTTATCTTTGAGGTTCTTTAAAATGCCATAAAAATATATTTTTAAAGAAATCATAAACTATCATATCACTATATCAGAAAGCTGGTTTTAAGCTATCTAAAGTACGAAAATTATTTCATTAGTAATTAATAAAAATTATAGAGTTGATTACCGAAATGGTTTTTCTCCAACCGTGTTTTGCCTTTCAATTTTTTACAATAATATATATGCGTGTTGTTTTGATTAAATAATAAATAAATAACATGATTGGAATTTGGTCAGCAAGAAGAATCAACAGAAGAGAGTTGTTGAGCAAGTGAAGGAAGAGAATCTGTTGTCGGACGCATGGGCGTGGCGTAAGTACGGACAGAAACCTATCAAAGGATCTCCATACCCAAGGTTTTAAACCAACCCCGGTTTAATCTAATCATATCCTTTATCTTAAACAAACATAACCGATTTGCTTAATCTCTCGAACTTTTTTTTCCTCGTCAGGAGTTATTACAGGTGCAGCAGCTCGAAGGGGTGTCTGGCAAGAAAACAAGTCGAAAGAAATCCGCAGAACCCGGAAAAGTTCACCATAACGTATACAAACGAGCACAATCATGAATTACCAACCCGGAGAAACTCATTAGCCGGTTCGACTAGAGCCAAATCTTCCCAACCCAAACCGTCATTAACCAAAAAACCCGGAAAACAAGTGGTTTCTTCTCCCACAAGCAACCCCATGATCACATCCGCTGATGAATCCTCCGCTGTGGTTCAAGAAATGGGAGTTGCAGAAATGAGTTCCTACCAAATAACCGGAGAAATCGAGAGCATGAGTAACAATTTACCAGCGGATTTGATGTCGGGGACTTCAACTTTTCCGAGTTTTACCGGTGACTTTGATGAACTATTGAACAGCCAAGAGTTCCTCAATGGGTACTTATGGAATTACTAGAGAACGTTAGGTGTATGTATATAACTATCTATATTCAAACTTATATTATAGTTGCATTGCAGCCGTTGAGAAAATTGTATACTTATCTCTTGTCTCTAAGAGATTAGAGGGTCGTTTAGTTTTCGTCTTGTTTCCAGCTTAACCTTTAACCAAATAGTATTTTCGTTTTCCTTCCAAGTCATACAAATGCTAAGAAAATCCAATTTATCCAACACTTCAGTTACCACTATCTAGTTTGATTAGCTCCGCCTAAACGTTCTAGACAGCTAATTAGGAGGCATCATAGAAGATCTATTTTGCATTAATTACAACTCAGCCACTCAGCCGCATTTAGTATTCTAATGAATGTGAAAACTATATTTTATAATGTATAAGTCAATTATTGACAAAGAATTTATATTCAAATAAATGGTCATACATATAGACGCATGGTCTTAGTTTTTTTTTTTTTTTTTTTTTTTTGAATAAATGTAAAATTTGTTCAATCCCAAAAAAACTTTTGGTCTTAATTATTTTATCTATTAAGTTATAAATAACTAAATGTTACAGTTGATCTGAATTCAGATAGTATCATTAATTTACTTGACTATAGATGTCTTTTATTCTAATATATAAGATAAACAGATTACATACATTCATTCTGTCTACCATCATAAGAAAAATAATAGTGAACATCAAATTAAGTTATATATTATACAATGACATATGAGTGTGTATTATACTTCAAGCAAATCATACATCCCCTGATTAAATATTCAAATTCGTAGTCTAACAATAGTTGTTAATGTATATTCATATTCTTCTTCGCTAAGTTTGGTTTGCACACGACTAAATTTAAAAGTGAGTTTGTCCGGTGGTCTAGTTAGAATTCCGGCCAATCAGAGCAGCAACGGGCCCAATAAAGGCGGCGTTAATGTAAGTTGTGGGCTCCGCATGGGAATAATCTGTTCTTTGGTCGCTAAATTGGTCCGATGAATCCGGTCCACCCACAATTGCGCCGGTATGCACATTCGGGTTTGGTTGATCAGAATTGTAGTATGAAAATCCTCCATTGCAGTCGATTTTCTCCGGTTTAGATTGGATAGACGGTAAAGATGAGCCCCTATGATGAGGTTTTGTTGGGTACTTTGTCCCGAATCCGACCATGTAAGACATTTTCATTGGATTATTTCCAAGGATGTAATCCACCTAAAAATTAAACCGGATGGGGGTTAACAACAAAGGAATTGGTGTACCAAACCGGATGGGGGTTAATTTTTATCTACCTGTGATTTGGCAAAACTTTGAATTTGAGATATGGTGAACTGGGTCGACCCGCACTGGATTGAACCGACCTTGGCTTGAGTTAGAGTTTTTGAGTAATGGAGCAAAACCGTTATAGCCGTCGTTACATATTGTAAGTTGCTGCTGTCTCTAGTAAACAAAAGGCCACCTGAATAACCAAAAGTACAGACAAACATAATTATAAAGGACAAAAAAATCAAACCAATTTTACTGCTGGCTATCTAGTTAACCGGTGAAAATTACCAGGAGTTGGCTTAATTTGTTGAGAGCTACTTCCTGGCATCAATGCACAGACAAAGGACTCAACATCGTTCTTAAATTTTCCCAGGTCATTTTTCCCGTTGTAAAACTCCTGAATAAAACAAATCAACAAGAAGCATTCATTAAATTCAAACTAATTTATGTGGTTATAGAATTTAACGAACTTGGTTTATATATAGCATATACTAACCGATGCGAGTAAAGCCTGAGCTCCAGCCAATTTATTGTCCCAGCTGAATTCATTCACGGCTTGGCTCCAACCTTGATTGCTTGTAACATACGTTATGTACTTCTCCTCTCCTGTTGCTTTGTATAGCCAAGCCGCAGCCCATAATAACTCATCCTTTTTTTACCCCAAATAATAATAAAACAATAAAGTATATTAATTCATTTTATATAACATGAAAGCATTCGTATAATTGTATTTGGAGGTTGGTTTGAGCCGTTTATTGAAATAAATCGATATATATCTATGTGTACCGGTTTGATTCGATCTAATTACCTGGTAGCCTGAGTACGAGCAGTAGAAGGGGCAAGATGCTTGATAAGAACCCCTGTACTTATCAGCAAATTCAAATAGCTGCAAAAAATAGAAAAAAAAAGGATACGTTAAACCAAATAATTACGTACGTACGCATTTACAGAATTGGGTTCAGCTCATGATGATTGAATGTTATGATCATAAGCTACATATGCTAAGAATTAATTTGTATATATCATATACTCACGGATTTTGCATGGTTTAGCAGTTTGGATGAATATTTAGAATCGACCGGTTTGAAAACAATTGCGGCGGAGGCAAGAGCGGCTGCGGCTTCACCGGCGGCTTCGGAACCGGGTGAAGAGGAAGAGATCTTGTAGAGAGTTCTGGCTGTGTCCATATCTTCTGGCCTCTCCCAACAAGCATGATCTGAATTCCCATCTCCTACCTTTTTACGACCATTATAAAAAAAAACGATTTTAAAAAAACGACTTGAATTTTGATAGTAGCATATGAATTTCACTTAGGAATGTACAATTCAATTTAATTTTCAAAAAAAAAATCTGATGCAAATTATAAAAATCTTTAAGATATTTCATATAAAGAAAATTATTTAAAAAATTAGAATGCAAACGTATACTATAGCGAACGTGAATATTGAAATAGGTTTAAAAAATGTGATGATTGATGATATTGGTAAAACAAGAAAAACTTAAATGGAAACCAAGATCTGATATCTATAGTTGAAAATGTGGCGGTTTTGAATTACTGAAATTTTCGGTTGTAAATGAAGAATACTTAAATATTTACCGTACAATAAAATATACGGTATGTTGGGTTTTTCTTATACCAGCCGCATCATTACATGTCATGGTTCGGCTAGTTACTTTTGATTTCGAGCAAAAAAACGGATTTACCTGTGTATATAGTGTGGTGGGCGAAGTATGAGCGCGGAGGATAAAATTGGTTCCCCATTTGATAGAAGACCGAAGATAACCGAGTTGGTTTACGGAGGAAATCTCTTTTTGGTATTCAATTGCAGCCCAACTCAATAAGGTTGTGGTAAATGACATTGGCCACACAAATTTTACATTGTCACCTGCGTCATAGTACCCTCCAATCAAGTTCACCTGGAAAATGAATCAATTTCCAACGTTTAAAACACACGAAAATTGGTTAAGATATAGCATAATGCCAAAATTGTTGATGAAATGTAGTTTACGTTATCTGGTTCACCGTCGGAGAGGGCAGAATCGGCTCGCCAATTAACCCGTTGCTTAACCGGTAGTTTACCGGATCGTTGGCCTTCAAAGAACAAGATGGATTTGTTTAGTGCTTCTCTATAGTCAAGAGCTTCCAAGCTTTCGAAAGCCATGAAAATGCCAATTAACATTACCACCATAAACTTGGCCATTATTATCACTATAGTTGCTTTTTAGAAATGTTTCTTCTTTGTAATAGGTTTTTGTGGTATCTTAATTTTGCATGAAATGGTTCATGGGATTATTTATAGATATCCCATGCAAGTAAAGTTGCATACGTAATTTCATATCATGATCTGTCTCACGTAATTTTAGGTTTATTTGGCTGCACTGTTTTTTTTTCTAAACCATTTGGTGGCACTGTTTTTTTTTTTTTTGGTTCTGTTAATAAAAAATATAACAGTGCAGCCAAATTACCAACAATAAAAGTTTTAATGGTTACGGAATCACAATAAAAGGTTATCAATATAGCAAGTTGTTATTGTTGACATTTCAAATGACATCTTATTTGCTAACCACCATACTGTACTTCGTTTTTTCTTTTGTATATAGATTTTTTATTTAATGTACTACGATTATTAATATTTTTCCTTTAAATAGGTTGTCTTCTGGCATATATATTTTGATTGAATCTGGCACTACTTTTGGGTTTCAGATTCGTTTTAGTAATAAAAATTAAAGCTAGATCAAATCTCATTTCTGAGATCATGGCACTTCCCAGCTTATAGCTCATCTCGATTCTCGAACGATCGATCCCACACTAGCTAGGATCAGTAATATATACCCTAATTAGACATTCGTGTTTGGTTAATAATTTGGCCTACACAATTTTGTAGAGTTCAACTCAAAACTTATTGATAAATATGCAAAATTAATTCTAAAAATTAATGGACTACCAACTAAAAATATTTTTCCATATGACCATATATATATTATATACACATTTTAAATCTCATCTCATTTTCGGTATAGAGTTTCTTCTATAATTCCTTCTACAACAGATTAACATCAGCTTTCTAAATACATGCGAACACAAATCCTGTAATAATCAACCATAAATTTGGAAGGTCTTACGTATTTTTACTGGTGTAATTATATGTCTGGAACTATTTTTGGTTCATTTACAAGTTTTTGGTTATTAGGGGCAGTGGCGGAGCCACATGAAGAGTATGGGGGCAGTTGCCCCTGATGAATTTTTTTTTTTTAGTGTTATTTTGCTAAAATCAAATTTTATAGTTCTAATATGTTTTAAATTTTATATGATCTGCCCCTTATGAAAATTGATCATAAATCCGCCTCTGATTAGGGGTCAAAAATCAAATACGCCGGTTATATATGAGACGTATTTAATATAATGTGTATGGTACCAAGAAAAAATGTGTATGGTATCAAGAGCTCTATATAACAGTCATGATATATCACATTGATACTTCAACCTAATATTTTTTAAACAAAAAGGGGTCAAAATCAAATACGCCGGTTCCATATACTTATAGAGTTTTGGATATACAAGCAAATATAGTAAATAATAATCATACAAAAATAACCCATATTTGTTTTGTTGGAAATAATTCATGTTTGTTAACTTTCATAGATAATGTATCCCAATATCCAAATTCTAATCATACAGATAAAATAGATACTTCCTGCAGTAATGTGCAATTGATTCAGTACTTGGATTGTGGTCATTGGTCAAAAGAAAAATCTTATCTGAAACATACAAAGATAACTATGTGTGAAAACGCAATCGGTGGCGTTTATCACGTTTGAGAAAAACTGATTGGCTGGAACTAGTGGCAGTGATATGGGGATGCCGTGCCGTAGAAATGACTGTATAAAATATTTAACACCCATTCCTTGAAACGTCAATGTAAGATTTTGCCGTTAGTCTTTTGATTTTCCTATGTAGTTGCGATAACCTCATTTCATTTATTCATTACTATATTTAGTTGTTTGTTCTCTATGTTTTCCTGCAAACATATTGCGGAAATTTCTTGCGTGTTGTTCATCGCATGTTTTTTCCTTCATCCTCATTTTTTTTCTAAAGAAAAAAATAAGAACTCAACAAGAGACGGTCTATACTAGTTCATTTAGTTTAATCATACATATGCTATACTTATCCTAGACTCGTTTTTTTCTAACTGACTCTCGATAGCGATTGACGTTATCCTCATGGTTTATACAATAAGGTAGTAGCGTGTATAAGTTTGTATATATAAAGATTTCGCGACTCTATCCTTTTGGAATATGAGAAAAAAGGAAAAAGACTTTTCTAAAGTTTTGGTATATATAAATATTTTTTTAGAACAGGTCTTATAATCTATAATTTTTTAAACTGAAAAATCCACCAAACTAAGATATGTTTTTTTAATTAATATATCAATATGTCATTTCCATGTTATTTTTATTATAAAAAGGCAAGTAAGCAAAATTATGGTACACAGAAAAAGGGTTTGTGATCTTTGTTATGATTTTAAAAGTGTAGAATTTGACTATGAACTCGTTACTCGCAAATTCGTCAGAAAATATGGTAACCATCTAGAACCATTGTATTATTAATTCTGTTTTAGTAATCCTATTATGCTCCTATTCACAAGCCATTCTCACAATTTATTACTATGTTTTTTTCTTTTTCTAATGCTTCTTTTTCATATTATTTTTTCTGGCAAATGAGATCTTTATATATACTGCCCCAAGAAGATTTATGATCATAAAAAACGATTTACGGTATAAAATAAATGAAAGTAATCAACTGGGGCCAAAAAAATAAGGTGATGGGTCTCTGATATGGGAAAGCATGTGACAAAGTTTTATGGCCACTATTCTATTTTTCGCCTAACGCAACTTCGTGTACGTTACATCTCCCCATTAATATTGCGTTAATTACTCCGCCAAGAGCACCTTTTCATTTATGATTCACTTGACAATTTGTATTATTAGATAAATTTCAATAACTTGCACACTACAGAGAATGAAAAAAAAATCTCCTATTTTAAGCCATCAATCATCATGAGAATGAGATCCAAATTGATTCGGTCGTATTTACAGTGTAGAGATCACTGTTCTTTCACTTGGAGGAGAGGTATCTGTTTCCATCTGCAACTTGAACACCAGATTTGGATCCTTTGGAGTTTGGAAGTGTTTATATAGCTTAGTTCTTGTGTTTATACCATAAAACATCCATAATAAGATGAGATATAGTTGTTAGGCCAACTTTTATAAATAGTTAACTTTAGCTAGGAGTCTACAAATCTTGTCGCTGCCACCATGTTGCTTCAATCTTGACACTCCAATGCAAACTCGTATTAGACTATAATCCCGGTCTTAGAAGATCATGGATCCATCATCCATGGCAACAGATTATAGCAACACTTCCTTGTCAGTCTGAAACTAAATGGAATTTTTGAGAAGCACCAGGATCTACCGATTTAGTTAGCCACAAATGCTACAATAACATACTCCATGAGCCATTAAGGTGACTTGCCTCCAACACTTATACTAAGCCCACACTAATCCACACTTGTTTCCATCAAATATCCAAACTGAGCTTGTTTAACGGGACCAGCAATTGATACGGTTAACATAAAGTTAAGGCGATGGGCATAGCAAACAAAGAGGTATAAAAAAAAACTGGACTAAAGAGAATGGGACCAAACACTGTTGTTCACTCTCAAATTTGACTAACAAGAAAACACAATATAAACTTCTGATAACGGCAGTGAGACTGTTGTAATCTGTGAACATTCCCATCCGTCGTTTGAAGCTTAAATATTCAGACATAAGAAAACTGATTTTGGGAACTCCTTGGCTTTATATAATAACAAGAAAATAGAGTTGAGCATCTTCCCTGCCTTAAATCTTGAACAGAGTAGTATATGGCACTAGTTTTTCTTTAGATCGCCTGGGGTAAGAAACTAATCATAGTCTTGGCCCTTCTGTATTATAAAAACTATGGGATCTTACATAAAAAGATAAAGCTAATAGCAAAAGCTACCGAAGTCGAACAACTTTTTATGTTCTGATTCTCAGTTTTTTTATCCTGCCTGACATCTCAACTTCGACACTATCCTGGTTCAATCTCGGCAAATTAGGTGAACATAGAGACGAAGCAATGCACTCGAGAGCTTACAAGATTTGACCAAAGCACTTATACCAGATTTGAATTAAGTAAATGGGAGGGGCCGCGCGAACGCAGGCTCCCACGGCCACAAATAATGACGCAGGCTCTCCCACTTGGGGAGACCTTAAGCTAAGCGCCCCTCCTAAGTGTGCAATGGAGGTCACTAGCTTAGGCCACTCGTCTTCTTGATCGCGAGTTGACCCCGTCCAGGTAAGTACCTTTCAAGGTTCGACCTTGGCCTTCTTTTATACTACATCAGAGATGAGTGTCCTATCGCCAAGCTTCCGATGTGGGAGAAGGCAACATTCTTTATATAGGCCAGAGGTTTCGTTATTTCATCAGGCCTTTTTTCTGACACTGATGATGAGCCTTATTTAATGATTATATTCTGGCCCAGATCAAACCCATTTGATTATGCTTGTCTTTTTTTTCTTTTTTTCATTAATTTCACTACTATGTCTACTTCTTTTTGTCTAATTTTGCCTCAAAAGAGCATAGTTACATAGATAGGCCTATATTTGTTTGTTACATAGATAGGCCTATATTTGTTTGTCACATATATATATATATATATATTTTTTTTTTATATAAAAATCTTATTAATTGTTTTGATATAAACAAACATTTTACACATGACTAATGTTTTAGTTGCTTCTTTTAGAAAAACATAGTAGAGAGAAGATTGGTTCGAAAGAAGACACGATAGGTTTTATTTGTTGAAGTTATTGGTTTTTGAGAAGATATCAAAGTGGATTTTTGATGGCATGCAGATCAAGAAATCCTTCAGTCCAAGTCTGTTTCAGCAAAAAGCCTATAAGCAAATAAGAAATATCAATATTGTTGGGCGTTGAGGATGGAACAAACTCTTTTTTTAAAACAACCTATGATTAACCAATGGAAAGAGATTGGAGAAAATAACTCGAATTTCATTGACATTTATAAAATTCTTGTTATTTGTCATTCACTCATATACAAATAGATGAGTACTATTTAAATTGACTTCACAACATCCACTTGACACACAAATAAGTTGTCTTCTTTCTCCAACCCCACACGTATTTGAATCTTCCAATAAAGTTCTACGAAACCACGAGGAAAAATGTTCCCCCTTAGTCTTTGGTGATTCATTAATTTTGTTAAATGCCAATCAGTTCCTTTTCATAAGTAATTTGTGATATGAACAAAGAAAAAAAAAACAATTTTACAGGAAAAAAACAAGGAAAAATCGTTGAAAAAGGGAAAATATTCTTTTAATTTGTATTGAACTCCCTGAACTTCCCTCACAACACAAACTCGCAAAAAAAAAAGGAACAATCTAGAAGGGAAAAGAGAACATCCATCTCTCTACTCTTTATATATACTTTGGTCCTTTAAGCAAAATCATACAAAGCCTTGCCCTTTACTTCATTCCCATCTTCTTCAGTCGAATCATCTTCTTCTCTCAATCTAAGCAAGTGTTTTAAGGAAACCCAAACGACATGGCTCATGAGCTTGCAGCCAAGGCTAAAGAGGCTTTCGTAGACGACGACTTCGATGTTGCTGTTGACTTGTACTCCAAAGCCATTGACTTGGCTCCCAATTGCGCCGAGTTCTTCGCCGATCGTGCTCAAGCTAACATCAAACTCCAAAACTTCACCGGTATAGCTTCTTCTTCGTTCTGTAATCAAAACTATATTTTTTTTGTTGCAGGAGAACATAAAGCTTCGTCTTTTACTGTCGTGGACGTCTTTTAGGATAATGGGTTTTCATGTCCTTGGTCTCTTATCTCGTTTTAGGGATTATAGCTGAATTTTGCCCGGTTCTGTGTGAATTTAGGGATAATTTTTGTATTTTGTAATATTTTATACTGATATGGTTGATTGGGCTATGCCATTGTACGCATTCTGGTTTAACTGTGCTAGTCTTTTGATTATGAACCTGGAAAGTTCGGTTTTTTCAATTAGTAACGGTTTTGAAAAATTTCAACTTTTGCTTGAGGTATCAGTATTTTAGCATATAACTATTGCGTGTTTTAGGAAACCATCCTCTGCATCTTCCTTCCCATTGTTTGGTTGCGACATAGTGTGATAAAAATTTACTGGTCCTATGAGATTCTTGGGTCTGACTCTCACATGTTTCTTCAATGAGCAGAAGCAGTGGTAGATGCAAACAAAGCTATTGAGTTGGATCCCTCATTGACCAAAGCCTACCTAAGAAAGGGGTATGTTATTGCTATTACATCCCGTGTGTCATTGACTCATTGTTAATCGTGTATTATAAGTTTTAGTAACATTTAAACTCAATAGCTGATTCCTTGGTATTTGTAGCACTGCCTGTATGAAACTTGAAGAATATCGGACTGCTAAAACAGCTCTTGAAAAGGGTGCTTCCATCGCACCAAGTGACTCCAAATTCAAGAAGTTGATTGATGAATGTGATCTTCGAATCTCTGGTATATTCTCAATGCTTGTTTATCTTTTGTTGTTGTCTGGTTGATCAGGTTTACATTCTCTGAGTGATTGGTCTAAACATTTTGATATGATACTTCTTTGTTCAGAAGAAGAGAAAGATTTGGTTCAACCGGTGCCATCGGCTTCGCCTTCAAGCTCTACGGCACCACCAGTATCAGAAGTTGATCTTACCCATGCCCCTGCAGCACCAGCCAAAGCGAAGTACAGGTACTTTCATTGTTGCATACAATGCTATTTTCGACACCGTTTCAAGGTTTAAGAATCATTAAGTATCTCATGCTCTTCATTGTTCAACAGACACGAGTTCTACCAAAAGCCAGAAGAAGTTGTGGTAACTATCTTTGCGAAAGGGATACCGAAGCAGAGTGTTAATATCGACTTTGGTGAACAAATTGTGAGTAGAGTGAAATCTAAGAACCCACCTCTATGAATGACGCTTCTGTGTGATTATGTGTTAACTAACTTCTCTGTATCGTTCTGTGATTTGCAGCTGAGTGTTGTGATTGATCTTCCTGGAGAAGAGGAGGCGTATCATCTCCAACCTAGATTGTTTGGAAAGGTAACTTCTTTGTCGAATGAATCAATGTTGGTTTGTCCTTTCACACTCTTCTGAGTTGTGACCACATTGTATGTGACTTTTATCTTTTACGGTGTGTATATTCAGATAGTACCAGACAAATGCAGATATGAAGTATTGTCAACGAAAATCGAGATCCGTCTTGCAAAAGCCGATATAATCACATGGGCCTCTCTTGAACACGGCAAAGGGCCAGCTGTTTTGCCAAAGCCTAATGTCTCATCAGGTGTCCTTCGTCATTTAGTTTTCATCTGTTGAGCTTTAAACTACAGTTCTCTTGACATGTGAAATCTTATGTTGTTTTGTGTAATGGTGTGGCAGAGGTTTCGCAGAGGCCTGCGTATCCTTCTTCTAAGAAAGTTAAGGACTGGGACAAGCTGGAAGCTGAAATGAAGAAACAGGTCTGTCTCTTTAACATCATCATATGCTTAAGTCTGGACAAACTCTTTTGTTGTTTCCTTTTCTGTTTGTTTAATTGTGTTACTGATGATTTTGCAGGAGAAGGATGAGAAGCTGGAAGGAGACGCAGCTTTGAACAAATTCTTCCGTGAGATATACCAGAGTGCGGATGAGGACACGAGACGTGCCATGAGCAAATCATTTGTGAGTATCCTATCTATATTCACTTTGGTTTTTCTTTTTTTACATAAGTTTTGTTCTTTTGATTTGACTCATTTTGGTTTTGGAAAACGAACAGGTGGAATCGAACGGGACAGTGCTGTCAACGAACTGGAAAGAGGTTGGGACTAAGACGATCGAGAGCACTCCTCCGGATGGCATGGAGCTCAAGAAATGGGAGATCTGATCTCATCTGATCCTTTCTTTTGATGCATTTGTGGGTTTTGCCTAAATCTTAATTCATGGTCCCTTTCTTCCTGTAATGAGGATCATAAGGTTTTGCTTTTGCTAAATATGACTCTCTCTTCTCTACTCTCTTGCTATTGGTTGTCATGGGTCTTAGGATCAAATTCATCATTAAAAAAACTATTTTGAAGTTGTAACTATTGTCTTCAAAACCAAATACCTATAGCATATAAATGATCGCAAGGCAATATGAGTTTAATGTCCAAATCACAATTCATTATGCATCACAAATCACATCCGGGTTGAACATTACTGATGTGATTTTTTATCTTCCAAAAGAGGCCCACCGTAAACCTTGTAACAGTACTGTAGGTTTTAAGAGGCCCACTAGGAAAAAGAGAAGAAGCCCACTACGATAAACATGTCAGTGTAATGGTATTTAAGGTATCTGTCCTTCCCAAACGTAATATTCTTGTTCTCCATGATATGCGAATGTACGAAAGATACATTCTTTTTTTTGTTGTTGTTAAAGTGCCTACGAAAGATACATTCACCATTTCATCCATCTATATGAAACAACGTGGTATAGGTTTGCTAAAATAAATCATGGTGAGTGTGTGTATCTTAAAGCCACAGGAGGAAAAATTTATATCTTAAATTACAGAATATCATTTGTCGACAAAAAAGTAGAAGAAGATTATCATTTGTTTAATTGTTTAATTAAATCATGTTGCTGATGATAAAACATAGGTATCATTTACTTTTCATGGTTTTTAATCTGATCGATTGATATAAGTGAACAAAAAACATGAATTTTTCGTGTTAATTTTGAAACAAAAGAGAGCCATGTAAATTTTGTAAAGAAAATAAAATAAAAGCTTCCTCACAATTAATCTAGCATCAAGTTTATGTTTTTTCCCAAATTTGTACCCATATACATATTATGTTTATCCAATTTATGTATTAATAAATGCATAACCATATTCATATTTAGTTTCCAATATACATATATATAATCCTGATCTAAGATCTATATACGCCTTGAGGCATACGTAATGAAGATAATCCAGTGAAGAAAAGACCTTTTTTCCTAAGTATATTAGGAAAACAAATTGAATCCCATCATCTCTCTATATATATAATAAACAAACCACACGGACTCTCACAAATCACAAACTAAAAAACAACAAGCTTTCTCCCGAACTCCAAAACAACAACAAAATAACCCTAACCCTCCGATAAAGCTTCTCTTCAACAATGGTGAATACTTGTAGAATCAGCTTCATCAGCATGGTGATCCTCTTGCTCTTTATCAATCAATCTGCCCTCTCTTCTTCTGTACGCATTCGTCTCATTGAAGGCCGAGTTCTTGTTAACGAGAAGCAACGCGATCGCCCGACTTATGATGAGATTGAGAAAGCAGACAGGGCACGCCTCGATTATTTGTTTTCAAGGATGATTGAGGCTGAGACCAATCTGCTTGAAGTTGATTCTCGCCCGCTCTCCACGATGGATCTTGTTACTAATAGGATTCCTTCCTACTGATGAATATATTCGAAGGCCTATCAACTGAAACATTACATCTTCTCATGGCTGAAGATGAAGTTAGTCATGGTCGATAGCATCATCTTGATCTGAAACTTTTTTTTTTACTGTGGTTAGTTATTCTATGTATCTTGTTCAATAAGTCATTTAGGGTTTCGACTTTTGTGTAAGGTTTTTTTTTAGACTCGATGAATAATAATACAATAAACCCCTCTTTTTACCAAAGTGAGATCGATCGAAGCGTGTAAGGATTTTTTTGAGACTCGCTGAATAATAAGACTAACTAATGAAAAAATTTAGAAAAGAGAAGTAAATTTAATGTTCCTTGTCATAAGTATAACTGTTTCTTTCAATATATGCGAACGAAGGATCACAATGAAAGGGTGGTGTCTGGAAGCGATAGCATCAGAAGATTTGCGGGTTTTGTTAAGCAGGATCATAAAGGGTGAAGAAACCACAACCCTTAGAGTGATAGTATGGTTAATTCCACTGATGATGGTGAGAGTTTTTTGTTTTGCTTTCAAAAGTATAAATTAGCTCCTTTTCTCAGTTTAGAATAATATATCAATGTAAAAATACTTCAATTAGTATGATTAACATTTGTAGAAAATTCAACTCATATAAAACTCCAAATAATATCTCTATTTGTTATATATTAAGTTAATACAATATATTTTAACTTTTAAAAAATTCAGGCGAAACAAATATTTTTCTTTTTATAAAATATATTGTATTTAATAGAAAAATTATGCCAAATTAGCTAAAAATACATATTTTGTCATCGTTTTAAATTGCATGTAGCTCACAGAAACTCATCTAAATTGATCATATTTTTGTTGTTCTGTATATCTATATATAGTTATCAATCTTATCTAGAATCGTTTTCGGGACTATAACTTATTAAATTTGATTATAATTTTGTTGAGGCAGCTTCCTTTAAGTAACGAGCGCAAGTCATGGAATTACACTATTTGTATTGTATGATCCGTAAAATTAGCTTATGAAGTTTAACATATATATATATTTTTTTTAATATGAAGTTTAACATTAAGTAGATTTTTCTTTTTGGTCGAAGATTGGGAGATTAAACCTCCCAGATTTTATTCATAAAACTTAAACTCCTAGTATACATAAACTTACTTTGGTCGTGTAGACCCCAGTTTGACATCGTGAAAAATAGAAAGTAAACTATCTGGAATCGAGTCTAAACACTCATAACCAAGCGGAATGGTAAATGCATACTCAGCTAGTCCATCTGCATGATAGTTAGCCTCTCTGTATACATGAAAAAATTGGACTAACCAATCCCACGAAACAAAACCATAATACAAATGTACTAGGAATGATAATGAGTATGAATCACTAACCCTTGTTTTGAGAAACTCTAGCACTTGCTTTGAGTCCACTTCCACCTCCAACCATGAGATCTTCTTCTCCCAAGAGATAAACAATTTATAGTAGACCCCTCACAGTTCTGCTAACGTTGCTGTGCATCTACCTAAGTGCACTACAAAGCCTCCACACCAATTGCCATTACTGTCTCTTATAACTCCTTCAGCCGTAGCTAGTCCCGGGTTCCCTCTCGAAGTGCCATATGTATTTAGCTTAAACTATCCCCTATTCGGAGCAACCCAACCAATCATTTTTTTCACGCGTGTCCGCACTTGCCCCTGTCCCTTATGAAGTGCATTAGCAACCATCACTTCCTTGGCCAACTCTCTTATGAAGCGCGACTCGATCCCTACATGTCCCATTCTCCCCATACACATTCTCACATCTCCATTTCCATCCCCACCATATAGCTATTGCGAACATTGTCGACCAAAGAGATTCATCTACTAAGTTATGATTTCCCAAATTCTCATAGAGCCATTCCAAGATAGACCTTTGAAAGAACTCCTGCCTTCGCCTTAATGGGACAATACAAGTCCATATCCCTTCCATAGCAGATCAGTCTCTAAGGATGTGTAGCGTGGATTCAATGCCTTCTTTGCAGACTTGACACACATTAGAATCATACAAATGCCTTCTTTGTCTCTCCTCATTAGACATTATCACCTGATTACTCACTAACCAGATAAACACTCTCACCCGTTCTGGTGCCATCACCATCCAAATACGGCGAAAAAGTTTTCATCTGTTGTCTTGGCTTTGCGTCGCTTGTCAACATGTTATATGCGGACTTCACAGTAAAACTTCCATCTGCAGTTCCCCTCCATAACAGACGGTCCTTAGCACCTGTGACATTATCAACGACCATGACCAAGAGTTGTAGTCTCTTGTTTTCTGAAACAAATGGGGCAATTTTATCCATTAACCATCCCGAGAAATCTCTCCACAAGTCTTTCACCAATAATGTTATGTCCCTCTCTGCTAGTTCTCCAGTGACAGACTCAATCAAAGGTCTCCCATCAAGCCATGTATCTATCCAGAATCTGACTTTCCTTCCATATCCCACAACCCAACCCATCTCTTTCAAGTCCACATCTCGAAAGCCAACCATCACATTACGCCATGTCAAAGATCATGTTTCCTCTAGCTACCATCCAGCTCAAATCGTGTACCTCTCCCACCTTGTATTTGCTCTGCACCACTTGGGCCCAAAGACTCTCTTTATCATGTAGTAACTGCCAACTAATCTTGGGTATTAATGCCATGTTCATATCTTGTGCTGCACGGATTCCCAAACCCCCTTCTCCTTTCGAACAACAGACTCGCTGCCTTGCCATCAAGTGTTGCTTTCTCTTACCATCTGTGCTCCCCCATAAGAAAGACCGAGATATTTGATCCAGTTACTCTAGAGTCGACTTTGGTAATAAGATGGTACTCATGGAATGTACCGGAGTAGACGTTAACACCGCCTTCGTCATTGTTATACGTCCTGCAAGACTAAGCACCCGACCTTTCCATCCTGATAATCTGGACGAGACTCGTTCTAACACCTCTCCAAAAGTCTCTTTATTAAAACATTTCTGAAGCACTGGCATTCCCAAATATTTCCCCAGCTCTCTAGTTGATTTAATCCCACTCTCGTGGCTGATCTGATTACCCAATTCTAATGAAATATTCTGAAAAAAGAATATTTTTGACTTCTCTAAACTAACCTTCTGCCCTGAAGCTACACAGAACCTCTTCAGGAAACTTCTGATCACTTTAATCTGGGACAGAAATGCCTCCACAAACAAGATTAAATCATCCGCAAAGCAAATATGTGATAACTTTGGTCCTCCTCTCGAAAGGCTAATTGGCCTCCATTTCTTGTCTGCAGTAGACTTATCAATGAGATGACATAGTCTTTCCATACACAAGACAAACAGATATAGAGACAAAGGGTCCCCTACCTTGGGATGGGCTAAAGGCTTTGTTTTTTTCTCCATTCCACAGAACATCATTGCCGGCCCTGATGCGCATTGTATTATCCATCTAACCCAACTATTCGACAAGCCTGATGCAATAAGAGTATCCTACAGGAAGTCCCACCTTATTATGTTGTATGCCTTCTCAAGATCCAGTTTCAAAAGCATCCACCCCTTCCTACCTTTTTTCTGTCTCATCTAGTGGACTGCCTCTTGGACGATAACTATATTATCAGTTCTCAACCTGCCTGGTATAAAGCTTGATTGATCTGGTCCAATGAGCTTGGTCATAACGTGCTTCAAGCAGTTCACCATTGTCTTGGTAATGGTCTTAAACAAAACATTACACAGACTAATCAGACGGAATAGGGTGATCTTCTTCGGTTTTATCACATTGGCAATCAAGACAAGCAGCACATCATTCACAGCTCTCGGTAATATTCCAGACTCGAAGAAATCTAGAACAAATCGAGTGACTGAGCCTCCAACAACATCCTAAGAATGCTGAAAAAAGCTGGTTGAAAGCCATCGGGCCCCAGGGCTTTAAAGCTTCCCATTCCTCTAACTTCCTACTCCACTTCCTCAGCTAGAAATGGTTTATTCAACCCTGACCAGTCATCATGTGTTAACTGTACAAATCCGTCATGTGGCAGCTTCTCCACCTCTGCATCTACATCTTCTAGTCGGTACAATCGCTTAAAATAATCAATGGCAATTCTCTCTAGTTCCTTCGTGTCTGTAATCCAATGGCCTCCATCAGCTTTCAACATCTCAATTCAGTTGTTGGCGTATAATAGTGGAAGTGTGAAAAAGCTAGTATTTCGATCACCCAAAGCTATCTACTTTTCTCTAGACTTCTGGAACCAAATCATTTCTTTTTGTGCCAACACCACATCAAACTCTTTTATAAGAGCATCTTCCTTCTCCAGCAGACTATCTGTTTGAACCAACTCCAACAGATCCTGTACTGCTTTAATCTCAGTTACCAACTTTTCTTTCCTCCTCTGAACATCTCCAATAACTTCCCTGTTCCACTTTTTCAAAGTCTCTCCCAGCCCATCCAAAGCCTCTGGAGTACCTATGTCACTCGTTCACGATGCTTCCAGGAGATCCTTAAAGCCTTTGTGTTTCATACAAGCTGCTTCTAATCGAAATGGTCTGCTTTGCAGGTCTCCTTGACATAAAGACGAGAGCTGTAAGTACATGGGAGCATGATCTTAGGATAGAAATGGTAAGTGCGTCACCTTTGCTTCTTGCCATTTTAGTCGTGAATTCGCACAACACAGTACATGATCAAGTCTCTTCGCCACACATGTACGCTCAGATCGTCCTGCACGCCAGGTAAACTTGTTCCCATTGAAGTTCATACCAATTAAGGATAGGTTGTTAATCCACTCCCCAAAGGCTAAATAGTCCACCAAGAATCCTCCACTTCCTCCCGATCTATCCTCTACTCAAAGGATCGTATTAAAGTCTCCTCCTATTACCACTGGTCCAGTAACTCCATTAACCACATCTCTCAGCTTATCCCATAAACCCCTTCTCCGACTAGCTGATGGTGCTGCATAGACGACAACTAGATTAAGACTTTCATCTCCATTAACTATTTTTGCATGAATAAACTGGTCCGAACACCACCTCCACTTCGCTTAACCCAGATCTCCACAGTAATTATAAACCACCATTTTGACCCACTGCGTCAACTTTATACGAATGCTCGAAGCCTAGCCCTCGACATATCCTCCCCGCATGATCACCACCCTCATGTGTCTCAAAAATTATGAGGACATCAGTGTTAAACTTCTTCAACATGTACTTGATAGACTTTATGAAGTTGGGTTTGTCCCCCCCCCCCCCCCCCCCCTGGCAATTCCATAGTAGACAATTCATCAATAATCTTTGATATGAGAGTGGAATAACCGGGGCGATCCGTTATTGGGTTGCATCCCCTGATCGCACCATTTCCCTCCCTTCCTCTGTCGAAACACTCCGATGGGCAACATCCCCATCCTCCGAGACAGGAACCGTAATTTGCCTTGGAATCTTCAATACCTCATCATGACTCTGTATTAACTGTGGCCCTTCAAGCAAAATTAGTGATTGGTTCACCAAGAAACTCCCTGATTTTCCCAAACTCTCTCTCTCTCTCCTGAATTGCTTGCCATTGAAAGAAAGTTCCACAATACCTTTCGTTGGGCCAAACACTAGACCTCTTGTGGGCTTTGTATTTTTCAATAATTTGGGCCTAACTCCAATACTCTCCATTGTCCTATAATTTCCGGTTTTCTTATCCTTTAGTCCTTTTCGAATACCCACCTTTTCTCGCCCCAACGGGACCCCAGCCAGAGTATGCTTCTCTTGCTCCACACTCCCCTCTTCCCTCATTTGATTCTTTGTGTCCACATTCTCCTTATTCTCCTCTGTGATCACCATTTCATCCCTTAACTCCTCAGATATCATATATTCTCCCAAACTCTCCAAGCTGTTTGATATCACCACATTTGTAGGTGCTTTAGTACTAAGGGATGATCGCGAACTCTTTCTTAATATACTTCCAGAATCTCCAGCCGGTGACACTTCCTTACTCACCCCATTATCCCCTTTTATTCCTCCAGACTTAACCATAGTAAAACCATCTTCTCGCTGGTCCTCCCTAGATGGTATCACTGCTACCACCTTGCTCTGTCCATGAGCTGCTACGGTTCTCTCCTGGTTTGTCACTGTCTCCCCTATCGCACATCCATGAACTAGGTGTCCGTATATACCATGTTTTGGAACAAACATTAGTGAGCCCGTCATATGATACAAAATAGCATTCTTCATTGATCACAATTGTCCCTTTCAACGGGTTTTTCAGGTTTACTTCCACACACACCCTTGCAAACCGAACCCTTTCACAATTGAGAGTCGTAGAGTCCACGTTGATCGGGTTCCCCAGCCCTTTGGCTATACCTTAAAGGATCGATTTATGGTAAAAGTTTACTGGAAGATTTAACAGACAAACCCAAACTGGTGTGGTTGTTATCTCATGACACAAAGGATCGAACCCCGCAGACCAAGCCTTCACCATGAGATAACTTCCAAAGACCCTTTATGGCCCTCCTGTTACCGCTGCGAGGTACTCTTCCTTCGATTCGAATCTGACCATGAAAAATTGTCGTGGGAGATCTATAATATATATCGCTCCTTTCGGTTTTCACATCTCCCTCAGCCTTCTACTCAACACCGAGAGTGCAATGTTTCGACCTAGAACCTTAACTATCATGCACTTACTCCACAGCTTATTCATTGCCGCCAATACTTCCTCCCCGATTCTGATCACTGGTTCTCCATCCTCATCATCCGGAAATTCCAAACACAATCTCTCCCTAACAAACTGATCATCCAACACGTCTTCCGGGTTCAGCATCCCTCCTGCCTTACTCCCAATCACCTTACTCACCCATGACCCCAAGCCGTCAGGAGGGTTACCTGGTGGTCGGCTCCTTTTGGTTTCCACATCTCCCTCAACCTTCTACTCAACACCGAGAGTACAATGTTTCGACCTAGAACCTTAATTATCATGCACTTACTCCACAGCTTATTCATTGCCGCCAGTACTTCCTCTCCGATTGTGATCACTGGTTCTCCATCCTCACCATCCGGAAATTCCAAACACAATCTCTCCATAACAAACTAATCATCCAACACGTCTTTCGGGTTCAGAATCCCTTCTGCCTTACTCTCAATCACTTTACTCACCCATGACCCTCCGTCGGAAGGGTCACCTGGTGGTCGGCTCCTCTCCCCGACATCCACCATCGTAGCATCGCTGCTACTTGCATCTAAAACCCTAGAATCGCTCAAAACCCTAACAGCCATCTTTGTAGTATTGTATGTTAACATTAAGTAGATCTGATCACGACTCTTATGGTTTTAAAATTTCTGTTTATAATTTTGTAGTGTATTTAAACATTTTAAAGTTTTAACGTAATTGGTTTTGTTAAATATGACTTCGATTAGTAATATAATAAAATTGTGGAATGACGGAAAAAATTAAACATAAAATGATGAAATGCAAAATAGTAAAATAATTATTTTTGATATGATTGGATAAATTGTGCGTAATAGCGGAATAATTGAATAACAGAAAATATATAAAATTAAATTTTAATAATATATTTTTATAATAATTTGATATCATAAAATTAAAATATTAATTATTATAAAACATAATTTTAATATAATTAGAAAAAAATTATTGTAAATATTTATTTTTATTTTTTATTTTTTATTTGCTACAAAATATATAAATATATTACAAAATTTAATCTATAGATAAAGTATGATCATTATTTAAATAGATATAGTATAAATTTATTTATTTATATTTATTTAAATAATATATATAATTAATTATATAACTGAATGATATAAAATATTAATTTAACAAATAATTCAGCTGAAACATATTTTTCATTTAATAAAGTTCTTTGTATTTTTTTAAGTATTTTCGCCATTTCATAAAATTCGAATTTTGATATTTTTTCACAAATTTTTATGATTGATAATTTTTTTACAGAATAGTATTTATTTGTCATTACACTATTCCGCAAAGTTTACGGATGAGAGCCACTATCACCGTAAATAGTTGAAGATCCAAATTAAATAGACTCACATATCGATGCTCATCTGTTAAATATTTTATAATAAACGAACTATTTTACGTTGACAAATTTCTGCAATCACCGTGGCATGTAGGGACTGAAGATACGTTATTAATTCATTCACTTTTGTCTCTCATCTCTATATTAATATGAAAATACACACCACGTGAAATAGCAATTTGATTGAAAGAAAGAGTACAAACTTTTACTATATAATCTCACTAGTAGCAATGACAGTAATCACGCAAAAACGAGAATCTATCTAGCTAAAGAAACAAAAGAAGTAAGTATAAACGCTAGACGCAAGAAGCTAAGTATGCCGAACAAAAGATGCGTTGAGTGGCAGTTCAGTGGCAGCGATGCGGCCGAAGAAGCTGCCGCAGCCTCACTAGGCACTTACTCCTCTGCGGTTTTCGCTCTGTGTGATCCACTCGGAAAGCCCATTTTACCCCCACGAAGCGACTCCCCGGAGACTAGCCATACCGCTGAAAAGGCGGTTGTTAAAGCGGTCATCTGCGGCACAGGAAACGCCTATGCTCCTAGCATTGGTCTTCCCGTCGCCAGAAGGTAACATAGAGAGAAATATTAATTACTATTTATTTTAGACTTTATGTACAATTGACAAAAATAGTAGCAAACTTACATAGAACCGGTTAGTCTCGACTGACACTTTAATTAGCTCTAAGCTTGTTATTTTTATTTATCAGTGCTGTGGCGGAATATCTAAACCGAGATCTTCATAAAAAGTTGACGGGAGATGATGTGTTTATGACTGTTGGATGCAAACAAGCGATCGAGCTCGTGGTCGATATCTTGGCTAAACCGAAAGCCAACATCTTGCTTCCAAAACCGGGTTTCCCTGCGGACTACGCCCGCTCTATCTACAAGCACGTTGAGGTCCGAAGGTATGACTTCATCCCCGAGAAAGACTTTGAGATCGATCTTGACAGCGTCAGAGAGATGGCAGACGAGAACACGTTTGCGATCTTTATAATCAATCCTCACAATCCCATTGGGAACTACTACACTGAGGCTCATCTCAAACAGGTATTTACGTAATTGTACTCTTTGATACTATTCACATGATTGGTCAAGATACTTAGTTAATCTAGACCTGAAATCTTTTTATATTTATGTGTTGCGTTCACATTTACATGTCAAAACACGTATTGTTTTTCTTCTTTTCTTCAAATGCAACTACTACATTCTTTAGTCAATGTTATAATCAAAATTAGATTGTAATACGTTGTATATACAAACGCAAAAACTAGTAAATATTTCTATTTCTGCTTATAATTTGCAAAATATTGGATGAAAGAAATCAAAGAATAATACTTACTTCTTATGAAATGAACCTCAGCTCGCTATATTGGCTCGGGAACTAGGGATAATGGTTGTTTCGGACGAAGTATATCAATGGACCGTGTTTGGGAGTAATCACTTTGTTCCAATGGGGAAATTCTCCTCAATCGTACCCGTCATTACACTCGGGTCCATATCGAAAGGATGGAGTGTTCCAGGATGGCGAACAGGCTGGCTCGCGCTGCACGACCTAGATGGTGCCTTCACATCCACCAAGGTCCGCTTCATTTGATTTTTCAATCACTTTATATACATCTGATATGCATATATATGTTTGAACAAACAAAAAAAAGATATGTATATAATTTCATTTCAATATATTTTCTTGGCCTAATTTTAAGTATTATATGTATATGGACAGGTCTTAAAAGCTGCTAAGGAATTTCTAGAAATAAATTCTAAACCAGCAACTGTTATCCAGGTAGATACTATCCACACTTATTGGCACCAGACAAAATAAAACTGAATAAAATGCGAACAAAACATTTAGCCTAATGATATGTGTTATTACTGTCATTGGGTCGCCACCCGCGTTCAAACCCAATGATATGTGTTATTACTATTGATGCATATTGTTGAGAAAATACATTTCCTAATCTTATCATGTAGGCGGCTATTCCCACCATCTTGGAGAAAACTCCTAAAGAGTTCTTCGATCGGAGGCAGAATTTTCTGAAAAACAAAGTGGATTTTGCATATTCTAAGCTCAAGGATATACCAACCCTCATCTGCTACATGAAACCTGTCGCATGCACCTTCTTATGGGTATTACAATATTGTTATATTTCTAGATCACTACTAATTTTCTCATACATCTTTTGAAACAAATTTTTCATTGTGGATATATTGCGAATACTTTTTTTTTGTCTCTCGCAGACCGAGCTGGACCCATTGCAGTTTTTTGACATTAAAGACGATCAAGACTTTTGCAATAAGCTTGCTAAGGAAGAAAACCTCGTCCTCTTACCAGGTAATAATCAATCCAGTACCTATAAATGATAATAGTTTATTAGCACTCGCTATAGTTTTTGGAAAATAGCGTTTCAAGTTTAAGGTTTATATAAATTCAGCAACAACAACAAAAAAAGTGTAAGGTTTATATAAGGCAAAGTATATTCAGTTGATCTTTTTTGTGGACAGTTAAAAACATAAACACATGGAACATATATTCGAGTTATTTGTATTAATATTATCGCTATGTCACCATCCGAGTTAAGCATGAGTATTGAATTCTTGTTTTTTGACAAGAACCAAAAACATAAAAACATGCTGTGTATTGTATTGGTTAGGGATTGCTTTTGGTCAAAAGAACTGGTTGAGGCATTCTATCGACATGGACATTCCGACATTGGAGGATGCGTTTACAAGACTGAAGAGCTTTTGTGAACGCCATGTCATTATAAACCAAAGATTAACTCACGACGTCAATGATGTCAACTAAAGGGTTCCGAATAAACCAAAGCCTAATAGTATCATATATTTGCTATAATAATAAATGGGGTGTTTTGGTTTTATGAAATAAATCATGAACTCCTATCAAGTTTCTACAGAAATATGGTGTGTTAGTATCATCACTCATGTAATGTTTTCTCGTCGTTGAGGTTCTCTTTCTATGTATTTCTAGTTTTCTAGCTACTTTATAAAACAAAATATATTTCAATTTGTTTTCATTTAAACAGATTGGCCATTGTAAAAAATTACCATAAATTACATCGGATTTGGACTGGCAAGAAGCAATTCCCTACCCCAATGAATTCATTCTAGTTCTAGGTAGGAGTAACTTAGTTGCGATTCTTACCGGTTATTTTGTTGTATGTATCTTAGAATCTAAGGTTTGAAGCAATCAGAAGTTTAAGAAAAACACATGCACTTTTTCTTCAAAAAAAAAACAGTGAATGACATGAAGATAACCAAATTAATTAATATTATTTTGAAAATAATTGCACTAGTAAGTATGTTATTTACCTAATATTTTACTATGACATGCTATATTCTTAATTGAGCTGGGCAAATATAAACGTCTTAAATGACTAAACTAACCGGTTCTTCCACAGAACTTAAGAATTAAATTGGATTACACGTTTACAAAAATAAAAGAAACTACCTGAACAATTCATACATGCTTCACGTAATAGATAAAGAGTCCACCGGGGCTCTCATCAACTTTCGTCTGTTAAACATACTTCCTCTGTTTTTGATAAAGATTTATTTTTAGAAGTCTCACATTTATTAAGACAAATTATAAATTAACATTTTCACCATTTTTTTATTTATTTATAGATTTATGTTAAAAAGTATACAGTGACCATACTTAGGCCCACGTGAACACAATTCTCGACCAAAGGTGAATTTTATTCAATTCTTTTTTTATAAGTTTTAACGTGGTCGGCATTGTTAGTTTGTTACATACTATATACATCACCTTCAATAATTGGGACTTGGAAGATCCAAATAGGCTCTCATTCATTTTCGTTTAAATATTGTTCAATTTTTTATTAAAAAGTTTTAACGTGATCGGCATTATTGCATATACATCACCTTGGATAATTCGAACTTGGAAGATCCAAATAGGCTCACATCCATTTTCGTCTTTTCTATACGTTCTCTTGTATATGAAACTATTTCGGGTTGACAAAACTTTTTTGTTTGTAATCACCATTCACCGTGATATGAGGAAGCCCACGTTCTAGTTCGTGATACATTATCGTTGTTTCTAATACTATATTATTTTTTCTTTTCGTATATATTTTCTTATCTCTATATCGTTTCCTTTATTTTCTTATCCCTTTACATTTTGGTCTCCATATTCAGATCTGTATATTAATTTGACTACTCACCGCGTGAAATATCAATTTAATTAAAAATCCCAAGAGCAAATCATTAATATAGAACCTAAATTCCAATCCTCAGAGTCAATGACTCAATGCAATTCACATGGCGCATAATTATAAGCTGGTTGTCCAATCAGAGTTTTGGTTCAGAGTTTGTTGTTATTATTTATCCTTTTCAATTTTTTTTCGTTTACGAAATATAGAAACCAAAAGAAACCGATTATATTTCAGTTCAATTAGTTACGGTTTGTGGTTCATATTCGTTTTTTTTTTAAATATATATTTCTAAAAGAAACACTATTTATTAAAAAAAACTATTTTAACTGGTTTGTTTATTTATTTTTGGAATCTCTTAATTAAGTTTCGGTTCCAATAGTAAAAAGAATACTCGACTTATTTTTTTGTATACAATCTCATTTTTGTTTTTTTTTTTTTTTTTTACCTTTTTAATACGATTTTGGTTTGATTCAGTCCAGACTCCATACACGTCGAAGTTACGTTCATTCATATCTACACGGACGGTGGGGCTAATTTTCAGGTTGAAACTGGGCAATATACTATAAACAAAAACGTGGGTGGTTTTCCTCTTCCTCTCTCTTCGGCTCAGTCAAAGACAAACGGAAATCGTAGGAATATGTGCTTTACTCTTAATTACATTTCCATGAGTTTAAATTTGGTTTTGTTAATCTAAATTTGGATGTGACTCTACAATATAGCTATTTTTCATGTGTGTGTCATGCACATGCATGAGCATGCCTCCAAATCAGCCACATAATTTACTTAGAGTAGTAGATGAAAAATAAATTTTTGATTAACAATAAAATGTCAGTGCTTACTAGATTTATTAGGTAGTTTGTTTGGAACTAGAATAATAAAATTTAGAGAGATTTTGTGAGATTTATTCGCTTGGCATTGTCAATAAATAATTCAAGGTCCATAACGTAGACTTTGAATAAATCTCTTACGTATGGTATCTATTTAAATTAATATAACTCAGTAATATAGATTAAACTAATATAAATAATTAATACTTAAGTTTTGAATTTGAAAAACATTTTTTTGAAGTCTCTCATTTTTCATCATTTTTTAGTATTTAGAAACTTTGCTAGAAACGAACTGATAGAGATGCACTGAACCTTTTTAATCTATAGTTTAAATATATTAAGACAAAAAAAACTATTTTGCGTTGAAAAAATAACATTTGTGAATTTGTAATCACCTTAATCAGAGGAACCCCACGTAAAGACTCAAGATATATTATCATTTCCTTTTGTTCTCTCGATCCATTTAATTTTAATTTCCCATGCACGTGGTATAACAAATTCATATAATAATGTGAAAATTCGTTGGCTAACAACAAAAGTGGTTGGAAATTTAGTACTAGCTAGAAGACTTTTAAGCTATTTTAATTTTTAATTTTTTTTTTGTCATGAAGTATATACATTTTTCTCACATTTTAAAAGTGTGATATTTTTTCTTTTGCTTTTGACATTCAAAAATTTCATCATGTTTTTTTTTACATGATAGCAAAGCCTTAAATCCAAACTAGAGTTTTTGAGTTTCCATTTTTTTTTTATAATTCGAGTTTTATTCTGTTCAATTTAGTTGATTTCAGGAAGAAAAGAAGTAGCTTGACTATTAACCTATTGTTTTAAGAAAAAAACGGTTTGTTTGTTTTCTTCTTCTTCTTGTTGAACATAAAAAAAAATGTTTTCTTCATTTAGATTTTATATATATTAATCGATTGATAAAAAGAGAGAGAACAAAATAGGTCTTACGCAAAAGAAAAAAAAAGACGCGCGTGATATAGAATTAGAAAAACTTCTTGTTATACCATGCATGCATCTTCAATCGATGGTTATATTATAAGAATGATGGAGAGATACATAAAATACGTACGTTGATGATAAAATTTTCTACGGATTTTATCGTCGAAGTAATTCGATGATTGGGTATAATACCTTAACGATGATGTTTTTGCTTCTTTGACTTGGGCGTTATAACAAATTGTGATTATAACAAAATTCCGATGGGTAGATTTAACGTTATGATGTTAACTTGACGGCTTGGTATAACACTAATATTTGGAAGTTGAGTACAATCCCATATGTCACCTTGAATATATTACGAGATCAATTGAATATATAAAGTTATTTATTGAGTTAAAAACTAATTATTTTTAATCACCTATAGATCGAATAAAACCCACGATCTAACCCGTTCGTCAGATCTCGATATACGTTGTTTACTATAATAGTTTTTCTCTCCATATTCATTTGAATACACAGCACGTGAATATCAGGTTAATAGAAAAATGTGAAATATGTGGAAACTTTTACTATATAAACTCACTCGTACCGATGAGAGTAATCACACCAACACACAACAATCTCATCGATCTAGAGAAACAAAAGAAGTAAATTCAAACGCTAAACGCAAGAAATATGGCGAACGGTAAAGGGGTTGAGTGGCAGTTCAGCGGCAACGAGGCGGCCCAAAAAGCCTCAGCTGCCTCGCTAGGCACGTACTCCTCTAAGCTCTTTGCTCTATGCGACCCTGACGGCAAGCCCATTTTGCCCCCTCGAAACGAACACCCCGAGACTAGCCTAACCGCCGAAAAGGCGGTTGTTAAAGCCGTCCTTTGCGGCACTGGAAACGCATATGCTCCAAGTATTGGCCTTCCCGCTGCCAAACGGTAATAATATATACAAAAATAATCATCGTTTTTTGTATCTACTCTTGACAAAATCTATATATCCCATATAATTTTGGTTATCCTCAGTGCCGTAGCAGACTACCTAAACCGAGACCCTCTTCCGAAGCCATTGGCCGCAGATGACGTGTTTATGACCGTTGGATGCAGACAAGCCATTGAGCTTGCGGTCGACATCTTGGCCAAACCAGGTGCCAACGTCCTTCTTCCGAAGCCTGGCTACCCATGGGACGCAGTCCGCTCCCTCTACATGAACCTTGAGGTCCGCAAATATGATTTCATCCGCGAAAAGGACTATGAGATCGACCTTGACAGCGTCAGAGCGGCGGCAGACAAGAACACGTTTGCGATATTTATTATCAACCCTCACAATCCCAATGGGAACACCTACTCTGGTGCGCATCTCGAGCAGGTATTCTACAGATACTGCAGATTAGCTATACAATTAAGTACGTACTCACATGATGCTTTATGGTCTAACATTTGGTTGTGTGTATGTTAATGAATCTTAGCTCGCTCTGTTGGCTCGGGAGCTCGGGATCATGGTGGTTTCTGACGAAGTTTTTCGATGGACCGTGTTTGGGGCTAATAGCTTTGTTCCCATGGGAAAATTCTCGTCGATTGTACCGGTGGTTACACTCGGTGGCATATCAAAGGGATGGAGTGTCCCGGGATGGCGAACCGGCTGGCTCGCGCTCCATGATCTAGACGGTGTCTTTAAATCCACCAAGGTCCGGTTCGATCACTCTTTAAGCATACACATGATATGTATCATATAACTAATATATATACTATCGTTTGTTATTAACTTATTGGCCTAATCTTATATGTGGACAGATCGCTAGTGCTGCTAAAGAATTTCTTGAGATAAATTCCAAACCAGCAACTGTTATCCAGGTACGGGACTTTCTAGTTTGGATGGACACTTATTGTAACCAGATAAAATAAAAATGTTACGGACTATATATTCCACTAATTTTCAGTTATATTAGTTCATTTATATATGGTGAAGTTGCTGATTTTTTATCATGTAGGCGGCTATTCCCACCATGTTGGAGGAAACTCCTAAACATTTCTTTGATAAGAGGCAGAGCTTTCTGAAAGATAAAGTGGATTTTGCATTTTCAAAGCTCAAGGAGATCCCTAGCCTCACTTGCCACTTTAAACCTGAAGCGTGCACCTTCTTTTGGGTATCCTATCATTATTTAACACTTCTAACATTTTTTTTTCTATATATATAACTGTTTCTTTTCTTCTCGCAGACCGAGCTGAACTTATCATACTATAAGGACATTACAGACGATGAAGACTTCTGTGAAAAGCTTGCTTCTGAAGAAAACCTCGTCCTTTTACCAGGTATTCAATATCTCATTACCTCTGACCAAGGTTTAACGATTTAGCATTTAAGACTATATAAAATGTATCTACTTTTATCTATTTATTGTGATTACTTAACATAAGAACATATATGTTGTGTGTTTGATTGTCTTAGGAATTGGATTCGGTCAGGAGAACTGGGTGAGGCATTCTATCGACATGGAGACTCCAACATTGGAGGATGCATTTGAAAGGTTGAAGAGCTTCTGTGAACGCCATTCCAATATTATAGGGTGAAGCTCCACTCAAAGTCGTCAATGCATGGCGTCTACTAAAGGATCTTTGCCTTTGCCTAAGTCTTTTATATTTATGCTGTAATAATAAATGGGTGTTTTATTGATTTAAGAAGAATCATTAACACTTTCGTATCTGTAACAAATAAAGTTGGTGTACTTATCATCATCAATCGTTAGTATTTCTCATAATTCTGCAATGTTTCGATGTACTTTCACTTTTTAAAATAAAATTTAATAAATTTTTATTTCATTTCATTTTTAATAGATTGCATTTCGGTGTAATGATATAATGGCAACATCACACCGATTAGAAATAACAATGAATTGTTTTTACCTAAATAATACTTGGTGTTTGAATTCAGAAAAAAAAACAAAACAAAAATTGAAATGATTTCTTATATTATTTAGGTAAAAACAATTCAATCAATAATAAAACAAATTCGAGAGTATAAATAATCACAAAATATAAAACTTAATTAATTTCGCATAGAATAATGAAAAACTTAATTTAGAATAGTTTTTCCCCAAAAATATCAGAAAGAAACAGAGAAAGTAGATATTGGAAATGTAATGTTATAAACAAATCGGGAAATAACTTGTACTAAAAAATAAAAAAAAAATCACGAAATAACAATAACAAAAAGATGGGTCGGCTACTCCTCTCTTGGCTCGAAGACGGGGACACAAAAAAACAAAAGAAACGTAGGAATCTTCGCTTCTTCTAAGATGCTGATTAGTAATCGACAGAATTATTTTGTTTCTGTTACACATAGGTTAACGGAGAATGCGACTCTACAAGGGTTGATAGGATTAGGACCACGTATTCAAGGTTAACTCCAAGATTTAAGTGCGTTAGGTATATATATTATTAAGAAATATAAACAAGCGGGTATATATTATCGAGTTATGATGTTCAAACAAAAAAAAATATATATATATATATATATTATCGAGTTATGTTCTTTATTTTTTTAATTGTAGTCAGTAATGAGATTCAAGTTAATTTAAAGTAACTCGATTTTACATCAAAATTAAACTTACAAAAACGGCATTTACATTAAAACGGAAATGGGTTTAGTAACTTTCTATAATCAGCATGTCGAGACTCAAAATTATTGAAACAAGAAAGAGACTTGTATCATACATGCATTATTTGCTTTTGTCATTTATATTCATTTTTAATATCGCACGTAAGATATACCAAATCTATAGAGCAACAACGTGGAAATCATTGGCATAAAAAAAAGTAGTTTGCAAATCTCACTATATATTACAACTCGTAGCAACGTGGGTTAGCCACCCAAAAACAAACTAAACCTAAAAAGAGAGAAAGAAAGTGATTAATAGAAATGGCGAACCACAAGGGCAATGAGTGGCAGTTCAGCGGGAGCGAGGCGGCCAAAGAAGCTGCTGCAGCCACACTAGGCGCCTACACCTCTGTACTCTACGCTATGTGCGATCCTAATGGCAAGCCCAGCTTACCCCCACGAAACAAGGACCCCGAGACAAGCCACACAGCCGAAAAGGCTGTTGCTAAGGTTGTTCTTTGCGGCTCGGGAAACGCCTACGCTCCTAGCATTGGTCTTCCGCTCGCCAAAGGGTAATATATAACACACATATACATTTTTTAATTTGCCGATTACATTTTATCCAATATATAAGGATTTTTTTTTCATTGAAGGTGTTAACTAGATTCATGTATATTTGGATTTTGGACCAGTCTTTTTGTTTGTTTCATAAAACTTTTCCAAAATCATTTGTCATTTTATGTATATATGTTCCATTTGGAAAAGTATTTTATTAGACCAACATTTTTGGCGATCGACCGAATATTTTTAGACTAATACTAATGCTAAGGTTTGCATAATTTCTCTGACACAATCATTTTTGCTTCCCTTATTCCATAGTGCCGTAGCAGAGTATCTAAACCGAGATCTTCCTAAGAAGCTAACAGCAGATGACGTGTTTATGACTGTTGGATGCAAACGAGCCATTGATCTTGCGGTCGATATTCTGGCTAAACCAAAAGCCAACGTTTTGCTTCCGAGGCCGGGCTTCCCATGGGACGTAGTCCGCTCCATCTACAAGAGTCTTGAGGTCCGCTACTATGATTTCATCCCTGAAAAAAACTTTGAGATTGACTTCGAAAGCGTCAAAAAGGTGGCAGACAAAAACACGTTTGCGATATTTATAATCAACCCTCACAATCCCAATGGAAACACCTACTCTGAGGTTCATCTCAAACAGGTATTTACACATACATATTTTTAAAATATAAAGACTCTTTAGTCATATAATACTGAAGTATTCACTTGACTATGCGGATAATCTAAATTGTTTTCGTGTAACTGTTTGAACCTAAAGCTCGCTGAATTGGCAAAGGAACTCTCCATCATGGTGGTTTCTGATGAAGTTTTTAGATGGACCGTCTTCGGAAATAACCCTTTTGTTCCGATGGGAAAATTCTCGTCGATCGTACCAGTGGTTACACTCGGATCCCTCTCTAAGGGATGGAATGTTCCAGGATGGCGAACTGGCTGGCTTGCACTGCACGATCTAGATGGTGTCTTCAAAAACACTAAGGTCCGATCATTTAAAAAAAAAAAACCATTTCACACAATTTGATAACAACAAAAACAAATCATTATATTGCCATATATACACTATATGTGTTATTTAAAATTGTTGCCTTAAATTTTAATTTTTGGCCTAACTCTTATGTTGTGGACAGATATTACAAGCTGCCACAGAATTTCTCCAGATAAATGCTAAGCCTCCGACTATTATTCAGGTAAGGACGGTTCGATGTCGGGAAATTTGGGTTACGTACTATCTTACTCATTATGATTGTAACTGTAAGAGTAACACAATGTCTAATGTTAATGCGTATAGGCGGCTATGCCTGACATTTTGGAGAAAACTCCTAAAGAGTTCTTCGACACGAGGGGGAGTTTTCTTAAAGATAAAGTAGATTTCGCATATTCTAAGCTCAATCACATACCTGGCCTCACTTGCTACATGAAACCCGAAGCATGCACCTTCTTATGGGTATTCTATCATAATTACATTTCTAACACGTTTTTTCTTTTTTAATCTTATTTTATTTTGAGACAATCTTCACATTGAACATTCACTAATGTGGTCTCAGACTAAGCTGGATTTATCGTGCTTTGTGGATATTGAAGACGATCAAGACTTTTGTAAGAAGCTTGCTGTGGAAGAAAGCCTCGTCGTTTTACCAGGTACTAATTTTTCATCAAACCCCTTATCCTAAGATAACGGATTCTTTCAAGAAGACAGCGATGTTATGTAGGATTTAAGGAAAAATTAAATCATTATTACTTTTCATAACAAAAACACGTGCTTGTGTTGGATTTGTTAGGGATTGCATTCAGTCAGAAGAACTGGCTGAGGCATTCTATCGACATGGAGACTCCGACGTTGGAGGATGCATTTGAAAGATTGAAGAGCTTCTGTGAACGCCATTCCATTACTGAAGATGGAGCTTCACTCAAAGACGTCAATGGCGTCAACTAATTAAAGGGTCAACATGTATCTTTTCCCGCCTAAGTCTTTTACTTATATGCTAATAAAATGAAATGTTTTTATTGATTTGAGATAAGTCATGAACAATTTCGTATTTGTATCATCAATCGTATAATGTTTTCTAATTAATAAATTCCAGCTACTATTCATTTGATATAGATTGGGGTGCAATTACAATATTGGATTACATCTATGTTGATCTCTTAATTAGGTATTTCAAAATACAATATTAGTCATGTCGTGTCGTATGGTTCAAGAGAGTCAAGAGCATTTCATGGCCCGACCCAACCGGGGTAGACCCCCAATCGCTGAGATTCTTATTAGTCATCGTTAATTTGTCCTATTTTTACAAGCTGAACAGCTGAAAATTAATGAAAAAAAAAAACCGAAAATTCCGGATCTGAAAATCAGTTGAACATGTTTCAAATTTGAGAAACCCAGTTCAACAAAAATTAAATATTCTGGATCTAAAAATTCAGCGAAATATTTTTACTTAAATCAATTTTTTTTTATCAAATTTAAGAAGAACATCAGGTTTACCATCTTTTTCCTGTCAAAATCAGTTTTACTTTATATAAAGAAAAAATTAGAAAATTACTTTTCAATTATGCTAAATAAACACCAATTAGAAGCTTCACACACACTTAATCAACTCTTTTACATTTCCTTTTCGTTTTCCAAGTCAATAGTCAAACACCAATCCGAATTTTGGACAACTTTAGATGAGTCCGTTGTAACTAGGACAGCCACAATACAGGTTTTGTATCACATATCCCTCCTTTAAATAAATATTAAAAATATTAAAACCCGATTTGTTAGCTCGAAATGATATGACTGGAGATGTTAATTTTATCTCCAACCACCGAATTGGTAACTTGAACCCGGGTTTTCATAATATCGTGTCTTGCCACGAATTAGTATGATTTTAGAGAATAAGAAAAATATATACAAATGACTTTATATCCACTCTGCTAGATAAACACCAATGGGACCAACCACACAAATCCAAGCTTTTTTTTTTTTTTTGACATCACAAATCCAAGCTTTAGAAGCTTCAAACCATTAAAATCAACTCCTCCCACTTTACATTTCGTCTTCCAAGTCAAGAGTCAACCGTTTCCATTTTCCAGGCAAACGCGTTCCGGAAACTTATCTCCACTACAAATCAAAATAATATAAAACTATATTGTTAATTTAAGGATACCTTCAAAGTTCGTTTTGTTTTTTTTATAATAAACTTCCAAAGTTAGTTAAAACATTCAAGAAATTTGAATATAGCCATGGCTGAGTCTAAAGAGGATCAAGCGAAGCCTTTATCCCCATTATCTCTCAATATCCGAAGCGACCAACCAATCGAAGATCATTACCACCACGACCGAACCAAACAACACGTTCACTCACGGACCAAACTCATCCTATGTTGCGGTCTCGTAGCATCTCTAACTCTGCTCATCGCAGTCACCTTCATCGTCCTCTCTCTCACTGTTTTCCATCTCCATAACCCAAATCTCACCGTAAATTCCATTTCCTTCATCCAACCGTCGTTCAACGGAGAAGTCAACACGACCCAAAACGCTACGGTCTCAGTGGGGATCTCATTACGTAATCCGAATCCGGCGTCGTTTAAAGTAAAAGAAGTTACGGTTTTGTTTCACTATGGTGACTTGGTGGAGGTTGGGAAAAGTAGTAGACGAAGTGAAACTATTCCGGCGAAACGGACGGTTAAGATGAATCTGACGGCTGAGATTGTTACAACAAAGCTACTAGCATCAGTTCCAGGTTTCACGGAGGATTTAAACGGAAGAGGAGTGGAACTGAAAAGCAGTGTTGGAATCATTGGTAAAGTGAAGCTATCGAAGATTTTCAAGAAATCTGTTCATCTTATAACGGATTGTAACATGACGATGATGATGAACAATTTCTCACAGCCTACATTTCACTGTTCGAGGACAAGAAATGCCTACGAACATGTTACAACCTAAAAAGACCAATTTTTTTCTTTAAATTCCCTTTCTACGCTTATTTATAAATTGTCTGTAAATAAAAACGTCCACAAGTAAAAACAAAAATGCATTGTAGAATCAAATGATAGAATATTCCGCCGGAAACTAGAACTCTCCTCCGGCAACACTAATAACACACACACACAAAAAACCCTCCATCCTAAAGGATCTTTGAGTCCTAAAAAGATTGATCCATAAAAAAATTTCATCAACGTTTGCTTTGCACCGGAATCCGCAGTTAATAAGACTCACCGGTTTATTTCTTTGGGTCAGTGACTCTCCCTCCGGCGATCTTAACAATAGGTTCGTCTTTGGGCTTAATAAGCTTAAGTGCGGGATGGACTTTGAGGTCTCCCATCACTAGCTTTTGTCCCACGTCCAATTGGCTGAGATCTACTTCTATATATGGTGGGATTATCTCTGCTGGACACAGGAACTTCACCGTTCTTTTGATTGTGTTCAGAGATGCTCCTGCAAAAAGTTCAAGAAATGGTGATCGATAGTGATGATTACTTGTCATCACCAAAGCTTAGCTCAGTCTGATTCAAGAAAGAGTAACTGAAACCATACAGTATCACTTCTCTATAGATTAAAAGCTCAATGAACTCCAATTAAGTCAACTTTAAATGTGTGGCCTAACTACTCCAGAACTCAAGAAATCGTTGTATTAACCATATTTACTCCACCATACAAGAACAAGAAGTCAACATCAACAGATTTGATCACTAAGCAGCCGATTTCCCCATACATTGACAATAGACAGAGAAGAAAGGATAAACAAGACTTTATCTCTCTTTTAAATCTTTTGCCACATTTGTCATTTCTTTTGTTGATTACCAATGCTACCAAGAAACTCATAGTATGAACATTGATTCCTGTGTGGATACTCCTAAGTCATACGATCTCAAATGGCTACTAAGAGGCTGACAAATTTTTCAATTCCAAAACAAGAAAGATCCTATCTGTCTCTTAGAAAATCAAAACACAGAAAGTAGAGTCAAAGCTTTATACCTTTCTTTAATCCAGGAGAAACATCATCTCCTATGAACACAAGAGGGATATCAACCTTCAACAAAGCACCAGGAGGAGCTCTTATGAATGTCACATTCAGTGGAGCATCAGTTCCAGAGTGCAAATGAATCTGAAACATTTACATAGCACAGAGATTCTAATAAGTTAAATACATAACTAACAATAAGCCAACCACGCACACACACACCATTCTAAAATCAAGGACTAATCATAACTAGTGAAGAATCAGAGCTCTGAAGAAAATGCAATGTACAGTACCAGAGATTACTCAACATCCAAAATTTCCATCAATGTCAAAACTCAAGAGTGAGAGAGAAAAAAGGGGACTTTACCGATCTGGGCAAAGCCCGGACTTTCTCAATGACCTCATCAGAACCTAGCTCAGTTCGAACCTCGACATCGAATAGCCTAGAGAGGAAGAAAGAGTAACCCAGATGAGTCACAAGCTTCCTGATCTGATTCGTCTGAACTGAGACAAGCCTCTTGTTTCCTCCGTGCTGCCCATCCTCCTGCTCGAAGATGATCGAAGGAACTCGACCCGCTTTACGCTCTTTCGCCGAGATGCTCTTGCCGGAATCAGACCGTGGAACGGCCAAAATCGTCTCTGCGTATTTCGGATCGGGTCGCGGGAATCCAGGGAGGTAATCTAATTGGGTTTCTAGGGGATGGTCGATAGCTAAAGCGGTCGCCGCCGGAGAGAATGACCGGAGGTTTTGTAGGGTTTTGGGTAGAGTTGTTACACGACGGAGCAACATTGTTACTTACCAGGGAGAGAGTGGAAGAGAAAGCGAGTGGGTTTAGGAGAAGTGTTACAGAAATGCGGGGTTTCTCCGGCGAAACGCCGTCGTTTTAGGTTTATAATGGGCCTATATTAAGAGTTCTATGGGCTTATACTAGCTCAAGTAATAATTATAAGCATAACTGCATTTGGGTTGGAGCAAAGGTAAAGCTCAACAATTAATCAAACCTGATGATGGGCATGATTCAAACGGATATTCCATAAAGATGTTCTTTGAATATCTCTATCTATTTTGTAACTGACTATTTTACCCTCAATATCTAGCATACGGTTTCATTGGAGTGAACCAAAACCCAACCCAACCTCTAGATTTGATTTGGTTTGTGATAGATAAATCATTCGTTCTTTTCAATTCCATTTTATTTGTAAAACATATGGAAGAGAATAAGAGTTAACCAATCAGACGACCAATGAATAAAACTGAACCGGACTTACTCAGTACACCTTATAAAAAGACTCATGGTGGTATTACGATAAGGGTAAAATCGTCCGGACGAAAATATAGCCTCCTCCATCACGAATTTATAAGCTCGTCTTCCTCTCTTCGCATGAAACAAAAATACATTTCTCTCACGTCTCAGTAGTCAGTACCTGTTTCTTTGTAGTAAAGGTATTATATTCGTTTAAAACATTTCCTTCTAGCTATATTCCCTTATTCTTTAGACTTAACTTGTTTTCAATTTTAGCGATTATAGTCTAAAGTTTGTTTTGTTTCGTTGATTTGTATAAAAACAAAATCAGAATTCGTTCAGTCAGATTCTGGAACTGAAACGGAAGCAAAGACAATGGAGCAAGGTAATTTGTCTGGTTTTTTGCTTAAGTGTCCTCAAATCTATAACAAGACAAACAAAGTTATTCGGTTTGGAGAGTTTTTCGGTATATACCGTTACGGTTTAGTTCCGATTTTGGTTTATTGTGGAATCAATAATTCTTTTGTCTGGGGCCCATGAGAAAACTAGTACTGGGCTTGATCATAGATCAATTCCATCATTTGTGTTCTCTTTGGGCCCTTCTATTTTCACTTTTTTAAGTTTTACAATAAAATATCTAATTAGAAGAAAAACAAAACTACAGGTAGTGGACCTCTTAAAATGGATAATATATTTATTTTTGCCATTTTTTTTGTCAACAATAAAATAAATACACGCACAAAACCATTTTTTTGTCGTACTTTTAACTTAAACCACTTTTTCCCATTTACATTATAATACAATAATTTATTTTGATGCAGACAGAAAGAACGTGACTCATGTACGAATGGCTGAATCTTTCCCCACGTGTCCGGCAATGAGGGATTCGATCGTACATCATCTTGCTTCAGCTGCGTGACACCTGATCATGACCCAATTACTTAGCATAATCCTCCGCCACGTAAACATCCCCCTGTCGACGGGAGCCGTTAACTCTGACGGCGTCACAACTCGATTCCTCTTTGAAATGTTTGTGTAGGCCTAAGTTTATGTTTTCCCATCTCTTTCCTTTTGGCTTTTTTCTTTTTCCCCAAGGGTTTGCTATAGTTAAGTAACGAACGTGTTGGCTCGGGTCCGAACCAACCAACGGATCAGATCATAAGTATTATTTCAACGGATGAGATCGATTTAAGAACTTTTCTCCTATTTTAAGGCTTTTTTCGAGATATTTCTCTCAAAGGTGTATATCGAAAACTGTGAAAAGCAGCTAAAATACTGTGTTCTTATTGTTGTTCGATCGTATCGGAACCTTAAGATCTGCGCGAAATCGATCGGAAAAGATGGCGGAGGAACATAAGCACGAGGTACCTGTGACGGCTTCGGAGCCAGATGTGGAGGTTGTTGAGCGGGAATCGTTGATGGACAAGATAACGGAGAAGATCCACCACGGTGGTGACTCGTCTTCATCCTCATCGTCGGATGACGAGGACGAGAAGAAGAAGAAGAAGCCGTCTTCTCCGTCGTCTATGAAGTCGAAGGTTTACCGCTTGTTCGGAAGGGAGAAGCCCGTGCATAAGGTTCTCGGCGGTGGAAAGCGTACGTTTGCTCCGATCTGCTTTTATTTTCATCAGTTTTTTATATGATTTCCTGTGATATGGCTCGATCTGTTTCTTATATGTGGTTGTTAGCTAATTGTTTCATCTTGATGACTCATTTAAGGGAATCTGTAGGCTTTCGTAAGATGTGGGTTTACTTTCATGAGGATTTGTAGTTTGAATCTGGATTTCTATTTTATGCGTGGTGTCTGCCATTGATCTGTATCGACCATTGTGTTCGTTTTGTTTTTTTTCGGTCACCCAAATTTATGTTTCTATATCTAAAATGGCTGGGTTTGATCATCGAAGATAATCTTTCTCAGTTGATTGGAGTGATGCTATGACATTCTCTTGATCTGAAACCTAGTGATGATGTTGTAGTTTGCGTATGAAGATCCATGTTTTCTAATGTTGAGTGGTATATGTAATGTTTGCCTAACTTGATTCATCCGATTTGCAGCGGCTGATATCTTCATGTGGAAGAACAAGAAGATGTCTGGTGGTGTACTTGGTGGTGCTACAGCTGCCTGGGTTCTCTTTGAATTGATGGAGTACCACCTTCTCACTCTGCTCTGCCATGTGATGATTGTTGTGCTCGCTGTGCTGTTTCTATGGTCTAATGCCACCATGTTCATCAACAAGTAAGTTAATCACCAATCTAAATTTGTCTGTGATGCTTGATAAGTGTCTCAGCTTGATTGTTGACGATTGATTCTCTTTGTCAGGTCCCCACCAAAAATTCCTGAAGTTCATATCCCTGAAGAACCTATTCTCCAGCTTGCGTCTGGGCTCAGAATCGAGATCAACCGTGGATTCTCTTCTCTTCGTGAGATTGCATCTGGAAGGGATCTTAAGAAATTCCTCTCTGTAAGTAAAAATGACAATAATAGAAACTATTGCGACTTGTATCCTGATCTTTGACAACAATGTACTGTTGAAATTGAATATAGGCTATTGTCGGCTTGTGGGTTCTATCAATCTTGGGCGGCTGGTTCAATTTCTTGACGTTGGCATACATAGGTAATGCTTTTATCTTCCATATTGTGGTGTGTGCTTTCCTTTTCGTATCTCACTGAACTCTGATGACTAAAATCTCTTATCTGCTGCAACAGCTCTTGTGCTGCTCTTCACGGTCCCTCTTGTCTACGACAAGTATGAAGACAAAGTCGACCCATTAGGCGAGAAAGCGGTGATCGAGATCAAGAAGCAGTACGCAGTGTTGGACGAGAAGGTGCTGAGCAAAATCCCACTGGGCCCGTTGAAGAACAAGAAGAAAGATTAGGTTTTTACGAGAATGGTAATCCGTCGATAGCAAAAGGGTGTTGTGAAATGGTAATCGAAGTAATATGCTTTAGATCTTTTAATATGTTATTTTGTTTCCGTCGATGTTTAGGTTGGCTCTTTCAGTTATGTGAATGAACTTGGGATTTCTCTCGACTGGTATGTCTACTTTGTTTTGTGGTTTTTCGTCATTGTTGGTGAACGTGGAGGGATATAATATAGTGTTGGTTCTCTCTGTCTCTAAGCCTCCATATAACTTATAGTATTTCAAGATATTTGAGTTTTGCAGTCAAAGTTGTTTTTTCGATCGTTTCCTCTCTTTGTCCGTGGGGTAATATAAATAATGAGGGCGTGAGTTCAATCCCAATTCTGAAAATTGCTCTGTTTACAAATCTTTAAATTTTAGTCGATTTGGTAAAGAGATCACTTTTTCTATATTAGAAGACTATCAGCTTTTGATTACCGATTTTGTTTGAAATAAAATAAAATCTGTGTAAGCATTAATTTATTACAACAGAAACATGATTTCACCAATATCTGAAATTTGTGAAACTCGAACCACATACAAAAAAAAACAAAAGCAAAATCTCACAGAAATTTCAGTAATTGGATCTCTTTTTGCCACTCGCTTACAAGTAATAGTTCATGCCCACTTTAATCAAACAAATGTGAGGAATATTCAACATCACGCCTGGGCTCCGACAATTCTTCCTCAAGAAAGAGTAAGCCACGTTTATCACCAGCCGTTTCACAAACACTGAGTTCCGCTTCGCCTTCACGTGACCGTGCCCGACAATGTAAGCCACTTCCGCGTCCTTCGCGTTCACGAGATCAAACAGCTCTTCCTTCACCTGCGGTTGCCTGAACTTTGTGTCCATTGGTCTGAACTGAAACATCCTTCTCATGCTCAGCTTCGGCAGCTCTTGCTCATACTCTGCTCTCAATCTAAGCAGCACCGGCGATTTGCTGTTCGTTACTGTCGTCTGTGATCTCGAGCTGCCTGCGATGTTAGCCTCGGATATAGACCGAGACAGCCTTGTCCCGAACTTGTTTGACGCTTTCACAACAGCGAGCCGACCGTCGATGGAACGGTCAGTGTTTGATCCGCCGTAGCCTTCGGATTCTAGCTGGATAAACTCAGCGATGCTCATCACGAGCTCATCCTCAAAGTCGTCCCCGTCTTTGTTCACGTCTTTATAGCCGGCTCGGATGATGCATCGGTACATCCTGTAAGTTTTCGGTCCTATCCGGCCGATAAGGTACCGTTCTTTCTGCGGTACATACGGTACAGGGACGGTTTTGCAGCAGACAAAGACGACAACTTGGTAGAACGCCGGTAAGTTTGTTAGAAAGTGAGTGAAGGTGGCGGGAACGCCGCTGGCTAGCTCTGTGTAGATAAGACCCATCCCGGGGACTTTGATGATCCCTAGGCTCGGGCCGAGGCTTAGGATTGATTTCATAGGGACCTTGTTGTGCTGGTCGCATAGGTACTTCTTTCTGCTGCCATAGTGCCATACGTATGTGATGAAGGTGAAGAAGACCGAAAGGAGGAGAGTGATCCAGCCTCCTTTAGGGATTTTGACCAAGGCCGATGCAACAAAGATGAGTTCTATGGTCCCAAAGAAGAGGATGAAGAGGACGGAGAAGACGATATTACGGTTCCAGACAAAGTTGATGATGAGAGGCATCAACCAAGTTGTCACAAAGGCTAGAGTCATGCAGGCGAGCCCTGGAGAAGAGAAGATTAGCTTTATGATAAAAGATGAAATTCTGAGTTTGATGGAAGGTTGAGCCCTTACCGAAAGCGAAAGCTATGTGTCGAGTGTCTTGGAAACAAATGGTGACAGCGAGGGTGAGGATCATGACGACCCAATTGATCTCAGGGATGTAAATTTGGCCAAGGACCCATCTTGGTTTGTGAACAATCTTCACACGCGGGAAGCATCCCAATGCGTAGCATTGTTTAACAATTGAGAACGTGGCAAATATGACTGCTTGGCTTGCGACCATTGCAGCCAGCATAGCCATCATGAGAACCGGCCAGAAAAAGGGATCTGAAGAACAAGAGCAAAACATATATGACAAACCAGACAAAGAGGAGCGTATGAATGAATTGTCATATTACTTGCAAAAAAGAATAAACCAGAAACTATGGATATATGGATCTAAAGCTACACCATGGACACAACCCACCAGTAAAACATCCCAAACATTGAAGGTTCATGTTCAATCATTTGAGAAATTTTAATACTTTTGGGACTTGTAATGGAACTATCCAAAAATTGGAGGGAATCATAGAGGTAGTAAGGAGTATGTGAAAGAGACATTAAATGGAGATTGAACAAATGATTACCTGGAATGGAGTCATAAAAGCTTGTAGGTAGAGCAGAAAAATTCTTTGATAAAAACGCAGCTTGGCCCATGTATTGAAGCACAAGACAGGGGTAGACAACACAACAGAACGCAAACTGCATAGAACCATGAGATTGCAAAAATGTTATTGTTTCTTCATCAACATTAGCCAGCAATGAGGCTGAAAATAATTATAACAATAACCAGATTGTGATAGTGTATCATACTTTTTCTTATTCGATGGGTCAAGAATAAAGTCCCTAATATGAGTATGACCGATTGCTTATGGATTTTATTAGTAACAAAATTTTGTCTAGTAATTGTACGATGCAATTCCTAATGTACTGCTGAACAAAATCTCTCCAAGAGGTTTCTAATGCATGACTTAAGGAACCAAATAATTTGTTTATACCCTTATAGATGTAGCTGTAAATTGGCCAAGTTCAGCAAAGATAGCCTCCGTTCCTGAAGTCAGACACATAGCCAAGATGAAACAATAGTATAGCATAAAAAACTTGTTGAGTATATTTCAGAACACGAATGACCATATTACCTGTGATGCATAAAAGAATGCCTCCAAGGGATAGCCATCCATCTATTCCCGTCTCTCTGAAGAATATGTAAATGTAGTAGGGAGATAAAGCTTTGTATACACTGGGGTTCCAAGTCACAATATTGTACACGCCAACAGTTGCAATTGACAACAGCCACACGATCATTATAGGTGCAAATAAAAAGGCAACTTTATTTGTGCCACGGTGCTGCAGAACGAAAAGCCCAACCAGCAGAGCGCATGCTATCATGACCACAGTACCTGGTCAAGCAAGAGATTGGTAGAGAACATGAATAACAATGACGGAATGTGTAAACCAGAAACGTAATTATGGAAGATAACAGCAAACATTACTTACTGTGTTTCAGACTTGTTTTAGCCACAAGGCCATCAATAGACGAAGAGACTACAAGAGGATAATGTAACATGTTAAACCATGGAACAGATCAACATACTATACGACCAGACAGAAGCGAAACAAAGGGCTGCTTAGTTACCTGAAATTGCTGGTGTAAGGACACCGATGGTAATAACCATGGAAGTTCCTACCAATACTAAGATAAGCAAAGCTGTTTTCGATCTTTTGTTTCGTTCTATAAGGCTTTTGAAAGCAGAGCTATGCAAATTCCTAGTTGCATCTCCAGGGCCATAGTATGTAGAGATTTCCTCATCAGCCGCTTGCTGATTTGGAAGCAAAGAAAATCTCGCGTGTCTACAGAGCAAAGCATACAAAGCGAAGATCCCTCCTGCAACAAAAAAAAAAAATCCAACGTTTACATCCTAACCCATGGATTCAATCAGAAACAAATGGATTCAATCAGAAACCGTTGGCTCATACCTTCACCATTGTCATCTGCACTTAATACAAAAACCATGTACTTGATGAGTGAAAGGAGAGTTATGGTCCAAAATATCAAAGAAAAGGCGCCAAATATCGCATCTTCTGTTTGGTGATGTTTCAATCCCCCGTAGAATGTACATTTATACACGTAGAGAGGAGAAATACTCAAATCTCCAAACACTAAGCCAAAACTCTGATATGCTAAAAGGAGCACCTGGTTGCACCTGTTTCTCCTATCAGCCTGATTCAATAGAAGAAAACACACAGCACTTATAGCAACACGCAAGCCACAATCACACACACATATACACAGATTACGATAGATTATCAATGAATGAACCATAAGGCAAGTCAACGAAATCAACTGTGCAAGAAGCCTATACTTCCAGACGAAGCTATGGCATGAAAATCAAAACATAAGCTCAAAGATGAACTGATATGAATCGTTTTCAGCAATTTTTACTTTCAGGAGTGACATTAAGTCAGATTTCAATATCCTGATTGAAAAAAAAAACTAGAATCAAGAGGTAAATTCAATGATTATTCTATTACCACGTTCGATTCACATCACAGTTCTCCAATCGTAATTCCGCACGAGCAACACTAAGGACGTAAGGAACTGGTTTAAGATTGCAGACGATTCAGCTAGGATGACGGAAAAGATAACATACCATGATTATAGCCGCCGGCGAGTAAGATGCGGCGTTGCTGAAGGCGGATCTTTAACGATCAGAGAAGACACACCGGAGACTGATTTCTGGGAAGATGAATCGGAATCGCATCTAGAGTAAATCTGCCGATGATCATTTATTGTTCATTACCAAAAGGATAGACCAAAGAAAAAATAAATCAAATTCGATCTAAACCTCGCGGTCCTTCTTCTTCCTTAGAGTTAATTTTTTTTTTCCAGTTGTTTGTTTGTATTCGTTTTTTTTTTCCTCTTCTTCTTCTTCTATAGTTATCCGTTTTTTTGTGAGAAAATGTCATCAGCATTATATTTCTTATTTTTTTAATCCATCGACATATATATCTTGCATATGGTTTATAGGATTCGGATTATAATTCCAAATTCTATTTCAAAAATTAAGCACTAATCAAATCAAATGATGGACCTTGCAAGTAAGAATCTCTCATGAAATAAACCTGCAAATGGCTTTTTTTGTTAATCCAACGTAGAGAGGTTGTGTTGATAAAGAGATTGCAGGAAACAAAAAAATACATTGTGACACCAAAAAAAACCCACAAAGCTAAGTAACGTGAGAAGGAAACAAACAAACAACATCAAAAGATGATCTCTCGTGAGAAGACATAGAGAAGAAAAGATTTGTGTTATTATTACCCCTCCAACGTTTTACATATTGACTCTGCGTCTGTTCGTCACCAATTCTGGATTTCCCTTCTTCATCATCGCTACGAATTCTTCGTAGTTGATTTTTCCATCCTGGAGATTATATGATTTAAAAGAGAAGTGAGTGTTAAAAAAACAAGTGATACAGTTATTATAATGAGACCAAACCCAAGAATCATGTGTAAACACGTACACGATCGGTGTCTACTTCAGCAATGATCTCTTTAATGGATTTGTCATCACCCATGTTGTATTTCTTCATGGCTTGCTCTAGTTCTTCCATCGTTATGTAGCTATTAACAACACATATCAAAGATCAAAGGAGTGAGACTTTATAGCTTGTTAAGCGCTTAAAGAAGATGAAGAACTAATAATGTTTTTACCCGCTGTTGTCTTTGTCGAAGTATTGGAACGCTGTGTACAAATGATCCTCACGTTCGATTCTGTTCATATGCATTGTGGCTGATATAAACTCCAAGTAATCGATTGATCCATCTCCATCCATATCAGCCTAAAAACGAAATCAATATTAGACTATTTCAAACACAGATTCAGACATCAAAGTCGCAGGTTGTGTGTGATTAGAGAGAGAGACTTACGGCTTCCATTAACTGTTTTATCTCAGCTTCAGAGATCTTAGAACCAAGTTTTGGTAGACCGGTTCTTAATTCCTCCAATGTGACTATTCCGTTGTTATCAGTGTCTAGAGATTTGAACATCTCTTTTAGTCCAATGATTTCTTCTTCAGAGAGGTTCTCTGCGATAACCTATCGCAAAACCAAAAAGCAGGACAATGGAATTTTTAGAACAAGAAGTCAACTTAAAGCATGGTTTCAACTAGTGTTCTTGTTATACCTTCAGGGCCATTTTCTTTAGTTTGTTCATCGCCCGGAACTGTTTCATCCTGGATAACACAGCGTTGTCAAGCGGTTTGTCTGACGCCTCACCGTCTTCTCTAATCCACGGATGATCTGCGTAATGCAATTAAAACGTGTTAATACTGTATAAAGATAACAGTGTGTCTTCATCAAAAAAGATGTTATGAAAGTGGTCTCTTACTTAGCACTTCAGTAGCTGAAAGCCGTTCTTTAGGGTCATACTTCAACATTTTCTTCACAACATCTTTGGCACCACTAGATACTGTTGGCCACGGATCAGCAGAAAAGTCGAGTTTCCCTTCAAGAATGGCATCAAAGATCCCCGTTTCGTTTTCTGCGCAATAGAACCAAAGAAGGATATAACATTATTACATTCAAGATCCATCATTCAAAAACAGTAGTGTAAAAACAAGATCAAGGAAAAATCACCTCCCCAAAAAGGCGGGACACCACTGAGAAGGATGAAAAGAATCACACCGGCACTCCATATATCAGCCTCTGGTCCATAGTTCCGGCGAAGAACTTCAGGGGCAACATAGTATGCACTTCCCACAAGATCCTTAAACTTGTCTCCTGCATTAACGGATCAACCTCATCAATGGGGATATATAGATGCAGAAACTACACCCAAAAAAAAATGAAGTATCCTCTAGCATTTTTCTAACCTGCTTTGAAGAAGACAGAGAGCCCAAAGTCTGTAGCTTTCAATGCGGAGTTCTCATCTTTACTCAGGAAGAGGAAGTTCTCGGGCTTCAAGTCACGGTGCATTACACCCATAGAGTGGCAACTATGCACAACCATCACCATCTGCCTGCACAAATCTGCGGCGGCTCTCTCTGTGTAATGACCTTTAGCTATGATCCTGTCGAACAGTTCTCCTCCTTCACACAGCTCCATCACTAGATTCACCGAGTGTCTGTCCTCGTAAGCTCCTTTCAAGTCCACTATGTTCCTACAAAAGTTCAAATCAAACGCACACCAACCTCAAAACTCAGTAAAAGTCACTGGCTCACTGCAAAAGTTACATTTAAACACCCAATCTCTGGTAAAAAAAAAAAAAAAAAGCCGATTAAATTGGAAACATTTGGTAGATACTTTAACATAGGACAACCAAAAAGTCAGCTTCAAAAGATTTAATTTTTTATGTTATTTTTGAATAACTTTATCATCCACATATGATGCAAACTGCTCATTGATTTGGAAAAGGAAGACCCATATTGCTAGCTATCTTATCTCATTATGAACAAGAGCATCGTAGGGTGAATAATGACAACATTGTTTATAGAGTAGCCTTCAATGTTCCGACATATATTCTCATTAGTCACTCACTACTATTGGACATTTTGGCGAACGAAACGCATTTTCAGATTCGATTTCGGAGAATATCAAAGAAGCATTTTTTTCAGTAAAGTCAATAACAGAAAGAGATTACCTGTGGCCACTGAGATGGTGCATAATCTGGACTTCACGGCGAACATCTTCAATGTCGTCACGGTGGACAAGGCGGCGCGTGGGGATTGACTTGCAGGCGAACAGTTTCTTGGTCTCTTTGTGAGTGACGAGGTAGGTGACTCCGAACTGGCCACGACCTAGCTCACGACCGAACTCGTAGGTTCCCCTGACATTCTCCATCGGACGGCCGAGGATCCGACCGTTCTGCTGAGGAGATGTGGTGGAACGGGATCCGCCGGTTCCTGAGCCTGAGGAGGATCCGACGGGTCCGGAACCGGAACCGGAAGATCCACGGCGTTCTCCAGCCGTTTTAGCATGGTGCACGACGTTGCTGGAGGAATAGGAGGAGGGCGGTGGCTGATCGGAGGATTTGGATTTGCTGTGTTTGTGGCCCATTGTTAGAACTTTTCTTCTATCTCTCAGTCAATAAAAGTCAATCGAGAGAGAAAAGAGATTTCCGGTTTTATGGGCTTTTATGTCTGAAATCGGACACGGAAAATGGAGACCACGTGTCGTACTTTTATTGGGCAAATAGCTGGAGCAATTAAACCGCGTATTTTTATAGTATTCCATTATAGAAACCTCGAATTTTTTTTTTTTTTGCGCAATTGGAAGATAATTAGTGAGTGAGAAAGTTGAAATCTTCTTCTTTACATGTAAAAATGTCTCCAATGACGCGGCCAATTCAAAGTTTTACAATTTGGGATTAAAAAGGGAAAATTATTCATTTAAACAACAGTGGGCAAAAAAAAATCCCCCATAATTCACAAATAATTGATACCATCACGGATTCACACGTGACGTCAACTACATAAGGAAAAGAAAAGCCTCTGGTTCTGACCACAAGGTTTACTCAACACTCTGGTGTCACTTTAATGAGTTACCTCCAGGAAACAACGTCGACTCAAGTTTTCAGCATCTTTCATGTTTTGGAACGCGCCATGAGCTGGTTTTGTTAGCGCAAGTGCTATAGGAATGGCGTGTGGTCCTGCACTTGCTGGTCTATTGCAGACCAGATTCAAGATCTAATAACTCTCTTCTTGAATCACTTTCTTTTGTGGATAGATAGAAGTTTTTGATATAATCTTGATTGTAGCGGTTTTTGCTTGGTGTCTCAGTGATACGACAAACTAAATATCTTTAACAAATACCTTATGACATATGATATGAGCTCTGTCGAGTAAATGAAACACTCTTAATTTTGTGACATAAAAAAAGAAAAAGAAACTAAAACGAAAGAATTCTGGAAACAGACTTCATTCATTAAAAGGATTATAACAGGAAATACAAGAATGGTTGTGAAGAATGAAGAATCCATAATCAAAAGACATGATGAGCATTCCCGTAGTAACGGTTAATGAGGGGCAACTTGACGAGTCCTGAGACGTCTGGTGGAGGCTGAGGGTAGAATTTGTAAAACCTGATGCTTTGAAAGGCTTGTCTGTATTCTTGGCTCATTTCTTGTATTACTTCCACTCGACGAGCTCTTGCCTGTCTCTGGGCTCTCTTTGCTGCTCGAACCTGCTCTTTGACAAATTCTTTGAATTCATCCTTTCGTTCCGCAGATAACCCTTCTTCGTCCATCACGTCCTTAGCAAGTGTTTCGAGACTTTCGAACTCCCAGTCAAACCAGCGTACAACCGGCGGTTCAGAGGGGAAACATATATCGACCACGGTACTCTGTTCGAATTCATCTTCCCTGAATGGGTCATAGAAATAAGGAAGACAATAGTCGAACTACCTAACACGCGCTTCCTCCAGATGTCTGAGAGCAGCTCTCCTCTGCGTGCAGGCCAGGATAAAGATCTGAGACTCGATCCTCTCGACTTGTCTGTCTCTTTCTTCAAAAGGAATGTAAGGAACCCAGTCCATCTTCATCTGCTTCATCGGAACGATTTCCTGAGCTGCTTTCTGAACCGATGTGATTCCTATCTTGTCAGAAGGCGGGAAGGGTGAATCAACAGCAATCACTACCGGGACAAGGACAACCTTGCTGACATCTCTGCAGTCGAGAAGGTGAGGTTCTGTAATGACAAAAACATACACTCTCTTTCCGTACAGCATCCCTCCTTCCTCCAGTGCTTCCTCGACATGTTTGAAATCCCAACTGTGTTCATAGACGCCATCCAACAGTTTCCACTCAGTTCCGACAGGATATGCAGCCTTCCACAAATCTTGCAGGTTACGTTTCTCCTCCAAGTACTCCTGTGGTTTGGGTTCCTTCCTCATTGCACCACCACACCTAAAGGTCCTAAACTCAACAAACGTCTCTCACTAATCGGACAAGACCAACAACAGAGAAGCAAAGAGAGGACTCGTCGTCGTGGCAACTCGCAAACGATATCCAAGGATTTCTATCTAGGTCTCGTGTCTTTCCTACTATATATATAATAAAAGCGCTTCACATATCAGACTTTTAGTTTAGGAAATATACCTTTTTCTTTATTAATTAATCCTAAAAAGGAAAAAACTACTTCTAACTGGAAAAAGGAAAACAAAACCAAACTTCTGTGACTTAAAATTGTAAGTATCAGATGGAATAGGGGAGAGAGCAGGGGAGTTTCCTTTTTATTTTTTTAATAATATAAAAATCAAATATTTAAACTTGTAGTGGTGAAGCTCCAAGAAGAGAAAACGAAGGGAGGACTATGTGCACATTAACGAATTTGCAAACATGTTCATAATCAATAGAAGTTGAAGCTACGAATAAAGAAAATCATACCTGATGAGAGCATAAATAGTATCATAAACAACTGCTGGCTCCAAGCTTCCTTTCACTGCAGCCCATCCTAACAGTGCTCCCCAGTTTATGGTCAAATGCTTGAGGCTACACTAGCAAGTAGCAACAACAGAATCGATCAGGGCTGCAGAATATACGAACCGGAGGAAATGAGCTCAATGTAGGAAAAAAAAACTAAGTTAATAACAATACTAAAAGGAAGGCATGACTGTTGTCTGTAGCTTTCAATGCGGAGTTCTCATCTTTACTCAGGAAGAGAAAGTTCTCGGGCTTCAAGTCTCGGCGCATTACACCCATAGAGTGGCAACTATGCACAACCATCACCATCTGCCTGCACAAACCTGCAGCGGCTCTCTCTGAGTAATGACCTTTAGCTATGATCCTATCGAACAGTTCTCCTCCTTCACACAGCTCCATCACTAGATTCACCGAGTGTCTGTCCTCGTAAGCTCCCTTCAAGTCCACTATGTTCCTACAAAAGTTCAAATCAATTGCACCAAACTCAAAAGTCCAAACTCAAAAGTCAGTATTTTTCTAGTATTTCATTATAGAAACCTCGAAATGTTGCGCAATTGGAAGACAATTAGTGAATGAGAAAGTTGTAATCTTCTTCTATACATGTAAATGTCTCCAATGACACGGCCAATTCAACGTTTTGCAATTTGGGATTAAAAAGAAAATTTATTCATTTAACAACAAAGAAAATCCCATAACTTACAAATACGCCACACCGATTAACGTATGTCAACTACATAAGGAAAAGAAAAGCCTCTGGTTCTGACCACAAGGTTTACTCAACACGCTGGTGTCACTTTAATGAGTTTATACAGGCAAACCTGCTGGAAATAACGTCGAGAAACTAATGAAAAGAATCAAGTTTCAGCTTATCTGACAATGGCTTCTTTCATGTTTTGGAACGCGCCTTGAGCTTTTCGAACATGAAGGAGACACTATGTTGCAGAAAAACATGTCCTCTGTTCATATATGGGTTCCTCATATACTAGAGAATAAAGATCATCTTCTTCCGGATTATATAACAGCGAGAGCTCTCTCTATTGAAAAGTTCTTCCAAGTACAACTCCACTAAACACAATAGCACCAAACCACTTGTTTGACACAAATCTGTGACAAAACATCAAAACCAACCAAGTGTTAGTTTTCCAAAAGCAAATCGCATATTGGAAGTCACAGACACCAAAACTATAAATGAAAAAAACTCAAACTGTTTTGCATACTTGCTACTGCAGTCAGCGCGAGATGATAAGTCAGCTGTCCCTATTTGCCATCCTAACTGTCCCGATGCAGCAACCAGTGATGCGTAGTATTGCCACCCTGAAACAACAACAACAACAAAAAAGAGTTCAAAGACTGTAGATGGAATTGGGTGTAAAGTTCATTGAGTACCGATATCTGCACTGAGTCCAGAAAGTGCAAGAAACCCCATGGATGCTGTGCCAAATCCAGTTAGCCAAAGCTTTGTATTGTCCCCGAATCTAAGAGCTGTTGACTTAACACCAACCTTCACATCATCTTCTTTGTCCTGAAGACACAATTACCACGTCTCTCACATTGGCCATGAAAAAGGCAAAATGATTAACCTCTACAATATCTCAAAACTTAGTCATAAAAACTGAACTGTTACTTAAGCTGAAGTTTTGGGGTTGCATCTTGTGGCATAGACTATATTAAAGAGAAAACAAAGCCAGCAATATGTGCACGTTGAAATGAACTACTTTGCTACTGTTCATAATCAATACAAGTAGAAGCTAAGAAGAACAAACTGAAATTATACCTGATGTGCATAGATAGTATCATAAACAAGGGTCCAGCAGACTCCTGAGAGATAAAGAGGGAGTACAACAGCTGGCTCTAAGCTTCCTTTAACTGCAGCCCATCCTAATAGAGCTCCCCAGTTTATGGTCAACCCTAAAAATGCTTGAGGCTGCAATAGCAAAAACAGATTCGATCAATAAAAGGACCGAGAAGAAAACTCACTGTCTCACTTTGAAGAAGCCAGAATGGATTTACACTCACCCAAAATGTAAACCTCTTCATAAGTGGGTAGGAGAAGACAAGAAACAGAGATGAAGCCCCTAAAACACGGCTGCAGAATATACGGACTGGTGGAAATGAGCTCAATGTAGAGAAAAATAAGTTAATCACAAAACTAAAGGCATGACATTATGCCTTCAGAATTTGACTACATCTAGTGAATCTTATGTGTATATGAATTTAAACAACCACTTGCATATACAGGACTATAGACAGACCTGTAATTATTAAGTTGGAGAAGAATCCCTAAGCCTAAAAGCAACTGTATCCCAAGAAACTGAAGCCCTTGAAATGGTGTCACAAGACCACTGGCAATAGGTCTTAATCTTGTACGTTTAACCTGGATAGAAAAAGGCAATTTCTCAGACAACATAATCTAAAACGAAACAACGAAATCAATATCTTCAGTAGCTACCCTAACTACTACACTCACGTTTCAATCCAAAAACATATTCAACACTTCACTACATCAAATATCTGAAGTCTTCTTTTTGTCTTTTTGGACAAAGTCATCATCAGTACATGAAGATAAACTATTGCTCAAAATACACATGTGACTGGAAATGCTCGATAGAGCATTGGCATAAACTGATTCGACATACAAGTTATCAAGAGCACTTCCAGATGCCAAAAGCAGAAACATTCTCACCATAGTTATAACTAACATATTCCTTAGACGAAAACACTACAGGGATCTACAAAATTTGAAATCACTTGTCTCTGTTAACAAACTATCTCACTCAGACACCACAAAAGCAAACTGACCTTTGTGTCTATGTCCCGATCAAGCAGATCATTTATAGTGCAGCCAGCACCTCTAAGAAGAAGTGCTCCGCAACCAAATAAACCCATCATCTTAAAACTTGGAAGGCTTCCAGGATCAGCAGCCAATGCAATGGACCTATACAAGTATATCAGGATCATCATTTTAAAACTTCTAATGAAATCTTTATATTCTAAGCTACACAGTATTAAAAAAAGAGATGATAAAAACTTACCACATACAGGGCCAAGTAAGCAACCAAGTTCCAATGGGTTTATCCAATCGAGCAAGCTTAGCATAACCTCTAGCTCCTTCTGGCAAATACAAATCTACCCAAGAAGCTTCCTTCACACCACCAACACCGCTCTTCTCCTCGTCCTCTTTCTTAGACTTTCCTTCCATAACCGGAGAAGAAGACGAAGACATTCCAGCAACTAATCTATAGTTCCATCCAACACCAAGAAAGCTCTCCTGATGCAAGTCCGTGCCTTTACTCCATACTTCTTCGTAGTTACGATTCCATAGAGGATGCTTAGTGAGAGGGTCGATGTAGTGGGTAGCAACAGGTTTCGAATAGTATAAATGTTGTTGAGAATGGAAAACAGAAAACGAAGATGGAGTTGCCGAGACGGATGATTTCAATATCCGTCGTGAAACACGGGACATCGCAAAAAACGCCATCTTTGAGAAAAGTTTTTGCCTGCAGGGAAGAAAAAAGTCTAGAGATTTCAAAAACCCAAAGTAAACTAAGTCCAGTGTCGAGTGGAAGCTATGTTCATGGCGTTTCTAATGATTTCACAGGTAACATCGATCGTGAAAGTAATGAAAACAATCATACGAATAATCCAGAAAATCAAGCGACGAATCTCAGAGCCTGAGTTCGCTTGGTTCTATAGATTATCAAACTCCTTGAACAATCACAGGATGGAAAGAAAACAGAAATTAAAGCTGGATTCAACAAGAATTTGATAGACTAACTAGAAGAAGAACAACAATGGGAGTGGAAAGCTTACCGGTCAACAACGACTCCGGCGTGAAAGAGCAACACCTCTCGGAGCTAGACTTCTCCAGTAAACCGGATGGATCATTAATGGGCCCAGTATTATTCTACTTATTACGGCCCGATACGAGTGGCCCACAGAAACTTGGGGACTAAAATTAATTACAAATACAATGCCAGAGTTTCCACATTCGAATGACAAAAGGGCTATATAGACAGTGTGACTAATAGTAACATGCAAGATTTCAGATGTTTAACATCTTAGCTCCGCATCTGAAACTCAAAATTATAGATTGACTTATCAGAAAGCTTCCTTGAAGATACAAACGAAACTAAAAAACTTTAGAGTCTATTTGAAAAAATTTAAGATACCGTTTGTCAACAATAAGATTGTGAATAGCTATGGGGAAGGACTTTTGGATGTTTGGACTATATAAGAGTATTTTAAATCATCAAACTAATAACAGTGAACTTTTAAAAAAAATATCAATAATCAAAATTCGTAAACTATTAATATTGAATTTGATTAAAAATAATTTTCAAAAGTTAGATGTTTTCAGTTTTGTGTAATCAATATAATTATATATCAAATATTTTCAAAACATCAAATTGAGTTTGTTCTTAGTAATTTTTCAATTAAATATCTATAAATATACACATTATTACTATTTTAAATATTGAAATAAGAAGAAAGAAAATAGATAGACAAAAAAGATCATAATATATGTAAATCATATGTAAAATATGAGCAAAACATTTTACCAAAAAAAAAAAATATGAGCAAAACATAATCTGATTAAAAAATCAGGGCACTTTGGAAGCATAGTTGGAGGAGTTCAGAGATAAAAGGAAGTGATTACGGATTCACAGTCGCTGTGCCTTCTTTATTTAATGGGATGCAAAATTGATAAACGTGGTATCGAATGTGAGTGGTCCAGAGGACTATGTGATACTAATCTAGCTAGCAGGATTATATTTAAATTTTATTTTTTGGGAAATGTTTTACATAAAATTATTTAATTATATCATTGCAAATAATATAATTTATAGTATTATTAGTATTTTAGTAAACACTAAATTATTTAAACTAATATTTGATTATTAAATAGGCCATCGATGTAATCAAAAACAGATCAGTTGGGGAGAAAACGCCGATACCATATCTGGTTAGCCGGACTATGGTTTTAACCATTAATTAGCATACCTCATGCGCCCCAGTGTCTGAGAAACATTTGCGTGATCACGGGTTAAATACAAACTTATAATCTTTATTCGATAAATATATATATATATATATTTATGAAATGAAAATTATAATAAGATAAACTGCTGATATTAGTATTATAACATATACTTTTCGAAATTATTATAGTTATGATCGGGAAATCGGAAGTTCAAATAATCATGATTTACTGTTCATATGGTTTATATATTTATATTGTTTATTGTTTATATTCTGTATCTTTGGTTAATACTTGTATTAATCATAATTATATTTATATGTTTTTATCAAAGAAAAAATGTAAAGAGACAATTAACCTATCCAAAATGTGGCACAACACCAAAAATAGCATATCTTTGATTAATACAAGTATTAATCATTATTATATTTATTTATTTTTCTCGAAGAAAACTTTTAAAGAAACAATTAACCTATTTGACCCAAAATGTGACTTAACACCAAAATAGCATATCGTTGGTTAATACTTGTATTAATCATAATCATAATTGTGTTTATATGTTTTTTATCAAAGTAAAAATGTAAAAAGACAATTAACCTATTTCACCCAAAATGTGGCATAACTCCAAAAATAGTATTCAATGTTTCCTGTTTAATATATGTTAAATAAAAAAATGCATATGTAAAAAAAAATTGAAAAAATGGAATATTACATTTTTGAGGATCTCTGATTGAGTAAGAAAATAAATTTGTAGTATAATGTAGTGTATTAAAATGGGTTAATATGTATATAAATTCGGAAAAATATCCTACTCCTCTTTAGCCTGACTTAAAATATCATCATTCAATATCATAATTCCAATGAGAATTATAAGATTAAAAAAAATTAACAATAAATCAATATTAGAAACAGGACGAATTTAGTGGCAATTGCCTAAAATTCCATAATCTGCAAAATATTACAGTCGGCTTGAAAATAAATCGGACGATGAGATCGTGCGATATAATCGAGATACATATACATACATTAGGGCAGAAATATTTTAAGAGTATCATCTTAAAATATGTTTATTATTAAGATTAGTTACTTAGAGATATTTTCTTTAAATATTTTATTTATAAGGATTAGTTCTTTATTAATGTGATAATATATAAATAAAAATTTTAATTTTCTTATAATAGTAATGTTTATTAAGTTTTCGTTAGCAATTTTATGGGTTTTTATTAATAAACATACTAATTAAGTTTAGTATTATGTTTATTAATTAAATTCTGAAAATGAAAGATTGTTATATAAATATGAGTATCAATATCAAATATTAATACCAGAAAAAAATGGAGGATTGATATACAAACACTTAAATTGCTTGTTGCATTTATTGAATATTTTAGTACTGGTTCTCACTATTCAAAGAAGTTTTTTTAAAATTGAACCTAAATAAAAATTATTTGTGATGTGCGGTATCAAAAAAGAAACTGAATAAATTAGTTTGTTATTGATTAAGATAAGTATGATTGAAAAACACGATTATGTGAGTTTAATCAATGATTTTGCAAGAAAAAATGTAAATAATACTCTTTTTTGTCAACATAATTTTTTTTACTGTTTTTATTTTATTTTTTTATAAATCATTTATGAATTAAGATTATTTGTTTGGAATGAAGTTTTAACTATAGTTTGTTTTTCTTTTCTAGTTTTTGTAATATAAAATACAATATATGAAAATACATATTTTTAAATTTGCATAGGGCATGAAAAATCATTGGACCAGCACTGGTCACCCTCTAGACTTTATTAGTCTTATCGGTTCGGGGTTCAAGTTATTATAAACGATAAGAAGTGGTAATCAATGCGATTTCATAAGAGTAGTTGCATTTCTCATATTTACATAAATAGAATCAACTGCATGGGCTAGACAACGTGGGACACTAACATTAACAATCGAACCCTAATTAGATACGTAACAATTTAATAATATTGGATAATATATTTGGTGGTGGTGGCAGTTATATAATCGATTGGTAGTCAACTCATAATTTTTACAATCATGCACCTTTTAAATATAAATATACACGTGATTGCGATTATGGAACTAAAACCAGCTAAAATGTGGAATTGTTTATATATATAGAATTATATAGTGTGCTTTTCCTTCTTAATATTGCGAGAAGATATATCGAAATGATAGTTTTCTTAGTAATATTCAAAACGAACGGATTATATAATACCAGCTAACTACTTTTATGAAAATTTAGAAATTAATTAACAGCGACATATGTACATTTATTTCAAACCCGATGATGACCATATGACAACAAATCAAAGCATCTCACGAAACCCAAACAATTAATACATTGAAATGAAACTCTACCAGACCCCATTTACTATATTGAAATAACTCATTGATAAAATATATTGAGATGGTGATGATGATAGTGATGGTGATGATGGTGGAAAAGTTGTTGTGATTGTGATGATGATGTGATGATTAAGCTTTGTTGACGTGGTGGTCCATGTCAGTAACCATGCTCTTGACGAATTTCATGTAGGTGCTTGGTTCAGGGGACTCATCGTTGCGCTTCTCCCATATTATAGTGATTTTGCAGGCGCAGCTATCCTCGGATTTGGGGATGAATTGGTAGATGACATCACACACCTTGAGCTGCTCCATCACGTGACCCTCAAGTCCTCTTAATGTCAACGTTAAATTCTCATCGTCTACCTCTCTTTTCTCCTTGAATATCTCCTCCTTTCCATCTTCACACATAGATATGTGTTCATTAATTAAATTTCCAACATACTAGTCATAATAATCATTAGGATAAGTATGTAATTTATAATTATATATGATCACAGAGAATTTCAGTGGATTGATGATATGTTTACATAGTCTGCACATAGGTTGTTGAAGCCTAGTGTTTAAATTCGTTCATGTTTGCTTACTTCTGTGTTTGTTTTTACTTTAGTGTTTAAATTAATGTGTATCTTTGAATTTGTATTTTTTAAAAGTTATTTTCTTCCGAATGAATCCATAATATTAGAAACTCTAAACGAAAGTCTTCTGCCAATTATAAACGCAAACATTGATAAAGTTTTCAAAAATGTTCTGAATATTATCAATGTTTTACTTTTTTAGAAAATCTGACTTTCCATATGAAGTTATTTTTATAGATAAACATAAACGCAAAAACAATGAAACCTCTACTTCCATACATTGAGATGAATTATCGAGCTACTATAAGTAAACTCAAGAGTGTGCGTGTGTATATATAAAATGTTAAATATACATAGACAGGGAAAGTATAAGTAAATGTATATACCCCATGTGTAGTTCCAAGTCCTGATAGATCCGTGAGAGTCAGGTTCGCCTTCGTGAACGGTGACGTTTTGGATGTGGTGGCCGATGGCGTCAGGGAAGACATTGTTCTCGGCCTTCCACCTCTTGTAATGTTTCTCCGCCGTTCCTTTCAACGGAACCTCCGTCACGTATGTTCCCGACGTTGCCATCTGATCTCTCTCTCTCTCTCTTTCTCACGTTTTAAAAGCGTCCACTTCTTTTTCTTTTTTTTTCGTTCAATCATTTGATCATGCTAGCTAGAATCTTCTCTCTTTTTAGCCTACATTAAACTAATTTGCTACCACGTTATTAATGTGGGTAGTTGGCACATCGATCATTCTAGATAATATAATGGTAATGTCCCATACACATTAAATATATGGCATGGTAATGCATTATATAGTTCGGGTTTGGTTTGTAATGGTTGATCGAACTACCTCATGATTTGTATACTCTGCCAAATTCGCGAGTCCAAAATTAACAAAATAATATGTTGGGCATATTTTCTGCTATAGGGCTTTATTCTCTAGAGCTGTGCAAAATACATGTTAGATTCGCTTTATATTAAATATTGGTATGGAGATTCATCATTGTTGAGATAATTGTCGAGTGACGACACTGAATACTGGCTCTGTGAACCATCAATTAATATATTATATTTTCCTTCTGTTTTAAAAAAGTTTCTTGAAAAGGTTTTTCAAAAAGTTGATGTTTTGGAAAACTGTTTATATAACTGCCACCACCACCAAATAGATCATCCAAGTTTTTAAAAACATCATATGGTAATTTAATTTGACATAAACAGTTTTCCAAAACATCAACTTTTTGAAATCATGCACGTTTTAAAAATATAAATATACACGTGGTTGCGATTGTGAAACTAATTCTTTTTAGAATGTGGAATATATAGTTTATATGGGGAGAATATATTGAAACCAATGTTTTCTTAGTAACGCTGAAGGGATTTAACTAATACCAGCTACTAGTATGAAAATCTTAAAATTATCTAAACACCGAAAGAGATGTAGATAAGTGGACAACGTACATTATTCTTAAGAAACTCAAATTATATCAAACCCAATGATGACCATAACAACACAATCAAAGCATCTCACAAAACCAAACGTTACATTGAATGAAACTCCACAAGACCCCCATTTATTATATTGAAAACACACATTGATAAACATACATCGAGATGGTGATGATGATAGTGATGGTGATGGTGATGGTGATGATGATGGTAATAGTGTTGTGATTGTGATGATGTGATGGTTAAACTTTGATGACGTGGTGGTCCATGTCAGCAACCATGCTCTTGACGAATTTCATGTAGGTGCTTGGTTCGGGGGACTCATCGTTGCGCTTCTCCCATATTATAGTGATTTTGCAGGCGCAGCTATCGTCAGATTTGGGGATGAATTGGTAGATGACATCATACACCTTAAGCTGCTCCATCACGTGACCCTCAAGTCCTCTTAACGTCAAAGTTAAATTCTCATCGTCCACCTCTCTCTTCTCCTTGAATATCTCCTCCTTTCCATCTTCACACACATACATGTGTTCATTAATAATTTCCAACATCCAACTAGTGTACTAATCATAAGGATAAATATGTTATTAATAATTATATGATCACAAACGTCGGATTGATCTTCTGTTTACATATATAGTCTGCATATGTTGTTGAAGCCACGACGTCACAAAACGATAAATGAATCAAACCCTAGAGATAGCTGAATTCAAATTATATAATAGTAAGAATACGTTCTTTAATTATCTACCAATCTTATCTAGATGGATTTCTTTTATGTTGATTATGAGTCTACGACCTCGATTATTTTGCTTATTTCTAAGATTGTTTTTACTTTCGTGTTTAATGTGTATCTTTGAATTAAAAAAAAAAATGTATATTCTTCCGAATGAATCCATAATATTAGGATTTCTAAACAAAAGTCTTCTACCAATTATAAACGCCTTTATAGTTTTCAAAAATATTCTGAAAATTGCCAATGGTTTTTTTTTTTAATTCGAAAAGCTGATTTCCATTTGATACAAACATAAACGGTAAAAAAGAATGAAACCTATACTGACATATTGAGATAAATTCTCGAGCTACTTGTGACAAATTGGTACAACTATCATAGTTGAACTATGTATTATTTTACATTAAAAATTTAAAACCATCATAAGTCATACGCGGAAATAGACTATCAAAACTCTAGTTCCATCAAAAATGTCTTAAGGAAAATATATCAAAATTGAAAAAATAGAAAATAATAGAAAAGAAGGAAAGAGAGTGACAGATGTATCTTATTTGAGAATTTTTGAAATACTTTTCTAAACATGTGTCAGTTTTTAATTGGTTTATTCTATTTATATTCAAATATTTAATTAAATTATTACACTAAATTATTAAAATATAGTTGAGATGTCTTGTTTGAAATATTTAGTGTTCGAAGTAAACTCGAGAGCGTGCGTATGTATGTATATATAAACTGTTAAAATATACAGAGACAGAAAAGGTATACGTAATTTAATATGCATATACCCCATGTGTAGTTCCAAGTCCTGATAGATCCGTGAGAGTCATGTTCGCCCTCGTGAACGGTGACGTTTTGGATATGGTGGCCGATGGCGTCAGGGAAGACATGGTTCTCGGCCTTCCACCTCTTGTAGTGTTTCTCCGCCGTTCCTTTCAGCGGAACCTCCGTCACGTATGTTCCCGACGTTGCCATCTGATGTCTCTCTCTTTCTCACGTTTTAAAAGCTTGCTTGTTTTTTTTTTTTTTTTTTTTTGCTTTGTTTTGGTTGATGATATAACACTTGTCTTTGCCTTGGTTTATATAGTGAACGTGACGGTAAAAGACATTATTTCTACCGTTTCTTTCAATCATTTGATCATGCTAGTACAGTAAACTACCACGTTATTAATGTGGGTAGTTGGCACATCATTCTAGAGAAGATAGTAATGTCCCATAGACATTAATTATAATGGCATGGTGATGCGTTAAGTAGTTCGGTTTTGGCTAGTAATGATTTGTGTACTCTGCCAAATTCGCGAGTCCTAAATTAATGAAACACAAATCATGTATGACTATTCTAGTAGTTCAAATTTTGAAAATAAATGAACCCAATAGTTATTGTATCTATATGAAACGAAAAGTTAAAATTTGAAAAATATCCAATAGAAACCTAAAATCGTAACAAAAAAAATTGCGAAAACAAAAATGACTAATTATTTAAACAATGAAGAAAAAAAAGTAGAAAGGAAAAATGAGAATTGGTTTTTAAATGAAGATTTTCAGTATACTCATGAAATCTCTTGGACACACTTTGTATCTTTATATATGGTTCAAATGTTTTTTTTTTTAAATTAAAACTTAATTATATAAAAATAAATTGTCAACAGCCTCAAGACTCCTAAGACCAACCCAATGGTGATACTAGGGTGTCTTATAGCACCTCCATCGTTGTCTGTTAATAAAGTATCTTAGAATTAAGAAAATAAAATATAATAGAAAAGGAGGAGAGAGACATACATGCACATACATACGTCTCTTTAATAGCAGTTTTTGCATACGGTTTTTAAGCATTTAATACAGCTGTCATGGTTTAAGTTGATGTAATACTTTTACATTATAAATTTAATTGTGTTAGTAATAAAATATATATTAGATACTCTTGTAATAGATTTTACCGATGAAGATGGTCTTATAAGTGTTCTTAAAGAGTATAATTGAATTAAAAAATCAGAAATAGTGTCTTAATTTTTAGACCAAGATCTTATTTAGGATCTTTTTCTGATTTAAGAACCGACAGCTATCTGATTATGAATGGACATAAATAAATCAAAAAATAAATCAATCGTATGAAAAAAAAACAATTTTCCAGTTCTTTTTCTCCATCTCCCTCTTCTTCTTCTTCTTCCTCTTCCAGATTCGACGAATGTGTAGATACGCACAAGGTAGTTTCAATCAATCGAATTTTTAAGTTAAAATGTCAATCGATTACTTAATTTTCTAAGGGGATTTGGTGAATTTTTTTTTTGCCGCAGGGATGAATTCGAAGAGTTCGCGTTGGCGTTGTTTGACGCCTTGAGAAGGAGGGAAAACATAACTTCAGATTCGATAAGCGAGGACCAGCTTCTAGTGTTTTGGAAGGAGATCACTGATCAAGATTTTGATTCGAGGCTACGAACTTTCTTCGCCATGTAAATGTTTCTTTAAACCAATTTTTTATTTACGACTCTTTTGTATATCCCACATGAACACATTGAAGTATAGTATGAATTGCAGGGTGGATAGAGATGCGAATGGGCAGTTGAATGAAGCAGAAGTAAGAGAGGTAGAATTCTGATTTTTTATAGTGATGTGAATTACAAATCCTGTAGCTCTCACTGATCTTCGTTAAGTAGAGTTTCCTCTTCATGTACAGATTATAAGTCTGAGTGCTTCTGCAAACCAACTGGACAACATTCGAAGACAAGCAGATGAATATGTGAAGTTTTGTGAATGGGGTTCGTTTGTTAATGGATCTTATTTAGTTAGAAAGTTTGGTTTGTGAATCTTTTTGATATGTTTGGAGGCACTTGCTTGCTACAATGCCAAACAAATTGAGAATATAGGAAGAGATCCGCTTACCAAGTTATGGGGGTTTGTGTTTGTATAGCCAAATGAGCTGCAGAGAACCTTGAAACTAAACATGGCTCTGATTTTGTTTCCAGTTTGTAGGAACACCATCACTTGGCTCCGCATCAAAACCGAATTAAGTGTTGTTGTTCCTTTCGATGACAGCCTCAATTTTCACAAGGTAATAATGTTAGCTTCATGGAGAATAAACTGAAATAGTTTCAGATATTCATGTACAAATGTTTATGATTGAATCTTACACAGGTTGGAGTTTTAATCCATGCCACATCTCACTTAGCCTGCAATTTTCTCCGGCTGATTGCTGCAAATGAAGAGACGTATGAGCCGATGGTGCAGTATCTTTCAGACGCAATAAGCTCAATCTTCCTGGACCACTGAAGAAGATAACCAGCTTTAACGTCTTCTAGTACTCTCACCATTTGTTTGTTATCGTCTACTTGGTGCTCGTTGTTGACAGATACTACGTCTACCTCATCAAGATCTGGCACAAAAAACGGTTAGTAACTTATCAACTACTACTCTCAATACATATCGAGGTTGTTTCGATATCAAAGATGGAAAAAGTTGTTAAACTAAATTTTTACATAAATTTATTAAAACAAAAATTATATATTTTTTTAAAACACCCTGATGGGTGTCTCCATTGTATGTTAAAAACAATAAAATCTAACAAAATGTCTTATATATAAAATACACAAAATATTAATACTTAATTATTAAGATCTCTTCTAATGGTGGGATTGCTCTAAAAACTTAATTAATCAATTCGGTGGAACTATATAATTATACTATATTAAAATATTAATATTATACTGTTTTGTTTTATTTTAACTTATTAATATTATATTGTTGAGAATTTATTGGGAATATCTGAGTGGTGGAGATTATCTTACGTTACAAAAAAAATGCACGGGCCACTCTAACATTAATGATTGAACGCGTATATACGTGGTTGGAGGAAAAAACACATATATGAATCTTGGACATAATTATACAAAAAACACATGATTATTCTATTTATCAAATTCCATGATGTTTGAATCTTGGACATAATTAATGTTTACGGGTACCCACACTGCTATGTCTCAAGATATTTCGTGTTTCGTTTGTAAATTGGTTCCTCGAGTGTGGATGAGTCTCCCGTTAATCGTCTACTTAAATGAACAATATTATGGCTGACAAAACACATAAAGTTCTTATCTAATTAATTATTGGAAAAAATTGAAAATGATAACATTCTTGCATTATGTAAGTTACGTCGTCTAATAATTGTAATATGGAAACACTTGATACAAAAATTTACCCTTGACATTTGGTTAGTTGTTTGATCCTATAAGTAATTAGGTATATTAATTTATAATTTATAGTATTTTTACTTTGTTTACTTAAAAAAAATTATTGGCACGTTTCCAATAATGGTAGTCGACATTACACTTTGAAAGTGGTGGTGTGTGGTTGCAATCGATTTGAAAGTGGAACATTGGCTTTTTTGGCGTTTTGCGTTCGCCAAATTTCATTTTTTTTTTGCATCATCTATGGCTTTTTACTAATCTAAAAATTTTAAATTAATTAAACAACTGAAAATTGTAAATTAATTAAAGTATTAAACAACTGAAAATTGAACAACGTACATTTATTCTTAACAGACATTACATCGAACCCGATGATGACCAAAACAGCAAATCAAAACATTTTACCAAAAAAAAAAAAAAAAATCAGTTGCCGAACATCGCCATAGAAACGAAACTCCACAAGACCCCATCTATTATATATTGAAAAACACCTTATTACTTGATAATCGAAATAGTGATGGTGCATGGTGGTGCATGGTAATGAAAGTATTGATGACATGATCGTCCATGTCAGCAGCCAAGCTCTTGATGAACTTCATGTAGTTGCTGGGATCAGGGAACTCATCGTTGTGCTTCTCCCAATTAAGAGTGATTTTGCAGATACAACCATCCTCAGATTTGGGAATAAATTGGAAGTTGGCCTCATAAACTTTGAGCTGCTCCATTACATGACCTTCAAGTCCCCTAAACGTCAGCGTTTTCGTCTCATCATCTAACTCCCTCCTCTCCTTGAATACCTCTGGCTTCCCATCTTTACACACATGTGTTCATTAAATCTTGGTCATATTTATATATTAACCAAAATGTCCAAAACAGCTTGTAGACTACAATTTTGACTCAGTTATATGTATATATGAAGTGTTGGAATGTGTTGTTCCAAATCTTGATGGCGCCGTGAGAATCCCATTCGCCGTCGTGAACGGTGACACTTTGGATGTGGTGGCCGACGGCATCAGGGAAGATATGGTTCTCGTTTCTCCACCTCTTGTAATGTTTCTCCGCCGTTCCTTATAACGGAACCTCCGTCACGTATGTTCCCGACGTCGCCATTTTTCTATCTATCTCTCTTTGCTTTGAAGCTCCCACTTGATTTTTTGACTTTGTTTTGATTGATGAATTAACACTGTGGCTGCCTTTATAGTGAACGTGACGGTTAAAACCATGGTTTCTACCATTTTTTTTTATCTTTTTTTTACTTTGATAATGCATGGTAGAATCTTCTCTTCTTCTTCTTTTAACCTACACTATTTGATAAGCATTATCGTGAATTTGTGAGTTTTCTATTGGTCAACATTTCGACCACGTTTATAATTGGGTAGTTGGCAATTGGCACAAATAATCATCATGTCCCCGCGCACATTAATTTATCGCGAGGACAAATATCGTGTGTATCATTTAGACAATCTTACCGAAAATATTGCCTAATTAAAATTAGTTCATACTAGCTAAGACATATTTTTTTAATTTGACACCAGCCAATTAATCTCTAACGCTCAACGAGATACAGCAGCCATCTCTAAGACTATAAATCTTAATTTTTTTCCTCTTAATTTCGTCTCTAGTACTTTACGAACACAACTTATGAACTAAACATGTTCCGCCATGCAGATGATTGTGATGACCATAACAACAACATATTTCTTACAAAGAAATGAAACTCCACACGACACCATTTATTGTATATATAGAAAAGCACCTTAATCAAAATATCAAGAAAAGGATGATCAGGTTTTGAGGACGTGGTCGTCCATGTCAGCAGCCATGCTCTTGACGAATTTCATGTAGTTGCTTGGTTCGGGGAAGTCATCGTTGCGCTTCTCCCATATCATAGTGATTTTACAGACGCAACCATCCTCAGATTTGGGAATAAACTCGAAGATGACGTCATACACCTTGAGCTGATCCATCACGTGGCCTTCAAGTCCTCTAAACGTCACCGTTCTCTTCTCATCGTCGATCTCTCTCCTCTCCTTGAATACTTCCTGCTTCCCATCTTTATACAAGAGTACGTATATGTGTAATTAAATCCCGACCGGTATATCCGTATATATATATTCTGACTTTTTTTAGGTTATCATATGTAAATGCAAACGCAAAAAAGTTGGGGTTTGAAACAAACGAGACCTATATATATATTTAGATGTATTCTCGAATCGAATAGTATAGGCCTACAGCTATATATATATTGATGATGAGAAAGGTCAAACACCTTACTTCAAGAACATTTATGCAGTAATTTATGTACCATTAGACTAATGAGACTTTAAACGAAACATTTTGGCCACTGAAATATATACGCAATCCCAAACTTAGCCTGTTTTGACTTAGGCCCGATTATGAGTGTACTGTGCATGTATGTATATAAAGTGCTAGATATATATATAGAGATAAAAGTAAATGTATACCGCATGTGTAATTCCAAATCTTGATGGCGCCGTGAGAATCCCATTCGCCATCATGAATGGTGACATTTTGGATGTGGTGGCCGATGGCGTCAGGGAAGAGGTGGTTCTCGTTCCTCCACCTCCTGTAGTGTTTCTCTGCCGTTCCTTTTAATGGAACCTCAGTCACGTATGTTCCCGACGTTGCCATTTCTCTCTCTCTCTCTCTCTCTCTCTCTCTCTCTCTCTCTCTCTCTCTCGCGTTTAAAAGCTTCTGCTTGTTTTTCTTTTGTTTGGTTGATGAACTAACACTTGTCGTCGCCTTGGTTTATATAGTGAACGTGATGGTTAAAAACATTTTCTACAGTCCCTTTTAGTCATTTGATAGTGCATTTTGTTTTGTCAAATCATTTGATAGTGCATGCTATAATCTTCTCTTTTCTCTTTTCAACTTACACTGTTTAATGAGCATTAAGGATAAGTTTCTCCTTTTAAAGGCTAACCAAATTCTATCGATCACATCATTAATGTTGGTAGTTGGCACAGCATCATTTAAAAGATAACCATGCCCATACACACATTTATCATGAGAACCAATATCTTCTTTTCTTCTCTTCTTCTTCTTCTCCTCTCCCGAATGTAGTATGTGATGGGCTTAATTTGTTCTCTAGCTTCTTTTTGTGTGTGTATGCTTCTTAATTCCTTCATTTTGCTATGATGTAAGTGATGTTTTATGGATTTTATACACCGATTAGGCCCAGCACATAAAATCATAAATATATTTGATTTCTTAAAATAAAGACATTATTTATTATTTAGTTAAAATCAGTTCAACTAATAATCATGAAGACTATATAGTATAAATGGTTAAGAAGATTATTAAAATGAAATAAATTTTTTATAGGGATTATCTGATTCCATCTAAATTTTTATTTTAAAATTTAAGAGATAAATTTAGTTTAGTAAACTAATCATCAACCATGTTATTAATGAGGGTTGTTGTTGGCCCATCACTAGTTTTTACAGAGCCGGTTCTAAAAATTAGAAAGCCATAATTAAAAAAACAATTATAATAATAACGTGGTTCTCTTTAAAAAAATAATCATATGACTCGTACACAAAGAAATGAAACTCCACACGACACCGTTTATTGTATATATAGAAAAGCACCTTAATCAATATATCAAGAAAAGGATGATGATTATGAAGGCGAATAGGCGATAATGATTATGATGATCAGGTTTTGAGGACGTGGTCGTCCATGTCAGCAGCCATGCTCTTGACGAATTTCATGTAGTTGCTTGGTTCGGGGAAGTCATCGTTGCGCTTCTCCCATATCATAGTGATCTTGCAGACGCAACCATCCTCAGATTTGGGAATAAACTCGAAGATGATGTCATTCACCTTGAGCTGATCCATCACGTGGCCTTCAAGTCCTCTAAACGTCACCGTTCTCTTCTCATCGTCGATCTCTCTCCTCTCCTTGAATACTTCCTGCTTCCCATCTTTATACAAGAGTACGTATATGTGTGCTCATCTAATTAAATCCCGATCGGTATATATATATATATATTCTGACTATTTTTTTAAATGATTTTTTAAGGTTATCATATGTAAATGCAAACGCAAAAAATTTGGAGTTTGAAACAAACGAGACCTATATATATATATATATATAATCAGATGTATTATCGAATAGAATATATATTGATGGTGAGAAAGGTCAAACACCTTACTTCAAGAACATTTTTGCAGTAATTTACGTACCATCAGACTAATGAGACTTTAAACGAAACATTTTGGCCACTGAAATATATACGCAAACCCAAACTTAGCCTGTTTTGACTTAGGACCGATTATGAGTGCACTGTGTATGTATGTTTATAAAGTGCTAGATATATATATACAGATAAAGATGTGCTAGTTAAGTAAAAGTAATTGTATACCTATTGTGTAATTCCAAATCTTGATGGCGCCGTGAGAATCCCATTCGCCATCATGAATGGTGACATTTTGGATGTGGTGGCCGATGGCGTCAGGGAAGAGGTGGTTCTCGTTCCTCCACCTCCTGTAGTGTTTCTCTGCCGTTCCTTTTAACGGAACCTTCGTCACGTATGTTCCCGACGTCGCCATTCTCTCTCTCTCTCGTTTAAAAGCTTCTACTTGTTTTTTCTTTTGTTTGGTTGATGAAATAACACTTCTCGTCGCCTTGGTTTATATAGTGAACGTGATGGTTAAAAACATTTTCTACAGTCTCTTTTAGTCATTTTGTTTTGCCAAATCATTTGATAGTGCATGCTATAATCTTCTCTTTTCTCTTTTCAACTTACACTGTTTAATGAGCATTAAGGAGAAATGTTTCTCCTTTCAAAGGCTAACCAAATTCTATCGAAATTTCTCCTTTCAAAGGCTAACCAAATTCTATCGATCACGTCATTAATGTGGGTAGTTGGCACAGCATCATTTAATAGATAATCATGCCCATACACACATTTATCGTGAGAACCAATATCTTCTTCTCCTCTTCTTTTTTAAACCTACACATTATAAAATGAGCATTGTTGGGTACAGATGTGCTCTTCTCCTCTCCCGAATGTAGTATGTGATGGGCTTTATTTGTTCTCTAGCTTTTTTGTGTGTGTGTGTGTGCGCGCTTCTTACTTCATTTTGCTTTAATTTAAGTGGACAACTCATTGGATTTTCCTAATAAAACCCAATAACTTTATCACCTCCAAACCGGTCCAAACTCACCCATTACAATGATTACATTCCCTCTTCTGGTTACAATTATGCGATGCTTCAGTTTGGTTCTTTGTAATTAGAACTGTTTTGTTGGGCTGTAACTATTAAAGAAAATAAACTGGGCTGGGCTCTTATATCTTTTTTGTTTCCGTCTTTTTAAATAATCTTTCATTCTTGAAAATAATCGATCTAGATGGCTATAAAAACCGGATTCGGGGAACTAACCGGAACTGATCTGAAAAACTGGTTCAGATCAAATTTGGATTATAGGAAATAACCGAATCGGGTTTGGCTCTAAGTTACTTTAAATATTGGTTCAGATAATATTTAAAAATGAACGAATATTCAAAAATTGAATGGATATCCAAAAATACTCAAATTTGAAATATCCAAAACCTCATTTCTATAGATTTTTCAGATATGCTTTGGGTATCCATTTTAAATATTTTTTTAGCTAATTTGGTTATAAATACCCGAATCAAACCAAAAATTTGGTTATTTTCGAATAGAAACTGATTTCCCAAGTATATATCTAAAACCGACCTGCACTTGGTATATACCGAACCGAATCCAACTTAAAAATTATTTGAATGGGATTTATAGTATTGTACTAGAAGATGCGAAAACCAAATCAAACCGATCATGGATCCAAACAATTACCCGAATAAAACCGATTTGGATCCAAACAAATACCCAAATGCTCAGAAGTAATGCTTACGATAAAAACAAATTATAGTGTGTCCGTCAATTTGTCCGAAAAAAAGATGAAGTGTGTGTCCGTCAATAGCAACACTTATAAAAAAAACTCTTACGTAAACAGTTACTAAGTACTAACTAACTGTTCTTTTCTATTACTTATGTTCAGCTATTTATGTTCTTTTAGATTTCTTTACTTGAGGGCATTTCTCTTTTGATTCAAGCGGTTAAATTCGTCCTTCATTTTAATATGAATCAAACATTTTTTTTTTCATTATGGCTTCTAACAATTGGGAAAACATGAATTAAAAATCGAAAAACAAAAGAAAAACACACAAAAAAAACGGTTAAAAAAAACAAAAGCCACTTACTTATTATTAGTAACACATTTTCTCTGTGTCAACACACAATTTTCAAAAATAAAACACATATAACTAGTTAGTAACATTCATAGAGTTTAATATCCATCTTAACACGGAAATACTTAGCCCCTTGAAATATATCCGTCACGAAGGTAGCGATCCCACGAGCCATGAAGAAGTCACCGGTCCCACCGACGACCGATAGATCTCTTGTCGGCTCCATCATCAAATCCGCACCCATTATGTTCAATGTACCTTTGTGTTCCGTCGAGTTAAACACCAACGTGTAGCAGAACCACGCATTGAAGTCCATCTTCATGTCATAGAAATAGAACCCTTGTGCGCGAGCCACGGGCTCTGAGAGATAGTTCTTGTCCATTGTTATGGGGTCGTCAAAGATCACAAACTTACCAAACTTGAAGTTTCCTAGTCCCGGAGGGCTCACGATCGCGGCTGATGTTGCGTTTGCTACATTGTCGCCATCGTAGAGGATGTCATGGAAGTAGAAGGAGAAATGTTTGCAGGGTTTTTTCTGGTCGAATGTTTTTCGGTACGAATAAACGGTATCGGAGAAGAGTAAAACTAACAAGAAGAATGAGAAGAGGGCTTTGAAGAGTTGTTTCTGTATCAGAGATGCCATGGTTAGCTAGAAGAGAGACTAGTGAGTTGTGTAAAATGTAGATCGCTTATACTCATTTATATAGAAGTATATTTGTTCACTTAATTTACTAATAGAATTTATTTGGATAAAAGTTTGAGGGGCCTTCTAAATGAGTTGTTGATGTTTTGTCAATTTATATATAAAATCGAAATTAGCGTGAAAATAAGGTTTTAATTAAGATCATGTTGATGGGACCAAAGCGGGGTTGGTGGTAACTAAGCAACAAGTTTAATTCACTTTCTTGAGAGATTTATTGATTAAGTACTATTAAACCGTTTGGTGATACAACCTAAAAGCATAAAGTCGAAAGGCTAATAAAACAGCAACTTGAGTATAATAATGACCAAACGAAAATAAATTGACACAAAAAGAAAGTATTAAGCGAAAATGGAATACCTTTCATTTATTAAAATAGAAGATAAAAATAGAAAATTACGAACGCCCATCACTCATGTGCGGTCCATATGGTTAAAATTTGGTGACTAGTACAATAAATCACCAAATCACGTTCTAGCTTTGCTTCTAAGGTTGCTTTTAATTAACTTTTTCTTCGTCGATATACATTTGATATTTCTCCAAAATATTTTAAGTTATAGTATCTTGAAGCCTAACTTTTTCCATTTTTGGGTTTAATGGTTAAATTTTATTTTTTGTAAAATGTTTTGTACAGAGTTATACCTTTTTCAGACTAACAAAGAAAGGAGGAAGAACTTTCATCTGAAGAACAAACGTGAAGCCTAACTTTAGTACCGATATACCTTTATTTTTTCTCTTAAAACTCCTATAAAATTATTCATGCCCTTCATTTATATAGATATATGAAAAGGAAACTCCACTTGACATACAATTATACAAACAGTATTGTTTTTTTGGTTGGTTGAAGCTTTATTGTTTTTTTCTTAATCGAGAATAATAACTTGGATATGCTGACAGAACCAACAAAGATCACTCATATACAGCATCAATTATAATACATCTTTATTTATATTTAGACGGACTAAGGGATTCTTGGAAGAACAAAAATTAAGTTACACGGACTACTGATTATTAGATACGGCACGAGATTTAGATATATACCAAAAGTTAAAACTTTGACTATAGTAATTACTAATTAGTAAATCGTAGCCCTTTTTCAACAACAAAAAACACTATAGTAAATCGTCAGGATGACAATATATTGAAGATGTTTTTACCTTAAACGTACTTTTTGATTATTATTGTCTTTTTTTAACTTATATTATTATTGTCTTTTGGGTAGATAAATGTTATGATTAATTATACATGGACATGCTCATGTAGAGCAATAATTCCCTCTTTCACTTTACTTTCGGTGTAAGACTACATATAAAATAAAGTCTTCGAGATCTTTGTAACCAACGAATTCATCTAAGAACTTGTATTTTCTCATATTTATTTTAAAAGTAATATAAGGTCAATAATATTTGTCACTAACTCCTTCCTAACACATGTGTAAAAGCACAAAAGTCAAAGTGTCAACAAGAACATTTGATATGTTTTGTTTTCAAATAGGAGTTCAAAGGGGATTAAGTTGCCTAACTTCTCTTTTGTCCCTTCTGATTTCAAAGTCGACCCATATGTCGAAAGTGGCTTCTAAACCAAAGCATGAAAACAAAAAATAACTGAGACAACATAAGAAACTTCACAAGCCGAAGTTAGAATAAAATACTAATACAACTGCAGAACTAAAGCTTTGTAAATTGTAACAAATCTTATAATCACGTTTCAGTTGTATAAATAATTTTTATTTGTTTTAAAATTTTCCAGATTATGACATACATAGAAAAAGTTCTACATTTTTCAAATTACGACTCAGAGACTTAATGATACAAAAAAAAAAATGAAAGAGGGTAAAATATTTTTCTTTGTCTACAAAAGAGAATGAAGCTGCGATAAAAAACTATCCACTCCATATATTCTATATTGGTGTCATTTACTTCATTTTAGAACAAAATTTAGTCATATAATCTCTATAAAAATACAGATGAATTTAATCCAATTCAAAAATAGCATAAACTTTTAAAATGATTTATAAGGGTTTTTAATTTAAATATTTGAGTTTGGGTTTAGTATCTAAGGTTTAAGGTATAGTTTTTAGGTTAAAGGGTTTAGGATTTAGTTTTAAGAGTTTAGAGTTTAGTTTTGTGCTATTTTTTAGATTATGATATGTTTGGGAAAACAAACTTACTGATGGTATTTTTGGAACAAAAACTTATTTTGAGTTCTCATGAGACACTTTAATCATTGATAATTGTTTTTGAATTGAATTGTAAATTCTTAAAACTTAACATCTTATGAACCATGTTATCTAATCCAAACTAAAACCAATCTAACCTGATCACCTCTTTCTTTCGTGTAGGGTACTCTTCGGAAATCAGCAATCTACTTCAAGCAAGCTTTTCTACGAAAGCTCTGAAGCTCGGCCGTATTCAGAGCTTTTTTGCTCGGTATGCTTTTCAAACCACGATCAAACGAAATAAGGCATGGAGAGAAGCCGAACATACCAAGCAAGCTAGTTCAATTCGTTGATAAACACGTCAGAAATCAACTTTCACCAATTCGAGCAACATGAGACAAGCACTACGAGGATGGACTTCAAAAGTGGTTTGCCACTGGAAGCTAAAAACGTATAGATTATTATCTAATTCTTTTTCAAATTTCAAAAACTCACACTAAAAAGCACAAGATATAAAAAACGATTTTTTTTTAGTTTTGGAATTAATTTGCATTTCAATTCAAGAAAGAAAAAAAGTATGATCGACCCAACTCAGAGTTGATCTGGTCAATCTAAGTCATAAATCATGACATCAAGTATATGCATAAACAAGAAAATGGTACTATTTTCCAAACCTGTATGTATATGTTGACGACGAAAAATTCGATCTATTCATCACTCATATCCATGATTTATAATGTGAACTAAATCCACTCAAATCGATGAAATTTCAATAACTTATATCTAACATTAAAACTAATTTGACGAGGAAGTATAAATTGTGGACAAACTAACACTATTTTCTACTTGGGAGACACTCCTTGCGCAGGACCAAGTTGGTAACATTTGTAAACGTGACGCATCCTTTCTCGATTTTATTGTCTCTCGCCATCAGCCATCTACTAAATATTAAAATAAGTAACATCAAATTATTATCAGATTGCCACCTGAATTGATGACAGAATTAATAAAAATATTTGCACCTGAAGTTAATTCCTCAATGTTTTAACTACAAAACATTGACTAATAATGGTCTTTATAATTGTGGTTTCTCTTTTGTAATTTAAACCAAATATCGTCACGGAAGACCTACCATATAGAAATCAAATATTCTTTTTAAAATCATATAGAAATCATAGATACAAACTTTTTTATTTACAATATGAAACAGATGTTATTATAGAAGCCAAATTTTTTTGACCCTTCGAGTCTTGGAATCCCAAAAAAGAGAAAACACCCTTAAGGACTCTCTTCAACCGGCGACGCTTCCATCGCGGCGTTCTTCAAATCTCCGACGACCGAAGAATCACGGCTTGCTACGTACTGTTGCACCACTAACACTGACGCCGACGTCGAAACACTTTCGCTTGACGTTAACAAGTTCCCGACCGGTCCGAGCTCCGGCGTGTCGCTTCTTTCCACGTTTAACCCCGACGCCACTGAACCTGCCGGTGACTTCCCCACCAAGAAAAGGTTGCTTCTAGAATATTCTTTGATGACCTCGAAAACTTCCTCATAACATTTCACGATTTTCTCTTCGTAAACAATCTGAGGTTCGGAATCTGAATCAGAACGAGAACTTTCTTGTTCTTTGATCTTTGCTTTAAGTTCTGTTATAGCTTCAATATCAGTCAATCTGGTTTCCCCTGAACTTGAACCGGCTTGACCTAACTCGGATATCTCCAGCTTCACGTTTTCTGGTTTAAATTCCTCGCTAGGGATTAACCGAACAACGGTTAACCTTATACCAGGATGTTCCGCCATTCTCACCGCAAACGCCAACGCCTCGCGGTCATCATTCCCTCCAAAAAACAAAACCGTTATAGCCAACGTGAAATCGCTAGACGCGACACGAGTCGCACCACCAAGCCCACGATCAACCAGGATCGCAACAGAACATGGAGATTCCTCCATAACCTTCTTGTTAATCCAACGGTAATCGTTGCGAGTCGTCTCCCACGTTCTGTCCAGCCTAACGTGTTTGTGAAAGGGAAGAATCACCATAGCGGCGCGTTTGCGTTCCGCGCTTCGGCATATGTCCTCATGTATAGTCGCCATTGCTGATATCGCTGTCATGGGACGCACTGAGACACGGCTGAGTCGCCGGAAAGCCTCGAATGCGACCACGACCATGTCGGAAGAAGAGTTATTCCCAGATTTGTCTTTGTTCCAGAAAGGAAGACCGTTTTTCCGGACCTTGTGCGCCATTAGTATAGCAGATGATCTCTCCGAAAGCTCCATGAGATGCATCGCGTAGACGGATAAACTTTCTTTGCGGTTCGTGCCTCGGGAGGCTTCGATGAGGTTGACGATCGTGGGAATGTTCATTATGCTCTGGAAACAGAACATAAGACGGAGCGGTTTGTTGGACTGGTTCGTTTCCTCGATGGTTCGGTTCTGGTAATCGCCTTTGGTTAAGGATTTACCCGGTTTGTACACGGCTAGAACGAGAGGAGTCGTCATGAACGTAGTGAAAATCGCCATTAGAACCATTATCGCAAAGACTTGATCGTTCAAAACCTGCAAGAACACATCAAACATTTAATAAACGAGTGTTAAACGTAGTCATTTATAAGAATGTTTGAATTTGTGGACTTACTCCTCTGTCTTTACCAATGTTGAGGACGATGAGCTCAACAAGACCTTTCGTGTTCATCAAGAAACCGAGTGCTAAAGACTCGTCAAGCGGAACTTTGCAGTAAAGGGAAACGACCACTGTACCGACGATTTTACCAAAACAAGCATT